CAACACCCCCCACCTTCCTCCCCTTTATACACAGTCCCTACCTTTCTGTTTTCTCCTGTGGCCCATGCATGTCATCCCAACTCTATAAAAGGTAGAAAAACAGCTTTATACCTGTCTACTTGTCACCCCCCATTCCCCCTTCTATCTATGATGACCGATATGCAAAATGTGTTTTGTTTATTTTGTACATACATACCCCCGCATCCCCATTCGCATTCTACATTTATCATATAGGCATGCAGTAGTAGCTTAGCTCTGTTTACAATGTCATCCTATATAGATATGTTCATGCTAGTTTTCAGTTGCCCGCAAGGAGTAGATTATCAATAGAGACTATCACTAAGTTTATACTGTTCCTCTGGACATTACCACATTATAGTAACATTCCCAGTACTTCAGTAGCGTTCAATCTGTCCGTGATACTATCTTTCTACTAGTATCCGGGTAGACGTTGATCCTGAGGTCATGAATATAATCACTCTTTCCTCCATCTAGTACTTACTTGGTAGTTTCCTGATTAATTGAAACATACGAGAAGTGGACCATAAAACTGAATTAGAATAATTAATTTGAAATTTCATATCACGTCATTCCTAAATCTGTACAAATCGAAGCAAACTCTTTTCTTTCACCACGCTCTTATCCTCTCTTCATATATGTCTTTCCTTGAAAACACAATTTTCGTACTTTTCTCTTCCCAAAAACCCCGAGAAGAAAAAATGTTTGGAGCAAGAAACCAAAACGGACCCGAGATATAATGCAAGTAGAAGACGATGACAGCAAAACCGAAATATGCTAGCTAAGTTGGGATGAACGATTTACTGGCTCTCAGCCTGCTTGGTCAGAGCGTCAATGTCAACCTTGGGCTTGCTGGGACCGTTCAGCATTTCCAGAGCTTGGAGGTCGTCGTCGGTGAGGGTGTTGGAGCGGATGGGGCGGAAGGGAGCGGGGGAGCCGGAGCGGCTGGTCAGGAACTAATCAAGAGAGTACATGTTAGTGGATGTAATTCTTCATAGATGAATAGGTTCCGGGGGAACATACGGAGCTGGCGGCGCTGAGCAGGGCGATCAAACTAGCCTGGACCACATCCTGGTGGATACCAACACCCCAGACTTGTTCCTTGCTGCCTGCCGCAGTGCACTGGATATACGTCGCGGCCTTGACATCACGACCCAGACCGATGGAGTGCTCCTTGTAGTCGACGACGTCGAGATCGATGCCCAGAGTGGCCAGGGCGTGGGCCAGGGAGGAGATGGCACCGGGACCGACACCAGTGATGGCGTGCTGGATGCCGTCGATTTCGATGACACCGGTGAAGCGACGCTTGAGGTTCTTGGTGTTGAGGGCCTTGCCGGGCTCAGGAGGCGCAGGCGACTGCGAACGATCCGTGGTGATGTTGTAGTCGACCAGGTTGAAGCGGGGGTTGGACTTGAGGTGGTAGGCTTCCTGGAAAAGCTCGACGACTTCGGAGGGGCGCAGCTCGCGGCTGACTTCTTCGGTTCTGCGCTGCACGATCTTGCTGAACTCGACCTGCAGGGCGCGCGGGAGATCCAGCTCCAGACTGCGCAGGATAACCCAGGCGGCACCACCCTTGCCACTCTGGGAGTTGACACGGATGACGGCCTCGTAGTTCCGGCCAATGTCCTCGGGGTCCAAGGGGAGGTAGGGAATTTCCCACTTGGCATCGGGGCTGGCGGTCTCGCGCAGCTTGAATCCCTTCTTGATGGCATCCTGGTGACTGCCACTGAAGGCGCAGACGACCAGCTGACCACCATAGGGCCATCTCTCGTTGACGGGGATCTTGTTGCTTTCCTCGACCACCTTGATGACCGCATTGATATCGGAGAAGTCCACCTTGGGGGAGATTCCCTGGGTGTACAAGTTGAGAGCCAAGGTGACCAAGTCCACGTTACCCGTGCGCTCGCCGTTTCCGAACAGGGTTCCTTCTACTCGCTGGGCACCGGCCATCTGAGCGAGTTCGGCGGCGGCAATGGCGCAGCCACGGTCATTGTGGGGGTGGATGGACACGACGTACTTCTCGCGCTCGGAGACATTACGGCAGAAGTACTCGACCTGGTCGGCGAAGACGTTGGGGGTAGACATCTCTACCGTAGCCGGCAGGTTGAAGATGATGGGGTCCTTCTCCGTGGGCTCCCACGCCGCCTTGACGGCTTCACAGACTTGAGCAGCGAACTCGGGCTCGGTGTCGGAGAAGGTCTCGGGGGAGAACTCAAAGTGCCATTCGGTTCCGGCTGTCGACGGGTCATCCTTGGTGATTGAGCGAGCATACTTGGTGCAGCGCACGGCCATCTCCAGACTCTTCTGCTTGTCCATGTTGAACACGATGCGACGGAAGCAGGGGCTGGTAGCCAGGTAGATGTGCAGAATAGCCTTCTTGGCACCCTTCAGGGAATCGACCGTACGACGGATCAGATCTTCTCTGCAGGGGGAGAGGACCTGGAGCCAGACATCATCGGGGCACAGACCGGGAGTCTCAACCAGGCTACGGGTGAAGTCGAAGTCGGTTTGCGAGGCGGAGGGGAAAGAGACTTCGATTTCCTTGTAGCCAATGTCGACGAGCATCTTGAAGAAACGGAGTTTTTGTTGCCCATCCTGTGTGTTTCACGAGAGAAGTGGTCAGCTGGGTCCCGCTATTCTTCTCGCCCCTAACTAGACACTGTAATGAACTTACCATAGGGTCGGGCAGACTCTGGTTGCCATCACGCAGATCGGTGGCCAGCCACCGGGGCGGGTTGTCGATGGTCTTGTTGGGCCATTGGCGGTCGGGAAGGTGGAGGGGCTGAAAGCGCTTGTATTTCTGGGAGGGGTCCTTGAGCCTGGATACAGAGTCAGTGGATGTGAGTCAACTGATGCAACGGTCAAGTATGACTGCGGAAAACATGCTTCTATTGCAGACACGACCAGAATTGAGGAAATTGAGCATTAGTGGGAGACACGTACATGGGCATGATGGAGGAGAAGCGGGAGGATCCGCAGCGGGGAAATGAGAGGAGAGGAAATGCGGGTGGAAGATGAGGGGGGAGGAAAGTGGTTGAAGATAGATCAGTAGTTATTCACCTCACGCAAGGAGAGAGGGAGGACAAATCAGTGATTCTTGAAGAGAGAAAGGGAGAAAGGGAAGAAAAAAAAGGTATGAAGCTTAAAAAGAAACCAGGAACGGGGACAGACAAACGGTGACGCAGAGGAAAATGGTAGGATTTAAAGGCGACGGGCGAGTGGCCGCCATGAGTCAATTGGAATGACGCTCGCCGCCTTTGGCCCTCGAAATTTGCGCCGACAGCGGATGGCGGATCGCCTTCTGATTTGGTACCAGCCAGGCCTGATGAAAAGTCACCTCCAACCATCATGTTACATACTCAAAGTTAGTACTACTAGTATTGCACCCTCCCCCTGGCAACTCGATGGGTCTTTCCGAATCAATCACCGGCCGAGAATTAGCAATTTGGTACGAAATCCCACTCCACCCGTGATCAATTTAGCTGGCTGGTTGGATGAACTGCAAGAGCACTCGGCTTCTCCGCTCTCTCCTCCATCTCGGCTCGCCGACACCGGAGTCCCTCGCCGCCCTTGCAGCACCCCGCTGTCCCCGTCGATAGCCGTCGACAGCCGCTACCCTGATCCCCCCATGGTCTTGATAGAAGGACTAGAATCATACTGAATAGGAAAAAGGAGGGATATACTTTGTAACTAATAAGAAGATCGTGAATGGTCTGAGCAGAAAATGAAAAATATATCTATACAGTATATCCACAATATGCTAATGCGAATAATGATAATTTTTTTTAGAAAATCCTTCTGAGTCCGTCCCGTCACCTCACCCTTGTGACTCATTTCTTGCCCTTCTTCTTGTTGTCCTTCTTAGCTTTGGGCAATTGCCCATTCTTCATGCTCTCCCGTGTTGCCCGGCCCTTCTTCCAACCAGCACCCGCTTCCTGGCGCTGACGGGAATCATCCAGACGCTTCTTGTCCTTGTTGCTGAGCTTCTGCTTCTCCTTCTTGGACATGCCGGCATCGGGCCCGTTGAGCTCCGCCGCGCCCAGCTTCCGCGCCGCCTTCTTGTCGCGCTCCGTCTCGAACCAAGTACGCTTCGGCCGCGACTTGATCTCCGCCTCGTGCTTGATCAGGTTCTCTCCCTTGGTCACTTGCATCTCCGCCTGTGCCAGCTGCTTCTCGAGCTTCTCCTCCGACAACACCTCTTCCACCTCGTCCGCCAACTCCTCCGCCTTGGCCGCCCAGGAATCCGCCACCGCCGGTTCAATCACACGGCTGGCAATCTTGGCTCCTTGCGACTTGCCCGCCTTCACCGCCGCCTTGACCACCTTGCGGTCAGGCTCGGCGGCAATGGTGCAGGCCCGACCGGAGCGGCCCGCACGCGCAGTACGACCAACACGATGCAGGTAGATCTCATGGCTCTGCGGCGCTTCGTAGTTGATGACCGTCTCAACGCCCTTGATATCCAGACCACGCGACGCCAGATCCGTAGCCAGCAGGAACGCCGCCTTGCCCTCACGGAAATTCTCGACACTCTTGATACGCTGTAGTTTGGAAAACCCCACGATTAGTATCATCGATCGTATTGAAGAAAATGAAAGTCGATGTAAAATAACATACCTGTTCTTGGCTCATGCTACCGTGGAGCTCGGCAGCCTTCAAGCCCAGCAGTCCGAAGATGATACGCACCCGGTGCGCCTCCTTCTTCTGTCGGAAGAAGACAATCACCCGACCGGTGTAGATCTCTTTGCAGAGGTAGAGAAGGTAGCCTAGTCGCTTGTCCTCACGTCCGGGGCGCAGACGCACGAATTCCTGCACCAGTGTCACGGCCGTGTTCTTCTTGGCGTCGACCATCAAGCGCACGGGGCGGTTGAGACCGACGCGAATGAGCTTGTCGACAGTGTCCGTCATCGTAGCCGAGAAAAGCATAGTCTGGCGCGACTTGGGGATCGTAGTGAGAATCTCGTTCAACTCGTCGGCGAAACCGTCCTCGAGCATGCGGTCGGCTTCATCCAGAACCAGGATTTCCAGAGTATCAACGGTGAAGCTGGCCGAGTTGCGCATGTGATCAATGAAACGACCGGGGGTGGCGATGATCACATCGGGACGCTTCTTCAAGATGTTCTCCTGCTCGCGAAGACTGAAACCACCGACCAGCTGACAGAAGGTGATGTCCGTGTATGTGGCCAGCTTTGTAGCGACATTGTAGCACTGCACCGCCAATTCACGGGTGGGCATGAGAATGGCAACACGACTCGTCGGGACCTTGCGCGGCCGGAACAGCAGACGTTCGAGAATCGGGACAACGAAGGCGGCAGTCTTTCCGGAACCAGTAACGGCACTACCGACAATATCCTTGCCCAGGAGAGCCACGGGGATCGTCTTGCGCTGAATGGGTGTAGGGTTCGAGAAGTTGACTCCGGCGAGACCACGAAGGATGGGACGAGAGAGGTTGAATTCCTGGAACGACCGCTTCGCATCTGCCATAGCAGACTCGGAAGTCTTTTCCTCCTCGGGCGCGAAGAAAGCCTTGCGCTTCTCCTCTTCCTCGGCGTCGACCTGACTCTCCTCGTCCGAGTCCCGATCAGAGGCAATATCATCCGGGTGCATGACAGGAGTAGCAACCGAGTCGTCATCCGAAGCAGCATCGTCATCATCCTCATCCATCTGCTCGTCTTCATCACTGCCCTCAGCCTCCTCATCAGACCCTTCTTCCTTCTCCTCATCCTCCGCATCGGACTTCTCGCTCTCCTCCTCCCCATCGACACCCATACCGAACCCATCCTCCGCAAGCAGCTCATCATCCCCAAAGTCGACCTCCATACCACCATCCTCCTCATCATCATCCTCCAATTCACTAAACTCCTCCTCTTGCTTCTGCTTCTTCTTCTTCTGCTTGCGAATCAACTCAGCCTCCTTCTTCGCCTGCCTCCTCGAAATAATATCATCGATATCCACAGCCTTCTTATCCCCACCCTTACCCTCCTCATTACCATTAACCTCCCACCCATCGAAATCCCTAACCTCATTCGCAGCACCGCCGACATCGAACTCGAAATCCGAATTAAGCGCGCCATCATCTTCACCCTGATCCTCTTCCTCCTCTTCATCCTCATCCTCTTCCTCCTGAACAGGGGCATTCTTTCCCTTCTTTTTCTTCTGTTGTGCTTGTTGTTGCTGTTGTTCCTGCTTCTTCACCTTCTTGTTCTTCCCCTTCTCCTGCTGCGCCGCCGCAGCATCATCTCTCTTGCGCTTCTTCGTTTTCGATCCCGTGGCTAGCGCACCATCGTCGCCCTCGCCCTCCTCTTCGAGCTGATTTAACGTGTCATTCTCATCGTCCGACAATGTGAGCACGAAGTCGTCGTCGGCGTTCGCGCGCTTTTTCGTTCCGGCCATGGTTGGCGTGTGGGGGGAAAGGGAAGGAACAAGAGATTTCTTCCTTTCTTGTGAATTGGGTTGCGTGAAATAAAATGTAGCAAAACAAGTTAATGGGTTATAAAAAGGAAAGAACACTCTCCTCCCTATGTTCCAATTCAATGGGTATGTTATGTATGTTGGTATCGGGATAAAGATGGAGAAAAAAGTTCAAATTTCGAAGGCGGTGGAGGGCGTTTGCGATGGCAGAATCTTGTGCTTACTGTCGTCGGGGAGGTGGTGATTGGTTGCGTTGTTTATCGATATGGGATCCACTCTAGCACTACTTGCTACTTACTGTATGTACCTAGATTTCTGGATAGTAAGATAATTCTACTTATAACATAGCATTGGGTGCATCTTCTGAGTTGGAAGTCAAATTTCCGTTTCAATTTCAATTTTCAATTTTATCAACTCGAGTAAGGAAGCTTTTTATCTGCATGCTCGTAGATATTTGATACACTGTAAACTGACGTCCGCCGCCGCTTATGGTGCGTCGGCTTCCCTTTTTTTTTGCCCTTTTCACTTGTTTTTGGTGTTATTGTTGATTTGATTGATGCTGGAGCACATGGATTCGTCTGCATAGGCCGGATAAGGTTGATTAAGGTTTTGCAGGAATCATTGGTGCGTTGAAGAACTAACAAAGGAAAAGATCACAAAAGAAAATAAGGGACGGACTACTACTCCAATGTCCAATAGTCTCATCACTGTCTTCTGTCAGTCAGCCAGGTTCTTGCTGTATTAGAAGCCTGCCGAGAAAGACAGAGAGAAAAGCCTTGCTTGGAGTTTCTCGGTTGTCGCTGTCCATGAGATTGGATCATTTTCAAGACTGGGGGCGAGATACTCCATGCAAGCTAGTCCGGATTAAACTACCGATATGGGAGAGCGAATATGTTGTTGTGGACAAAGTAAGCAACGTCGAGACTAGAATAGTTGTTAGTCAGGTTTGAATGTTTGATATCATCATCATTATAGTGAAGCAGGATTAGCACTTACAGTCTCTCATTCTTAGCGCGGACTCCGCACAAACGTCCCTGCAACTCGAAGTTGTTCTTCGCCAACCAATCTCGGACCCAGCTCTTTGACTGACGTTCTTCCGGGATGTAGGTGAATTTAAAGATCAGTCGAGCAAACTCGCGATGTCCTCCCAAGCCGTAGCCACTGAGACCAGTGTGGTTGAAATCGTAACCACCCTTAGTTCTGTGGTTCCCATCACATACCTGCAAGAGCTTGTCCATAAGACAATTTCCAATGCCTTTGCGCTGCTGCTCTGGGATGACGAACAATTCCAATTCTGCGGTATACCTTCCACTGGTTTCCCAGCCGGTGTAGTCTTTGGCAGTGGCGTAGCCGAAGATAGTCTCTCTCTGGTGGCCAGAACCGCGCTCCACGGCAACAATGAAGGGAAGACGGGCGTCTCTGGCGGCTTGGATACGCTCCCTGACGTCGTCTGGCTGCACGGTTCTAATATCAACGCTCACGAAGGAGTTTTGGGCGTACCAGTTGTAGATGGGGAGAAGCTGATTGGCGTCTCCCACATGTGCAGGTCTGAGATAGATGTTCGCCCTAGGCGTGTTGGGGTTTGGCGGCATGGTGGCCATGCATTCCAGTTGCATGCGGCGCGATAAGGCGAGTTTTTGCTCTTCGAGCTCTGCTTCGACTTTTTTGTGCATGACCAGGTTGTAGCTGAGACCTGCCGCCGTCTCGTGTCTGTGTCGATGACCTAGCTCATCATTTGGATTGAGGATCGTGGTGGCCTTCGGTAGATCCGGGATGAGAAAGGTTCTAACACCATCCGGATGGGCAGTGCCATCAAAGAAGCCCTTGTGGTATATATCTGCATAGCAGGCATTCTCAATCGTCTCGTCGAGCCAAGAACGGAACTTTTGAAGCCATGAGTCGTAAAAGGGAAGCATAGGAGGAGCCCACCACCAATCACACAAGTGGTCGTACTTCCGCCATTTCTGATATGCGCTGGGCGGGAAAGTGGGAGGTGCACCTCGAGAGGCATAAGGATGAACTCCGAACTTCTGGGTCTTAGCTCGAAGGGTGGCCTGCGCCTCGGACGGCTCAGGTGAGAGGGTCACTTGGTTATTAATCACTTGAGGGTAATTGAGAGACTGTTTTTCGTATGCGTCCCACTGTGGGGCCTTAAGAAGGCTGTCGAAGCTGAATTTAAGCTCCTCGAGGTTATCGAGGCGGTCATCCTCTGGTTCCTTATCCGAGTCATTGACCATAGAGAGAGCCTCGACGTTCAAGTCGACTTCTTCCATAGGACGCACGCATCGATTTTTCTCGATCTCCTGATAGACTTCCGACTTTGGATCCACCCCTGGGCCGTCCCGACATTTTGCTACTACTTCATCATCTGCGGTTTCGACCTCCTCCTTGCATAGATTCTGATAGATCTTGGCAAGTTCCTCCTTTTGTAATCTTCTAATCTCTGCTCGCAGCTCAGCACGGGTAGTAGGCTGCTTCTCCCCGGGAGGTTCGCCCGCTGGCTGTTGAATACTGCCTCCAGGAGGGGTATCACCACCGGCCTCTAGTCCAGTCTGGCCTGGAGCATCCTGCACCTTGGGCTGCAGTGTTTCAGCTCTGGGATTGCGCAGGACGACGTAGTCTGAGTCACTGCCGGATGACATTTTTCCCTTATTAACTTCTCAGGTGTCAGTCAGCACATTCCATGGCAAGACAGAGGGAGCGATATTTATCGTTTACCGAGTAGAGCAAGCTTATGCGGCAAGCCAGACGAAGTATTTCGAGTGAATCTTAACTGACCTGGCCTCTCAGGTGCTTTGGAGACGTGTGAGATGAGAGGAGTGTGGAAAGTATGTGCGGTACCTCGCCGGTTTCTCTGCTCAGTCCCTAGACCTCCTTTGTTTCTAGGGAGGATGCGCTGGTCGGGATTCTGATACTGATGGTTTCTTATGTGTGGAGGGATGTAGGGAGATGGTGAAGATCGGGAAACTGAAATGTGAGAAGTGTCACGCAATCCGCTCAGTGGCACGGGTAACTTGACGGTGATTTTGGAAGAGCTTGAGGGGTGTGAGGGGGGTTTGCTTTCATTTAAAGGCAATCGGCTGGTGGCCACGACCGGCTCCGGTGCTTTAAAGCACTTGGGAATCGCCGTAGCGATTGCCTTGTGCGGCTTACAGGTGACTGTACTGATATTTGTCGCTCTCACAACAGTTGCTTGCATCTTATTAACCTGACTCGGACTCACTAGATTGCGCTGAGGTGAAGCGGTGTTGTTATTCTCGGCACATCGTCGTGGCGAAGGCCGGTATCCAGGAGACCGGTATTTGTTGGAAATCGAGGCGCTTGATACACTATCACGTGTCCCTTTGATACGTGCCCATAAGTCTGGGCTGTCATAGTCATAGTTATTCTCTTGTGACATTTCTAACAGTGTGAGGTAGGTTAGTATCACTCACATCATCTCTCCCAAGGGTATTCATGTTAGGCAAGGAGGGTCTTACTTGACATTGATTGTACTCACTGCTGATAGAGGCCTCTGAAAAGACTGAATCACAGAATTCTATCTAATCGAACAAGATATTCTGTTTCCTAATCTTTCATATGGCTTCTGTCGTTATGTGACAACACGCATGAGAATGAGGAGGTTCTTGCCCCGCTGTAGACAGGGACATACTGGAGAGCATGGGATGTGCGCACTATTTAACGACTTGATACCTCTCTAATGTCACGCTATGCGCATATGGTGAATTCTGATAGAGCTGGAATTAAGTGGCTGCCTGTTATGTCTGCGTGAAGAAAATACATTGCTATTCCAATTACTTGATATTTCGTAAGGGCTATACTCACATTTGTTGTTCTTGTTGTGAAAGTGAGGAAGTGAAAGAGTCAGGACTGGAAATACTATTGCAGAGAATTGCAGGACTACATTAGGGTTGTTATTGGTTGTTCATGGGACACATGGCCTATGATGTCCCACTGTGATGTGAAGGAGGTGTAGTAGATTTGACAGTGAGCGGGATCTATATCGAGCTCCTCGTCTGTCCAATCTTTCTCTCCCCTTCAATTACCCCAACTACAAACTGCAACATCACTAAGAGACCAGTGAAGATGTTATCCAATTTGAGAAAAGCCCGGCTGAAGGATAAGGAGATGCGAATCCTGATGCTGTAAGTTTTACCCCGTGATACATACAATTTACGAAGTGATTCACTAATAGCCATGGCGACAGAGGTCTGGACAATGCCGGGAAGACCACCATCGTTAAGCAGATTATGAACGAAGATGTCACTACTGTCAGCCCGACATTGGGTTTTATCATCAAGACAATAGATTTTCAAGGGTATTATTATTTGAATTTGATAATCTGCAAGAATCACTCACTGACTTCTATGCAGATATAGACTCAATATATGTAAGGAGGTCGACCAGTGATACCGCCCAGACTCCACTGACCACTTGCCATCAGGGGACGTTGGAGGCCAAAAGACCCTCAGATCTTATTGGAAAAACTACTTTGAGAAGACTGATACATTGATTTGGGTCGTCGATGCGACCGATCGTCTCAGAGTGGATGATTGTAGAGATGAGCTCGCCGGTCTCCTTCTGGAAGAGGTTTGTTGCCATCCCCGCCGGCACCGCTGCGCCCGCCCAGGAAGAGTTTTGCCAGCCACGGGCTAACCGTCACGCAGCGTTTAATGGGAGCAAGTCTTTTAATTTTCTTGAATAAGAGCGAAGTTGAGGGATGTATGAATGAGAATGAAGTTCGAGAAGTAAGCCCATGCCCTTCATCTTACTTTGAACTATAGGTTCTCGCTTTTGGCTCCTCATGCCTTGTCTTTCAGCGGATATTGACTGATGTTCTTGTCCACAGCGGCTTGGCTTGGATTCTATCAAAACACATAAATGGACCATATTACCCTGCAGTGCGATGACAGGAAAGAACCTGCATGAAGGGCTAGAATGGGTTGTACAAGACGCCAAAGATAGGCTTTTCCTTTATTGAGTGCTGTGGAAGTGTCTATGGCTTGCTTTTGACACCCTTTAATGACCACGATATGCTATTTGTTTCCCTTTTTCTATTCATATTTTCGTACTTATGGTCTTTCAATGATAGCAGATGCCATATTGTTTGGCTCTTATGGCATGATGCGATCTTACGATGAAGTTCGTTGGTGGAACGAAATCAATGGTGATGGATTTTGCACCAGCTCTTCGGCACTATTTATATATTCTTCACGGAAAATTCAACCACGTAATAACAGTGCATTTTACAATTGTGGATTTCAGCTCGTCAGCAATGGATTTATACTTACTATATACTAGTAGTAGTGATCATTGAAAAACATGTAACTCTGATCTACTCTCTACAACTTAAGACCAGTTGGACCTCAGGGGACAAGCATCCATGCTGGCTACACTCATTTTGACCGTCGACTAGTACTACAAAGCACCACTAGCAGAGCCCCTGTCTCAATTGCTACTAGTAGTGCCTGGTCGGGTATCGGAACGGCGATCAGACAAATCGCCTTCAGGGTCCACGAACTACACTACGATGGCCCTTGTCGAACATGGTAAAGGCAACGGTGTTCCCAGTTCCCACTAGGGAGCGCCTCGCTTCGTAATTTACGTCAACCACGAGGTTTCAGCAAGGATTGCCGCCAATGTGTCTCACGATACGTACTACTAGTCCTGCGCCGGGTTGAAGGGGACTTAATGTCGTCAGACCCGACTAAATGCTGTGTGGTTGATGGGAAGCTCCCGGTTATCTTCGTATCTCCACCTTCTTCCCCCTTCCCTTCAAGGCCATCCGTGGATTCCACACCAGTTAACCAAGCTTTGTGTGCCGAGTTTGACCCAACCGAGGTTCCCAAGGATCGTAATGCTGCCCGAGTAGGAGGAAACTGGAAAGCAGGCCGTCAGCCAGAAAAAAATTGATTGCGTATCCGATCGCGGGGCGGCAGAGAAGGTTGAGATTGACTCCACCGCAAAAGCCGGACCCGGAAAGTAAACAGTTCTCCTTGTAGAGAAACTTCAAAACATCCCCTCTCCAATGGATGATGAAGCTTTTGGGAAATCAGAGAGGAAACCCCTCTTTGTTCGGGATTTGCGACGCGATCAACCCATTCAGGACTGGGTTTGATCTCGCCTAGTAGTGCCGGGTGGGAGAAACTCAAGGGGATCAGCTCACAGCCGCAGAGCGAGAGAGATGCGCAGTGTCAATCCGGTCGGGCGCCTCATCCTAATTTCCTCTGGGCTTCCGGCAGTGGGGCGGCAGCTGATGTGCGTGCCTTCGCCGGATTTTATTTGACGATGGAAGAGCATTACTATTCTTGCCTTCACGGCGCTCAGCTGGCCATCGATACGGATCCACCACTAGAAACGAGAAAGACGCTGCCCGGCTCTCGCTGCCATTCCTTCACACTGGATCGCCCAGGGTGAAAGGTGGAGTAAACCCGACAACGACAACAACAGCAACAGCAACAGCAACGACATGAGCTGGAGGCACACGATTATCCCTTCCTGAGGCTCAGACCCGGCACAAATCAGTCACAAAAGTCTCTCAAGCGGGCAAGAGCCAGAGAGTCGCTCAATCACCACCACCACTGCTAACCGTGACACTCCCTCCACTCTTCCTGATTACTTCAACATCTCTGGTTCACAAGCAACCAAATCATTCCCCCTCTCTTCCCCTTCCCCCCCTCCTCCCCTCTTCAGTCTGGTGCCTCTTGCCACACCCCACCGTTCCTGGGGGATTTTTGTCGGTGTTTATTCGGTTTGAAAGGGCATCATTTCTTTTTCTGACTTGCCATTTCTGCTTTGTTCCCTCTTTTTTTCCCTTCTTTACCCAATTTTTGGGCTCATTGAGAAAGTGCCAAGCTGGCCATGTCGTCCACAACCGACGCGGATGGCACTGAGGATGTCAACGACTTCCTTTTGCGCATCCGCGAATTAGGAGAGAAGCGCGATAAAGAGGACGAGGAACGCACAAAGAAGTTGGAGGAGGAAATCCTGCAGGGTCGGAAGGAAAGGCAGGCTAGGAGAGCTGGTATTTGATTTCCCTTGCTTTTTTTTTATTCCCCGGCGGAGCCCCTTTCAAAGTGAATTTCCAGTCGCCATGACTCACGGTTGGCTGGCGGTTGGCTGGTCCTTTTCCAAATCTGTCATCTTCAGGAATGCTGACTGTGTCCGTTTTTTTGGGATCCAATACAGAGCGGGCACGGTCGATTTCCCCCACGAAAGATTCACCAATATTAGATCCCGCTCGGTTGAGCATGTCTTCTTTCAGCCAGCGAGCGATTGACCCTCCAGAACACCTCGAACCTACCCCTCATACGCCCGGGCATGACACTGGCAACGGGGCTGATTCGGTTCGAGATGACGCATCGATATCTACAGACAATGGTCGGAGGGGGTCTACATTGACGGCAAACGATGGGGAAACTGCTTCCAGACCTATCTCACCTTTCCGGAGCAGAGCCGGCACTCTCTCCTGGCAACAAAGGCCTACGTCTCGGGATAGCAACAGGGCTTTCTTCTCCGCGTCGCCCTCCCGTGAGAGCCGTTTCAGAGCCATGTCCACAACGTCTAATGACGATCATGGGGTATCTAGGAGCCCATTCGCGTCTTCCCCCTCGTTCAAAGACGTACCGTGGTCTCGCCACACAGAGGGAGGGAGCCCTTCTCCGACCCGCGCAAAGCAGGTAGAGGAGGACTCACTGCACCCTCTGCACCCTGATACTGGCGCCAAGGAGTTGGAAGCAAATCAAGAGCACACTACAGAGTCGGCGAAGGAAGCAGAAAATCACGAGATCGTAGAAGAGCGATCACGGTCCCCGTCAAGAGCAAGTTCAACGTTTGCAGAAAGTAGTTTGGGCAATCGGTATTCGAGCATATCTTCTGTGTCGACGGCCACTGGGCTTGGCTCTCCTTTGCCTTTGACGAGCGCACAGAAACTCGAGCCGCGAAAGACGGAGGACGGCGCAGATGACCAAATCACATCACCCCCCTCGCCTAGGCGTTTGTCTCCCGAGCGTTCTACATCTCCTACCAAGGGGCTCGGTGGATTTGTGCAAAGCGCTATGATGAAGCGATCAGACAGCGTGTCAAAACGCTGGAGCGCTCAGCTGCCGTCGGGGCTTAGTCGAGGCAATTCGGTTTCTAGCAACCGCAATAGCTTCGCTGCTCCTTCCGGCAATGATGTTTTCTCCACTGCGCCTTCATATAGAATGAGCAGGGACGGCCCAAGTCTCTCGCCCTCGCGGCCAACCTCTAGCCATAGACCCGGTTCCAGCCATAGACCCGGTTCCAGCCATAGACCCGGTTCCAGCCACAGACCTGGGTCTAGCCATAGCGAAGCGACTGTCGTCCATCCGGTCAAAGATGGCGAACGACCGGCTACACCTCCCGTTCCTGGCAGCAATGGTGCGCGGCTAGATGAAGGGGACCGTAGACCCTCACTCAGCCTGCACACACGGTCTACTAGCTCCGTTGAGAAAAGCACGGACTCCAGCTCGTTACCACCATCAAGCCCGTCAGTTTCGAGAACTATGGACCCCAAGAGATGGAGTCCAACCAAAGCTTCCTGGCTCGAAAGTGCTTTGAACCGCGACGAATCACCCAGGCATAAGCGACAGCCCTCCCAACAGGCTTCCTGGGTCAAAGACCGGCAATCAAAAGGTAGCGTTGACTTGGGTCGAACCGCAAGCTTCAAGGAGGTCACACCCGTGGGTCTTATGCGGACTACTGCTCCTGGTGGTCACTCAAAGACCTCCAGTATCACCGGCATCCCCGACATATTTTCCAATCACGATGCAGGGAAGACGAAAGAAGCAGAACCCGAAACCACCACACAAAGCGCGGATACTCAGGATAGCTATTTACCACCTGCAGAGAAGACCGAAGAGACCTCTCCTTCGAAAGAGGAGTCGCCTACCAAAACAGAGGCGGAACCGGAGAAAACAGAAGATGAAGCTACGAAACACAAGCGTACACCGTCTAATCTGAGCCCGATAACCAAGACCACTATCGATGCGCCCCTGGCATCCCCTCGTGATCCGCTGTTGAATAGGCCCAAGCCTCTGTCTCCTGTAATAGATTTCAGAGCCAACCTTCGACGGAGGGAAGTGGTCAAGGATGAGTCACCCAGGGAGGAACCAGAATTCAAGAATGTCTTCGGAAGGCTGAAGAAAGCAGAGTCCTCGAAGCACGTGCCGCCGGACGAGTTGAAAGAAAATATTCTCAAAGGCAAGGCAGCTCTGAACTCCTCGGGCGGACCAAAAAAGTCGCAGAAAGTGGATGAATTGAAAGACAGCATTTTGAAGCAGAAAGAAGCAATCAAAGCCAGTGGGGGTTCGCTGAGACGTAATACTGCGGGGGAGAAGGATGCTCCCGGCAAATTTGTACCTGAAGCGATTGCAATGCGGAACAATTTGACCAAGTCCAGCAGTATCAAAAGCAATCTTTCAGCAGCCGATTCTTCGTCGCCGCTTTCGCCGCTCTCGCCTAGAGAGCCGGGCACACCAAGAAGCACGCATGGCTTCCAGGTTGCATCGCCACTGTCCCCTGCCGGCGGCGAGTCTCTTGAAAAGTTTCAGGATTCGCCAATCGCCCCAGAACCACCCAAGCCCGGCGCTGATGATAATGCCGAGGAGGCGGCTGAACCGAAACTGCCGGAAAAAGAGAGAGGATGCGAACAGGAGAAGACGGACGGGGCAGAGGTGAACGCCGAAGAGGTAAAGGAGGAGGGCATCAATCCGGTGCGTTCTCTGCCACCGGGGGATTTGATGCAGGCTACAAGTGCACCTGCTGAGACTGAGGGTCCTGCTGCTAAAAGTAAACTCGCAGGCCGATTAAATCCTGCCTTAGCGGGCCTTTTATCCCGTGGCCCGCCCGCACCGATTAACGGGTCGATGAAAGGTCCTTCTTTCAACAGTGCTGGGGAAAGCAGCTCGAGAGTGGAAAGTTCTCAAGCTGCCGCACTCACTCATTTGACCAAGGGTCGAGCTAGAGGGCCAAAGAGACGCCTGCCCCAGGGTACTACACCGGAAGGTACGAACTCACTCTTTGATGAAAGCAATCATGTACCAGAGTCTCCGCCAACACCTTTGGATGCACAGAGACCAGAATCGATGTACTCGGAGACGGAGGAGGAAAGTGATGCTCCGGATATGCCAGCACATGTGGATGTAGAAGAAGCCGAAGACATGCCATTGCACACGAAGACGGCAGATGCTCTAGAGCCATTGACATACATGGAAGAAAAGAACCCCGAACCTGCGAGTCCAGTCCAGGAGGCTATCACGCATGCACCAGAGCTTCCGGAAACTGTGGGACAGCCAGAGCATGAGCCCCTGAGCCCACTGCATAAGGAGAATACTAATACACCAGAGCCGTCGGCACCCATGATTGAGGAACCCGAACCTGCTAGCCCAGTCAAAGAAGGAATGAACTATGCAACCGAGGTTTCAGCGCCTATTCACAACGATGAATCTGAGCCTATGAGCCAATTCCAGGAAGAAGTCCACGATGCACCAGTGCTCTCAGCACCCATGATTGAGGGACCTGAACCTGCTAGCCCAGCCAAAGAGGAGGTGAACGATGCACCCGTGGTTTCAGCGCCTATGGATAAGGATGAATTTGAGCCCGCGAGCCCACTCGGGACAGAAGCCCACGACGCTCTAGTGCTCTCAGCACCAACGGATAAAATGGAAACTGAGCCCGCAAGCCCTATCCGAGTGAAAATAAACGATATACCGGTGGTCTCAGCACCTATTGATAAAGACGAACTTGAGCCTGCAAGCCCATTCCGGGAAGTAGTCCACGATGCACCGGTGGATAAGAATGAAACTGAGCCCGCGACTCCGATCCAAGAGGGAACAAACGATGTACCGGTGGTTTCAACATCCGTTGAAAAAGACCTTTCTGAGCCTACGACCCCACTCCAAAAAGAAGTCCACGATGCACCTGAACCCGTGAGCCCGATCCACGAAATCAGTGTTGCGCCAAAGCTCTCGGAGCCCCTGGTTAAGGAAGAAGCCACCCCTGCCTTCCCAATCCACGAGGAGTCCGATGATGTATTAGTGCCTCCAGCACTTATGAGTAGGAAGGCACCTGAACCTGCAAGCCCAATTCTGGAGGATATCAACGGTGCACCGGTTGCCTCGGCGCTTTCTGGTAAAGATGAACCTGAACTTGTGGGCCCAGTCCAAAATGAAGTTCACGTTGCACCGGTGCTCAGTGCACCTGCGGGTATGACTGCTCCTGGTCCTACGAGCCCGATCCAAGAAAAAGCCAATGGGGCGCCAGATTTCTCGACTCTTTTGGAAGATGAAGAGGCCAAGCCTCTGATCCCAGTCCGAGAAGGGAGCATCCCTAAGCCCGAGCCTTTAGCTTCTGCGGATGGCGAGAAATCTGAGACTACAAACCTAGCTCTCGAGAGCCCTAACGCCCCAGGACTGTCAGAACAGGCAGAAGAGACAACACTTGAAGCCACAAGCCCAATCTTGGAAAGGAAAACTTATGTACCACCACCACCGGTCCATATGGATATTGAGGAAACTGAAGCTACAAGCCCGGTTCACTACGAGACTACTGAGGCACTGGAGATGCCGGCCAGCGAGGACGAGGACAGGCCTTCATCGTCAATATTTGAGGTGGATGAGCACCCATCTGCCTCTTTGAATGCGCACGTTCCCGAGCCCATGTTTTCTGACCCAAGAGAGAAGAATGGTGTTCTGAGTCCCTCTGCGCCCAAAGCGGAAGAACCGAAAACCAAGAGTCCAGCTCCTGAGGCAGGTGATGCAGTACCGAATTCTCCATCAGAGCTTTCGGATGCACACGAGCCAGCACCTGCGCGTCCAACCTCGGTCGACAATATTGGTACTGTGAAGTCTCCATCATTGGATGCAGAGTTCGAGCCTCCAAATGCTACGTCAGAAGTAAATGAGGCGATCCCGAAATCTCCAGCATCTACTTTGGATGCACAGAGGTCAGAAGCACACATCTCACCCATTGGCAGTCCTGCGGGAGTCTCCAGCGGCTGGCCCCTTCCTAATACTGAAGTCAAATCCCATGACGAACCGCAAGAGAGCCCGAGCCAACATGACACGCCAGCAACAAGCAAGCCAACTGAATTCAAGAGGAGCATCCCTCGTTTAATAGAGAGAGAGACACCGCAGAAGCCCGACGACGCGAGCCCTAAACCTTCAACGGTGTTGGATCAGACTGCTACCAATATTCGAGAGAACGCCAGCGCATACTTTAAGAGCATACGGAGCTCACTCTCGGCGAAGCCTCCTCTGCCACCCAAAACAGCTCCACTGCCAGCAACACCTGTCTCTAACCAGACACGGGGCTCGCCGACTCACTTCTCATCACCTTCTCCTTCGCCTTTGAGGGGAAGCTTCAGGGATAATCAGAGCTATACTCATCCAGCACAGCAGAGGTCCGCGTCCTCGCTTTTTTCCAGCATAGGCTCACGCAACTCGTCGCCACGGGATAAAGCCTTGCCTTCTCCCCCTGTTCCTCCTAAGGGGTCCAGGGCCTCTGTTGACCGCTTCTCCTCGAGATCTTCAACATCTCTTGTACCTCAGGCCGATGAATCATGGGAAGCCATCTCTGATTTCTTCAAGACCTTCCCCAAATCTAGCGACCGTGTCAACATTGATACGCAGCTGATGCTGGCTGATAAGAGTGACAATGCCAAGATCAGGACTTTGAAGAGACAGTTGTGGGAGATTACGGGAGATGGGAAGAAGCAGGATCTTCCTGTTAATCAGGAATATATCCTGTATGAAGGAAGCATGTACCTGTGCGTACATCTTTTCGAGGCCGATGGCACTGTACGCTCCGAAGTGCACCTCTGGTGTGGTGATGATGTCCCCGACTCGGCAGTCGATGATGCCCAGGCTTTCTCTCGTAAAGTCGCCAAGGATAATGGGTCCAAGCTGGAGATCATCAAGCAAGGCAAGGAACCCGCTCGGTTCATTCAAGCTCTTGGGGGCATTCTCATTACTCGTCGCGGCTTGAGTTCTCGCTCCAGCTCCTCCGCCATCTTCATGCTCTGCGGGCGCAAGCATCTGGGTCAGATGGTGTTCGATGAAGTCAGCTTCTCGCCCAGCAATCTGAGCTCCGGCTACCCCTTTGTGATCTCTGCGATGTTTGGCAAGCTCTTCCTCTGGAAGGGCAAGGGCAGCTCCGCCGAAGAGATTGGTGCTGCGCGCCTGATTGGCATGGACCTTGGGCTAACCGGCGAGTTTGAGGAAGTGGCTGAGGGTGAGGAACCAGAGAGCTTCTTCGAAGTCTTTCCCCATTGGGAGCGAGATACAGGCGATACCAGCACCGACTACTGGCGTGCAAAACCCAACCACGAGCGATATCGCTCGCGGCTTTTCCGTATCGACCACGAGCTCGGCCAGCGTTCAGGGTTCTGGCTGCGTCGCTCAGGCTCGCCTTCTCCGGTTATCCGGCCCAATGACACTGTCCAGGAAATCGAGCCTTTCTGCCTCAGGGACATTACTGCTAAGGGTGTCTATGTTCTTGACACCTTTTTCGAGATCTACGTGTATGTGTCCCTTCTTTTTGGTGCTTGCCGACCAACTGCTAACATTCTTTTCCCTGATTAGGATCGTGGGCGACCAAGCTTCCAACCGGCCCGCCGAGTTCGCATCTGCTGTAGTCCTCGCGCACGAATATGGAATTCTCACTGCATCACTTCAAGACCGACCCTTCATTCCGAAGAGTTTCGTCGCTCTTGGAGGAGTTCCAGAGTCTTGCAGCACTGCGTTCCGGAAGTGGATCCCGGGCTATCCTTCGCAACGTCTCCCCCAGGTGTTCCCCCTTAATGCGGCTATCGAAGCGATTCGGTCCGCTTAATCTTCCTTTCTCTCGGCTTTTCATTCTTTCTGGGAGGTGTCCTCTCTCGTTGTGGTATACTTTTTTTTCTTCTGGTTTCTAGCTGTGCATAGCGATCTCGCGGGGTTTTACACATGCATATACTAGCTTGGCTGGGCCTATCTGTACAGACTTGGGGACTGAGATGGCATGGGATGGGAAAGTGGAAACATTGCTTTTAAATTCCTAGGAGCCTACATGGCAGGGTGTGTATGTGGCAGTCATTTTGTGCATATCTACATGGCTGTGCTGGGAGTTACGGTTGCTGTTCACTTACTTTTCTTTTCGTACTTCGCTTCGATGAAGATATTGGCGCTGATTCTGTGTACGATACATATCACTTCAATATAGAAAGACTTCTACTCCACAACCCATGATATGAGGTGAGATCCGATGCCGGAACGCGCCGCCAACCATCGTTCAGTCTGGCCTCCCGTCTTTTTTTCGTTTCCTCTTTCATAGTCCTCCCTTGTGAATTGGTAATGTTATGAATTACTGGCATACTTGATATGAGGGAAAAAGAGAATCATAGTAAGGAGGTTTGGCATGAACCGTCAATAAATCTTGACCGACACTTTCTACTTTGCAGGTGGTCAGCTGGAACAAAGCAATTCGAGGATTTCTATTGGCTGACCCATGGTTCAAGTAACTATTAAATAGTAAATGTATACTACTTTATTGCCCCAGTCACAATTCTCTAATTTGCGTCTCTGTTTTATTCCCTTCCCCCTTTCCGTCTCACTGCACAGAAAGAGTAACATCGATCTTCGTGTCCATACCTGACCTGTCTACTTGCTCGTTGAGAACATTTTGTATGAGATCTTTTTGTGATTAGCCGCCTCTGTTTGCTTATTCCGGGACTTCAGCTGGCTTCTGACGAGTAGTAGCGATTTGACTCCAGATCACTCCGGTTTTCGCATATTTGTCCCTTGGTCACGGGTCTCGGAGTTATGGCACTCCGTATCGAGCATCGGTCGACGTCCGCGGGTGCTTTCGTTTTCTTGATCTGCAGATGTGGACACGATGCATCTCCTCGGGTTTGTTGCCTCTAGGTTGGCCAAACTCTTCCGAGGAGGCGCAGAAGCGGCTCTCAGAGAGAAATCTGGTAGCCAGAGTTGGCCGGAATACTACATAACTGGTATCGCCACGGAAACCTCTCGGTGGGAAAGAAATGATGAAAGCAAAGAAAAGAAAGGGAAAGGAAATAGCCCTGGCTTTCGTGGCAGCCACGAGTGGGAAAACAAGCGTGTCCGCGCATTCACCCGTCGGCGCGAATACGTATGTACCATTACCCATTGAATAGTCTGACAATTCAGCATCTGCGCGATGCTCTTCGGGGCCGAGAGGGTTGCCTGTCCCGAACCACAGATATCCCAGCATCAGCACTACTGTACTGCGGTGTAGACCAACCACAATCGCCCGGGCTTCACTCACTCTTTGCCATATGGGAAGGGCTGAATCCCTGCCGCTCATTCAGGTTTAGAGAAACCAAGGATTGCCTTCTTTGATTGCCCATTGGCTTGGCCGTTTTCCCGTTGTAAGGAAATGTAAACAGAGATCATGCTAGGTTATGTCATGCAATGCAGGTGATACCAGGATGCCTGGGCACGCGGCAGAGATTTGGGATGTATAGACTTGATGCGAAGTTCTCACCGGTTCGTGTTGCGCGCTCTATCAATTTCTCTCTCTGTTTTGCCTCCCAGTCAAAGCTATGAGTCTCTTTTTTTTGGGTGTGAGTGTCTCTGTTGTTGTCGGTGTGTCAGTCATGAGGAGGATCGTCATGGGACCATGACGCTGTGCATCGGGATGGGAGACGATTTCTGGCGAAGGACAAAAGCGATAGCACAACGATACCATGGTCATAACAACAACAATAACGATAACAACCAAGGAAGGCGGAGAAGGAATGAAGCACAACAAGCGAACGAGTCGCACTGGAAAGTCATTGTGGACGGGGAGAAGGGATACAGTAGTAAGGAAGAAAAGTCACGTTGCCGTGATTGGCTCCATTTGGCAGGCCGGGCATCAATCCGTCAGTCTTTCTTCCTCCAATCCATCCACTTCTGGTTCGGCTGCTCTTGTCGTGCTTCGTTCCATCCGCACTCCTCGTCTTCCAATCCCGGTTTCTCTCTCTATCCTTCCGTCTTCGGTCCATTTCATGACTTTTTACAATATCCTATCCTTTTGTCTGATATTTTCTGCCTAAATCCTGAGCGATGCCCAGGCTGATCGACGGGATGCTCGCAAGTTGAGATTAACCTTCAGCAGGGGTGACTGTCATAAATGACCTATTCCGAATGCCCCGCGCCTTGCCTGCGCCACAGTCTCCCCAGTACGTTCCTGATGTAAGGATTCAACATTTTTTTGACGGAAGTTTATTTTCAGTAGGGCAAATTGGAGGGGACGAGGTTAAGCAGACGGAGAGAATTCAATCAACACCACCACCACCACTGAACTATCAACCAACCCCTCCGTTCAGGTCCAAGGCCCTGCAGGTGAGCGGACCTTTTTCCCTGCAAGTCGCCCGTGCGGTTTGACTTGCACTCACGCAGGATCCTCGGACCCCTCAGTTCAAAGCGGGTGAAAGAGGGGAAATCACAACAATCCTGCCCTGCTCTTAGCGGTCCTGCTAAAGACTTGAGGGTGTTATCGGATCCCCTGTGGCCCGGGCTTGCCTGATCTCGTATCAAGTCTCTCGAGTCGACTCCATGACACATTGTGTGGCCCGAATGTGACAACAATCAGAGATATTGCAGGAAAAATAGGATGGAGGCATCATTTTTAATCAAATGTAATTCGATTATCCATGTCCATGCCATGTTTTTATTTTTTTCCCGGCTCCCTTTTCGGTGGCTGGACTCCAGTTACGCTTTCGATACAGGTCAACATGCACGGATACTCGTTTTTTTTTCTCCCTTTTTGACGGACTCGGCTCGTGCAGAGATGCAATAAGCGCACGCCGTGCAACCCCTCTGCACCTTGCAAGTCAACTGCAGCCTGATGCGCTGACGCTTACTCAATGTTTATTACACTTCTGTCACCAACAATGCCATTGCACGCATCCTACCAGTGACCTTGGCGGGGCATCCATTCGATAGATTGGCATCCCTGTCTTCCCATATCTTTATTATTATTATTTTTCGGGTGATCTCTTGACAGGGCTCATTATCGTGCCGCTATCATTTTCGACATGACAGCAACGCCACACACCATGAATGGTGTCGCTGATATGACGGGAGTGGACCTTAGCGATACATAGACCCCAGATCCTGTTTTAGACAGTCTACTTACAATACTGCGCTTACAAAGCTCAGAATGATTAACTAGCTCTGTCGATGAACAAAAAGCATTATGCGGCTTTTCTTGACTGGATGGAGGCCACCCGACTTTGCCGCGGTCATTTCCTTTGATTATTATTATTATTTCTAGGTGTGCTGCACGTTCTTTGCTTACTACTAGGCCTAGTTGAGCAGAACATGCCTGTGCAGGTGATTGCCCGAAAATCTGCGGGAAAGGGAAAAAATAGTCAACACAGAAAAAAGGAAAGGGGAAGAGAAAAAAAAAAAAGGTTGGATTTTGGAAAGGAAAAAGCAAGTGACAGGCCGCACCCATTGGGCCAACGCCGACTCATCGCCCTTGGCGTAACGCTGAACTCAGTGTAAAGCACGCGCTCGTCGATTGCATGGCGGTAGTCAGAGTGTTAGTGAGCCGGTCATCCGTGTGCCAATGGCAGCTGGCAAATCATTCGATACGCGCCTGCCAGACAGACTGTGGTATCAAAGTTTTCCTCATCGGTCCCGAGCCCTGCCTGAGTCTACAGCTCCGGTACTCCTGTGCTATGGCCATGTCTCACCCAGCAAGCAGCACTGACAAAACCAAAACCAAGAGGATGACGGGCGAAGGATAGGGAAGATACGGAATACAGAAGCGACCAAGCTGTCGCAAAAGATTATGACGCGACGAGACGAGTACCTGACTGTTCTACCTTGATACGGAAAGGCCACCACTGGCATGGCGCAGGAAGGTCAGCTTGAAGGCTCACTCTGCGCTTCGCTGCCCAAATGACCAGGATTGTGCCCGGCTAGTGCCGATGAGCGGTGCCATGGACATTCTCTGGTTCTGACGGCTCGGACCGTCGACAGGCATGACTGCCTGGCGTGTCTCGCGCCAGCAAAATCGGGGGGAGGGGGGATGGTCACCTGTATCAGCAAACAAACAGAGTGTGGGCTTTTGTCAAGCATATCTGTCCAGATATGCGGGGACCCCTGGTGTACCTGCTAGGCTGCCACAGCCACAACGGCCTGAAGGACGTCGAGCGACCGGTGCCGGTCGATATCGTGACAGGCCGCTTTTTTCCACGTCACCAGCGCGTTTTCTTCTCAGGCGTTGATACTATACGTCTCGGGGGGGTTGAGTGGGGTAGCAGGAGGTCCAAGGGAGGTGCGGGGCATTCGATATACAGGCTGGCATAAAATGACTAAAATGATATCAACTGAAGTCCTCAAAGACAAGACAAGACTTGGTCTCTCAGCCTCCTCTTCTGCCACATCCTCCTCCTCTTCCTTTCCCCCCTTGCAATTATCTCGCACCCCACCTGCTTGCTTAGCTTTGCTTGCTTGCTTGCTTTGCTCCAGCATCTGCCATTCATCTACCTACCCCTCCCCCTCCTTTTCCTCTACTTAGCCATTAGTCAGGTCTCATATCACTATCAGAGCTCCCCCTCCTCCCTCGTCTGCCCTCTTTTCTCTTCCCCCTCCAACTCTCTTCCTGCTCTGTTCCTTCCCTCTGTGGGTGTGCGCAAAGGTTCCTTTCTTTCATCTCTCTGTTGTTATCTTGACTGCACACCGAGAATCCCCTGCAAGATGTCGAGGCAGCCTAAACTGCGACCCAAATCGCATATCCCAGGCTTCCCAGACGCCATCTACAATCTTGCTGCAGTATCATCTTTATCGCAACTTGAGTCTCGCGCAGGACTGGGAGATGACAAGCATGACCAGCGCGTCTTTCGTGTCAAACGCAAGCATGTGCTGAAGGCTTGCGATCGTTGCAGAGTTAAGAAGACCAAGGTTGGTGAAGTACTGGGCTCTTCTTTGTCATCTTTCACCTCTACCCTGGCCTCAGCGCACTATATCGTTGGCCAGCCATGCTCATTCATGTTAGTGTGATGGGAAACAGCCGTGCAATCGTTGTTCGGCCTACAATCATCCGTGTCTGTTCCGGGAACGGAAGGCCACACAGACCAAAGTATACTCTCGAGGGTAAGGTCCTGATTTCTATTCTACATTGTCTTAGTGTGCTCTCCCTTTATGGACTGACAAAACTGACGGGTCTCTGTGAGTGTGAATAGATTCGTTGAAATGCTGGAATCACACCATTCGCTGGTTGTCAAGGCGCTCCAAAGGCTATACAAACTGTGCATTGACAAGGAAGGATTTCCCGGCGAGCCTCTCGTCGAGCTCTCGGACGGTCAGCCTCTAACTCATGCCATCCTGGACCGTCTCGGATTGATCAAACAGGCCGAAGAGAATCCAGAGGAGCCCGAGGAGGATACTGAAGACCTGCGGTATTTGCGGTTCCTGTCTACCTCGACGGACTGCAGTGCTACGACGGATCCCTCACCAGAACCGGCCACTCCTCCGGATCCTACTCCCAGTAGTTGCAGTCCTATCACTCCTACTTCCTCCAAGGGGCCAGAGCCTTGGAAATGGGAGTTGCAACCTGTCCAGCCCCTTCACTCGGGACAATATCATAGTTACTCTCATCCTGGATACCACCAGATGACTTTGCCCCGAACAAACCTGGAGCCACATGGCCTCTCGAGTGAAGATAAATGCCCGGAAGTTGTACCTTCTATGGCCGACCATGGACATCCCCTCTATTACTATATGGCTGCCAGCTGTGATGAAGGGCCCACGAAAGCCCGTCTAGAAACTGGAGTGGCAGCCAGGCCAGGCTCGCACCAGCCCACATCCGCATCGGGATTCCCTGTTGTCATGATGAATGACTTTAACCTCCATGTACCAGCAGAGCAGCCTGTTTACCCATCTCTTCCATCTGGGTGGACATATACATGTGGATAGGGGTGGTCACATATCCTAGTATCTCTATCAAGTGACTGCGGTCCTTTTCATACTCTTCTTTCTACCCACTTTCTTTCATTGGACAGGCCTGACTGTCGCCGTCCATATCTCATTCCTTGTACATGCACATTATACAGGCTGACAGCCATTCTTGGCCGCCTTTTCTGCTTTCTTTAGCTCTGTATCGTGCTGCGTACGGTTTATTGTTCTCTATCATAGCCCTTTACGGAGTACCTGTGAAACTCTCGGCAATGTTTATTCTATATCATATCATACCCGGCACGGCGTTTTGCTCGGCTCAAGCCAGCCGAGACAGGATCCACTGACATGTACAAGCAAGGTCACAGGCGTTGAGGGGTTAGGTTCCTTGACCTTCCTCGACTTATGCGTTCTTTACTACTAGATCTGGGCCCCTATACAGGCCCCTACTTCACCATCAAAGTCTCTCTCAGACTTGATACACCGACTCTTTCTACTCTACTCGCATGCCCTATCTCCTTCCTTCTTTCAAGTTTCTGGTCACATTTCTTTTCTTTCTCTTCTCATATATCCCCAGAACAGAACAGAACAAAGAAGTGATAAGCGAGCAGTTTACTACAACATACATATACACCATGTATCATGCATCAATAGGAGCAGATAACAACCCCTCGAGATTAGAGGGTTTGGTCCCGCAGACATGCACGTACCATGAATGAATCGAACAAACGTTCAATTGAATTAGTCCCCTTTGCACCCCATCTCGTCTAACCCATACAGCAAATAACTACTACTACTACTACTACTACTACTACTACTACTAATGTCAGTCAGCAACTACTAAGCAAGGGCATCATTGTTGGTTAGCTAGTTAACTAGGGAGGGGTGCTGACTAGTCCACTACTACTGTAGACCCAGAAGAAGCCAAGCCAGCATGCAAGCCACACAAACACGTTATGCAATTGCCCCACAAGTGCAGTTGAAGAGTTGATTTAATAGTAATAAATCGACACCAGTAAAAATAAAACATAACATCAGACTGAATAAAAACTATTACTTATTACATCAGAACAAGAGTACTTACTTACTTTCCAACTTACCCACTACCTACGGGTAATAAAATGGACATGATCAAGAAACGATCAGAAGGGGAAGATCAATACGAAAATACTGATATACACCATAAATTAGAAATGGATCCTAATGGATAAGAATAAAAGACATTGAATATGGAAAATATGAAAAATTTCTCTGCTTTCATTGCGAAAATGGTATGGTATGGTATGTAAGTAAGTTATATAATGATGACAAGCAACAACAATGCAAATGCAAAACTGAAAATACTCCATCCACATGAGACACAATCACAACATTGATCCCTTGGATGTAGCAGCTGAAAAACTCCCGTAGTATAGTAGCAGCAGAAGTAGTAGTATCCCGTATAAAATGAGTTTGATTTGATTTGATTTTGTTTTCTTTTTCTTTCTCTTTCCTCTACTTGGAGAATCCTAATCCCCACACTTTACTTGCTTTAGTCGTCAATATCGGTCTCTGTGTTCGTGTCACTGGTATCTCCTGCATCTCCGTCGGTATCACTTTCATCATCGTCGCTGGAGTCGTCAGAGGGCTTCTTGGTCTTCTTCTTGGGTGGTTGGCCGGTCTTCAGGGCTTGCATTTGGCCGGCTATTGAGTCTATATCACATCATGTTGGTTAGTATCAAGTTTAAGTACTGTGAGAGAAAGGGTTACGGGAGGAGAGGGGGAAAGTGGCTTACCCTCGTCAGGTTCACTGATATCATCTTCTTCATCCAAAGCGGCCGCCTTGGCGGGGTCATCAATGTGAAGGGTGATTTCCATCTTAGTGTCCAGACCTAAGTAGCTATCACAGAGCATGTTCAGGACGAAAGTAAAGTCACCGACTTGGGGAGGAGCCTGGAACTGCATCTTGAGAGTCTGCACATTGAAAGTGGGCTTGCCGTCGGTGTCGAAGAGGGGCTTGTCGAAGGTGGTGAAGGTGAAGGGTGGGACAGCCATCTTGCCCTGCTTGGCGTCGGCCAGGAAGATGTGCCACCGGGGCGAGTGGTCGCGGGCCAGGTAGGGAGCGTGAGCGAGGGGAGGCTGGATGGTTTCGACCTTCTCTTCGACCTTGACGCCGTTGACGAGCTTGGTGGTCTTGTTCTTGGCGGGTTTGCGACCCATGATGGCGTCGAGGTCGTCTTCGTCGGGGTCGATGTCTTCGAGGTCGGTGGGGTTGACTGGCGGGACGTCCGCGCTGTAGCCAGGAGGGATGAAGCGGGCCTTGACGACCAGTTGGACGAGACTGCTGGGGGTGATGACCTTTTCGCCCATGACCTTGAAGAAGGCACGGGAGACTTCCAGGACAGGGAGCTGCTTGGCGACGGTTACGGCGGAGGTGTACTGCTCCTCGGACATGAGGCCAGCGCCGACAGTGAGGCTGCGACGCTTGTCTTCAGGGATGCTCATGAACTTCTGGACGGTGAAGTGTTCCTTTGCGTCGGCACCCTCAACGGACTTGACAACTTCCTCCGTGAAGTGAGGGAGTTGCAGGAGAGGCGACGAGCCAGGCGCAACAGCTTGGATGAGATGCTGGGAGGTCCGGAAAGAACCCAGGATGGGTCGGACGTTACCGAATGCGAGAGCAATGGCTGTGAAAGCTTCGTTCAGCGACAGAGCGATTGGTGCAGCTTCGTACTTCTCTGTAGGTACACGAATGTTAGCAGATCATCTAGACGCATTGGATGCAAAATCACGTACCTCCGTTGAGTGTAGTGTCCTCCAGGTCAACGCGGCCAAGGTAAGCCCACAGCAATGCCAGAGCCTTGCGTCTGCTCGATTCGTCCAGACCCTTAATAACCTCGCGATCCTCAGGCGACAGGAAGGTAGAATCCTCAGCCAGAACCTTTTTCTCAAGCTTGGCCAGTCCAGCATCCATCTTAGGTCCCTCGAGCATCTCCCTGAACTCTGCGCCGGAGGACAGGGCGTTGACGATGCCGCCATCGGTAATGTCCTCTTTGTATTCGCGGAAGATGTTTCCGGCACTTGCGACAAGAACGCGTTCCTTAGTGTAGCGCTGGGAGCCATACCACCATTTCCCGACAATGTATGGCAGCAAAACACCAAGCAGTGCACCGTAGACCAGCAGAGTGTACTTGGAGTTTCCCTCCGAAACGATGAACGTGGGCAGAGCGATACCGATGCTCATGCTCTGCTTGCCATCAGGATGGCCATACTGGATATAGTTGTTGCGGATTTCCTCGTCGGTGAGCGCCTTGTATGCCTTGGTAAGCTCAACGAAACGCTCGTTGAGCATCTCAATAGTCTCATTCTTTGCGGGGTCCGGGCGGATCTTGTCAGGGTGATAGATAAGTGAGAGGCGCTTGTAGTGTCTCGAGATAGCTTTCTCATCGGCACTCTGAAATTTATTACAGTTAGTACAGCTACATAAGTTATTGGAGGACGCGACCAAAACGCCAGGTGGACTGGTTGAATGCTCACCCTTGAAACACCCAGAATGTCATAAGGGTCCCAAACTTTGGGCACAGTCCTCGCGGTGACGACGATCAAATAGGCCATCCATGCCATGACAGCGTAACCCACGACAACAGTGATTATGCGCTTGATGCGGCGCTCTTTGCGCAAGCGTTTGCGCTTCTGCGCCTCAATAAGCTCTGCATGTTCTGGCTTGAACTCGGACTTTATCCGGGGAGCGGTATTTTCGAGACCTGCAGCGGACATGGGACAGTTAGTACAGATCACATCTAACCGCCAGATACCCGCGAGTGTCCAGAGGGGATAAGGCTAGTACGAACCCTTGCTCGGTCGGAGAAGGTTGTATGTGAGAGGGAGTGTGACAAGACTGGTGAGGGTCAGGACAAAGAACGGGAAAAATTGTCCCTATTGGATATGTTAGTTACGGTGCGTTATTGGCGTCCGATCCAATAGGCGACTAACCTTGTCATCATAATTGTAGTCGGTAGACATGGTGAAGCAATTTCACAATGGACACGGTCGCCCGCAGCGGGCAGGACTGGTACAAAAAAGTGTCTCCCGGACACTGAGTTCGCTGCGTGACAGATATGTCCAGCAGATCAAGGCAATTAGTACAGGATTCAAGTAGTATAATAGAGGAGCATTATCCCTCTGTCAGGCGTGACAAAAGAGTGTGGAAGATGGAGGGAAGGCGAGAGAGTAGGCCGGAGTAACTGTCGACAAGATGGGATTATCCGCATCGGCGTCGGCTGTACCTTGTGATCGACCGTGTCCTTTACGGGGCCGTAGGGGGGCCACACCGCCTGCCTGAATGGAACTGGTGGCTTGGTCCCAATTATTCAGGCTTTCAGGGTCATGTGCTTAGTTTTGGGTCTACTTTTGACTTTTAACTAACTAGTCCTCCGCAAGGCGTGACTAACTAGTACCTTGATGACTCTTATTGCGATGACTACATTTTAGCTGGACTGTTGTATGAATGAATTATCATGGTGACATTTTTTTGACTAATGTCAAGCCGTACATACTGATACTGTACGGCGCTCAGGTCTATCTACTAGGATACAGGAAATCTCCGGGTTTAGAGTATACAAGCATGTCACATCCAAGCTTCATTTCATCATAAAACTGTATCCCTCTTTTTTGTGTATCCCAGGAATGGACAATTTTAGAACGCCATCCCAAACTTTTTGGTACTTTTCGTTTCCTCATAAATTTCGAGCATCAGAGCCAGCTCTGGATATTAGCGTGGGAACGGAGTCCCCTACACGCTAGACAGACGGAAATGCAAAAAGAATCTGCACAATGTGAGTCACTTACCCGCTCCGCAGGGAATTCAAGCGCCAAAATGACCGGAGACTGGGTCGGGCACGAACTCGACCCACGAAAGCGAATAAGCCCTCGACATGGCAGACCCTCTGATCTCGACGTTGCAAGCGTGCCGGTTTCCTCCATGCCAGCGTTCACATGGCCAAGCCTTTCAAAAGACCAATCCAATCGCGCCTCTCCCTTCTTACAGGGAGAGGGGATCTTCATTGCTACAAGTCACTGACTTGGGTCCTCCATTGAAAACTGGTTCTCGCGCTTTTATTTCGAGGGCTGGTATTGTTCTGGTTTCGCTGATGTCGGATTTTGATTTTCGATAATGTCGGGATGGGGCCCGCTGGCGATCGGTTGAGGTTTGCGTGCCGTTTGGGTATGCCTTCGTTTCCCTTTTTTGGTTTTGTTGAAAATATTATTTTTTCCACCGCCTGGACGACAATTATGAAATTGCTGCAAAAAAGCCCAATGACGTCTGCAGGGTTAAAGTCACCCAGGTAGTGCGTTTAAGGATTGTGGACTATGCGGTAACTGTTAGTCATTGCTCGTCCAACGCTGATTGCTCGGTTGAGACAACTCACCAATCGATATAATCGAGTCCACCGAAGTACTCCAACATGCGATAACAGAGACCAACATCGTCGCCCGGGACACCGCCAAAGAGGCGATACTGTTCCGCCTCCAGCGTAGAAGCCTCCATCCTCAGCGCACGATCACGCTTCTGTCCTAGCAAATGCCCATAGTGCCAGGTCGGGGCGGGTATTTCAGGACAGTCGAAAGCGGAGGAAACAGCTGGAGCGCAGAGGTTGACAGGTCGTGGGAAAGGTTGGGACGGAAGAAGTAGAGGATTGGCGCTGCGGTTTCGAGATCGGGGTCGTGTGCGACGTCGATTATGTCTCTGGCCCATTCTCCGTCCAATCCGGCGAAAAAGGAGGATATAGCTTGTTGAAACTTTTTTTTTCTTGCTTTTCGGGGTGTAGGTCGTAAGGGTGTAGTAGGGGAGCGGGTATTTTCAAGACAATAGTCCCCAGTAAGAGGGGATCTATTGTCCGAAGAGGCTTTTTTATACTAAGTCGATAGAAAGGAAGGAGTGACCATCACCCCTGGGAAGGATGAGATGAGGTGAGGAAAAAACCCAAGCCAAGGGGGGATCAGGAGATCATGAACAGGGAGCAGGCGTATATATAGATGCGGATGGCGGATGGAGAATGGCGCAACCCGAACGATTGCCGAAACGGGGAAAGCAGTGGTGTGACTCACTATAACCCAATAAGGTTACAAAGGCACAGAAAGCAGGACGAAAATCTTCACATCCGGCTCGGGGGGATCCACTCAAGCATCCCCCTACCTTCGGGAGTGCGAACTCCACTCTGATGCAGTCTAGAAGCAGAAATACCTAACCCTGCTTGCCGATGGTGAAATGTGGTCTCATGGAGAACGGTGATTGCGTAGTGATTTAGCTCGCACCAAATCATCGAGTGGCCCTACGGAGCACAAGGGCGCGACTCCGTACAAAGAAGTTTCACGAATTAGGGTTCTCCTGAGTCACTACTCCCCGACCCAAGTCTAGGTTACTTAGTCTACTACTATTCTTGGTTATACCCTTTTTCTTTTTCCCAGCATCGTGATGGAACCAGTAAGAACTATTCGCTGCCTTCCACAATGAATGAGAAAATTCTGGTTCAGCCTAGCTGCCTAACACAACCTCTGATTGAGTTCTGTGCGCCTGGCAAGGGAAGCAACACAAAGAAGAATTTTAATGCGGCCCAGTCTGTACCCACGGTGCAACTGAATCGGATTAAACGGAATTATTAGATATCAGGAGACGTTAAACAAAGGCTCAAAAGAGAAATGAACCAAGAATTTTCGAAAATTTGCAAAATATTATCCCAAAATGCAGTGGTCTGACGCCATGCAAAGGAAGTTCTCGGCCCCGAATGAGCCAAATTTTCTCTGCGATGAGCAAACAAGGTACTCCTTTTACAATACAAAACCCGTCTCCGATGCCGCTGTCCCCAGTTGTGATGTCATGTGATCTAGATCGACAAAGCTTTCTCTTAGTCATATCTATAACCACGCACTTGTCTCTCCCATTTGGCAGGCCTACAACTGAAACCAACGAGGACTCTGGTTATAACCACGCACCTATCCAAGCCGTTTCAGCCTGGCCGAGTGGCGAGGGGTGGATGCCGTACGGGCCGAGCGGGTATTATGACGCGCCAAAATTACCTTGCATTAGTCGTCAAAGCCAGTCCAATTCCGTCAGTCAGTCAGGAGATGACAACAACATCCTACCACGGCTGCTTCGGCAGCATCTTTCACTACGGAGGAAATCGGGCATCTTTTGGTCAGTTGTCAAACTTGTCACATATTGTTTCCTATTTACTCCGCGCGTCGATCTATAGCGGCATGGCTGATAGATAGTCTACTAGTAGTACTTAGATGGTAGTAGTCTGTCTTTAATTGTGCGGGAATCGATCAATAATTCTAGATCCAATTTTCCCTTTCTGTCGATCCATTGTTGACGGGCCGGATCAACTACTTACTTACTACACTCTTCACCTTTTTCGATAATCCCAATAGAATAAATAATGCCTCAATGATCAAACCGCATCAATAACATCCTACCCAACCAGTTAACTAACTAACAAGGTATATCCCTCAATCTCATCGACTTCCGCCCCCCCCACAAACTTACACTTACCTTGGGGGCGCAAAAAAGAGAAAAAAATCTCTGCAGATCTCGGCACAAAAATGAAAAAGCCGCAAAGGGAAAAATTCTGCTTTGACCGACTTTCGTGGCTCTAATCCAGCCTTGACACATGTCCCAACTATACTCCTTTGGCATCGATAGTTATTCTTTGTGCATGAATGCGTGTTTTTTTGTTTGTTCCTGGCGGACGGACACGGACAAACCATAACGATATGCGACTACGTAGCGCGTGGCTGGCAAGCCATCTGGCAGACAGGTCTCCAGTAGGTAGATGGGATGCATGCCCGAATATACTGCAGTAGTGGATATCAAACTTTTACTGGCATATTCATGAGGGAGTTGTATGCCTGAACTAAGTATCTACGGAGTAGGGTTCCTGTTCGTTTGTTTGTTTACTATGGTTTGGTTGGTTAGGTAGTACGTAGCTGCAGGGAAAACAGGAAGCAAACTGCGAACCTACCACTCACTACTTACATGCACAGCTGTAGCTATAGTATAACTACTCTACTCCAACCACGTACTTCCAACGAACGTGGCCCAACTATCTACTTTGTTCTCACTCGCAAACAAACCAACTTACCCTTCCTCCCTCTCTCCCTCCCTCCCTCCCTTCACCTCTTTCACTCTCACCAAAAGAAACCCAATTGCACTAACTAACCGACCCCAAGACAACAGTCTACGTGGGCACACTGGACCTCATCCCATCTCCTTCCGTCTTCCCCGAGACTCCGTTTCCAACACTACCGTCGAAGTCCCATTTCTCTAAACCCCGCAAATGGAGAACACGATGAACGAACTAACTCACCAACTAGCCCTGATGACCCATCCAAACCCTCCCCTCCCCCTTTTACCACCGTCTATTATTGCTGCTGCTGCTGATGTTGTTGTCCATGCATGAGTAACCAAAAGTACTTAGTACTTACTGTGTACCTGCAAGCCCTAGGGCACGGAAAAACCCACTCCACCCTCCACACTACTACTACTACCGCCCCCTTTTGTGGCTTACGATGGGGGCGTAAAGGAAAGGAAAAAATTAATATGTGGAGTCGTGTGGAAAGATCGTGGGTTTTCTAGACTGCGAGTGAAGTCTAGACAAGAAGTTCAATACGGGAGAGAAGGGAAGGGAAGTGGGTGGTGGATGGATGGGGGCGGTTATTTGCGGTCCGATGGGGACTTTTGTTGTGTTGTTTTGTGTTGTTGCTAATATTGGAGATGAGGATGTGTGTGTATGTGTGCCTGAGACGGGAGAGATTGTTTCATCTGGTGTATGTGTGTGTGTGTGTGTCTTTGTTCATGTTGTGTTTCGGGTTTTGGTGGTTCCTTGGTTGAGGATATGAGATGACAATGGGCGGTAAGTATCTAGGTAAGTGGTGATGAGATTTGCTTCTAGCCTACTGAGTACAGGTGTGGTATAGACTTTTTCCGGCTATCCAAGGAGAAAGGAGATGAAGATGGGATACACACTACGTAGGAGGAAGGGAGGTATGGAGTGTGGAAAACGCCTCTGACGGAATCGAGACTGCTGAAGAGAGAGCAGTCCCGTTCAGCGACCAATCATGCCATTTTGGTGCGACTCGGTAATTGAAAGTGGTACAGCAACGCTCCACACAAGCAGAAATGCGAAGAGGGTCTAGACTGGCTACATCATCGTCATACACTGACGGGAAATGGAGAAACTGTGAAACGAGAGTCGCTCTTGTTACCGCCAAGGCAAAATCGAATCGTTGACATGACGGCTCGGCTAATTGTCGATCCCGCGCCGGATGATCTCCAGCATTTCGTCGCCCTTCGGCGCCGTCGTCAGATTCTCATACCCTGTCCGAGTGACCAGGATATCATCTTCAATGCGTACGCCACCAATGGGAATGTATTTTTCGGCCTCGTCGAAGTTGATGTACCGCGCCTGAGGCAATTTCCGAGAATTCGCCAGAGCCAGCTTGGAGAAGTAAACGCCTGGCTCGATGGTGACAACCATGCCCTCCTCGAGCAGGGGGACCGACTGGCTCATGGCTGGGATGAAGTCAGGTCTGCAAGGTCTGTTAGGCAGCCCCATTCCCGTGATTGGCTTTTCGGACACGTCGTGGACTTCCAGTCCAACGTGATGGCCCAATCCGTGAGGGAAGAAAATGGCCGACGCCCCCGATACACGAATCTCCTCCACGGTGCCCGGTTTGAGGACGCCTAGCTTCTGCAGGCCTCTAATGGCTATGTCGTGGGCAAGAACCTGCAAGTCGCGAAACCGCACACCTGGCTTAATGCGCTTGATACACTGCTCCTGCATCTCTTCCACGATTTGGTAGACGTCGCGGGCGTGTGAACTGGGCCAATCGGCGGCCAAAGGAAATGTGCGGGTCACGTCACTTGCGTAGCACTCCCACTCCGCACCTGCGTCCAGACAGACCAGCTGTCGTCCTTTGAGGGGCTCGTTGTTCTTCACATAGTGGAGGGTGGCTGCGTTGGGTCCCGAACCAGCAATGATTTCGTATGCTTGGTTCTTCGCTCCGTGAGATACGCAGGTATCGAGGAAAAGGCCTTCGATCTGGGCTTCATTGGACATCTTGTGGATTTGCTCGAGCACTTTGCGATGGGCCAACCCGGATATCTTGTTGGCGTGGCGTATCATACGAAGCTCATAGTCATCTTTAACCACCCGCGCTGCATCCATTGCGGGTAGCAAGCGCTGATCATCTATGTGAAGCTGCTGGACAGAGAATTGGGGCTGCTGAGAGCTATGGAGGATGTAGACTGGGGCGGCATCATTGTATTTCCCTACCCACGACTGGATATCGCTCTGTAGGGAAGCATAGTAGCGCACTTTGTCTACGTCAAACCGCCGTTCAGCCTCATCTGTGGTCAACGTGGGCCCCATCCATATTGCGCGGTGTAGGTCGAAGTCCGGGACATAAAGAACCAGTAAGTCATTGTTGATGTCGTAGGTAAGATAGCAGTCCGGCTCATCGGCTCCACTAAGATAGTAGAAGTACCGTCGTTGTCGAAAGGGTTGTGGTTGGTCGGAATCCCCCCAATTGATGGTTGGTTTCCCAACCAGGTAGATAAGGCCGCTGGACACTCCCAGCTTCATGGCCACTTTGCGCGCATGTTGTTTGGCTGCGCCAGGACCTCCTGTTAGTCTTCGGGCGTCCCAGGATTAAAGCAGGAGGGGAATGATAAATGTGAGGGAGGAAAGAGTATATATCCTGGGGGTCACAACATGAGACATACCTGGATACTTATCGATCCCTTCGCCGCGCACTGTTACGCGGAGATCGCAGGCACCAAGGCTCGAGACAAGCTCCGGCGGGATTGAAACACGCATCCTGTTGCTTACCACAATCTACAGGCAGAGTGGGAATGGAAGTGCCTATAGAGACAGGACTGTCACAGAGGCGAGGGACCTGATTGAAGGTATAGGAAGGGAGATAGAGGGACTGGGGGAGATAAGACAGCGCTTAGAGAGAGGGAGAGGGAGAGGAATGACAGCCAGCGATTGCGTCTCTCTATCGGGTTTAGACAGGGTCTCCGGCGGAGTTCCATCATGTTTGACCGGGCCTTGTATTCTTACTGCCATGGAACAGCTAAAATACGAGATATTTGGTATGACTAATGGCCTGGCCAGACTGTTGATACAGTATCTTACAGACAAGAGATACGTCTCTGATGTGAGATGATTATTATTGAAGAGTGACGGGCGATTAAGTCCCTGATCAGGCATCCAAGGGACTCTCGAGTCCCTCATCCCTTTTCCCTGGACTGCTTGGGACCTTGCATGGACAGTTATTTGGGGAGCAACTTAGTCCGCAGGCAGGCATATGTAGAGTGTATCTGATCTCAAACGTGGCCCATCTAATGTCTGTATCTCCTTCAGGAGTTCACAACATGCCTTGAGTGTTGTCATCCGAAAGCATCGAGCGCATCGCCCGGAAGCGTCGCTGCCTTTCGCCCCCCACATGCGCCTCTCTCTCCCTCTCTCTCTCTTCCTGGGCTTCTGCTTCTTGGTTTCTGGTCCCGACCTCCAACTCTCCCCATTTGAACTCCCTCATCATCGCTCCTCATCTCATTCACTCCTCTTCAACTTTTCCATCTCTCATTCCTTCCCCTCCCCTAAACCTTTCATCCACCCGCCAATCTCCCTAGTGTCGCTTTCCCTCCTTATCTAATAATATTCAGTTTAGCGTTACAGCGAGTCCCGTGTCGACGCAACACCTCCAACCAGTCAATGAACGATGCGGGGATCTGAGGCATCGGGGCCCGGTGCTCTCTTTGATGCTCCCTCGACTCTTGCCACGTCCCTTGGAATCAATCCCACCGCTGCTTCTGAACCCCCTCCGACCGATCCCAAACTAGTCGCCTCGAACATTGAACATGTCTTGTTGTCCATGTCAGAAGGCAATGGCGGTCTAGTTAGCGTCAGTGGCAACTCGTCGGGTTCTACCGGCAAGGGTATCCTGATAGGCGTCCTCTCTGCCTTTGGATCCGCCGCCGTTGCAGTGCTTGTACTCGCTGTTTTCTTTTTCTTCAAATACACTCAGCGTGGTAGAATTATTCTCGATCGCATCGGCCGACCGGGTGAATTCGACGATGAGCAAGCGTTTGCGCGCGAGGAGGCGGAAGCCTTGGAGACGATGGATGACCTCACGCGATCGGAGTATATGAGAGCGAAGGGTAAGTCACTGGCTCTTTGTCCGCTCCTTTGGGCAAACGACGACCATGGGGTCTTGTAAGACATGACGTATGTGCATTTGTCGCTGATCTCTCACATAGCATTTATCGAAGCCAATCCGCCCGAGTCCGTACAAACCGACATATCACTCTCTCAGTTCCTCGCGATTCAAGAAAAAGGAGTATCGGCTTGGGAGTTTCAACCAGAGTTGGAAATCGCCAATTGCTTTGTCGAAGGCCGTACGGAAATCGAGTTCTACGACTCGGAATGCAGTGTCCAGACCAATTTGCCCGTTCCGAAACAGAATGACGTCTATTACTGGGAGGCTAAGATCTACGACAAACCTGATAATACTCTTATCAGTATTGGGATGACTACGAAACCGTATCCTTTGTTCAAATTACCAGGTGCGTTCTTGGACAACTTGTTTGGGGGAGGATATGGGTTGTCCGCGGTCGCTAATTTTGTTTCTTATGATGTCAGGCTTCCACAAGACTTCGGTCGCATACCAGTCCACCGGTCATAGGAGGCACAACCAGCCATTTGCACCAACACCGTACGGTCCTCACCTTTTGCAAGGTGATGTGATCGGTGTGGGGTATCGACCACGCTCGGGTACAATTTTCTTCACTCGCAATGGCAAGAAGCTGGAGGACGTTGTCCACGGTCATAAAGCGCAGAATTTCTTCCCCACTGTTGGAGCCAATGGGCCTTGCTCCGTCCATGTGAACTTTGGTCAGATGGGCTTCGTGTTCATTGAGGCCAACGTCAAGAAATGGGGCCTGGCCCCGATGACTGGTAGTCTGGCTCCGCCTCCGCCTTACGGCAGCGAGCAAGGCAGCATCCTGCTAGAGTCGGGTCGGGAGAGTGCAGCTCAGATTTCTCAACGGGTCTATCAGGATGCCAATAATGCGCGCACCAGTTCGACTGTCCGTGTTGCGCCTTCTGCCAGTCCCGGCCCTGTGCGATCACCCACCGATATATCCCTGGCTCAGCTTGCCCACATCCCGTCGAACGAGGACGTAGGCGAAGGATCCAGTCGGACCAATGTCGTCGATGGAGAGCAAGTCCCCTTGTTGCATACGAACGATCTCGACCAAGTCCCGCCTCCCGAATATTCCAGCCCGGATGGCAGTCGGAGAGGCAGCGAGGATCTGCCCTTTGACGAACAGCCTCCGATACCCAGCTACGACGCTGCTGTTGGCAACCGGGACGGTCACAGCGCGCATGCCAACGAGAATCGTTAGAAGGCGACCGAGGTCCTGCAACTATTGTTATCGTCTATTCATCAGTTATTGGCGCAGCGTCTCTTTGATGTGTATACGGCATGCTTCAGCCACTGGTTCTATTTCTACTACTGTTCCCTTATTTTAGCGGCCACGGTCGGCGTTCCACAGGCGGGGATTCTACGGGTTAGGTTTCACGGTTACGCCGCTAGATGTGGCAATGATGAATTTTACGTATATAGGGTCTGATCGTTTCTGTCTTCATTCGTCATTTGGATCAATTGTCTCGAGTTAGGTCCATGGGAAACCTTTCCAAGGCCGAATCCCGTAATGCCTACCCTCCCTTCGACATCAATTTCTTCGAGGAGAGGCGGTCGGCAGGGGTCTTCTCGGCCTTGACCGACCGGAAGAGCGGACAATGCTGTTCCAATGATGACCTTGTTCCCTTGCGCAATTCGTGTCAAAAATGGGTGCTCTTGAACTGGGTGGATTTATTGCGGTGTTTGTCTGGGAGTATATTTTTTCATGGTTGAACACATACAGTGGTTATTTATATCAATCCTTGTCTGCGCTTTCCTGTATTTTGTGTGTATGTGTAGCATTCGAGTGGTCATCTGCCCTTGCGCTGCTGGATAACCGGCGGCAAATGGATGTTTTTGTATCAAGAATATTGGCTACCAGCTGCGGTAGCACGGCGTACAATAACTAAGTAGCCAGTTGATCGTACAAGGTAGTAGTAGAACCGGTCCATCAATTGCCCCATTTCCACCCCACATGTTCGACCCAATATTTGCTATCTTCATCTATTATTATCCAGTGATGTTCAGTGCTGGAATTATTTCTGAGAACAAGCCACTTTTGCAATGGTGCTCCTTCCGCAACCAGCGCGTCATCGATCAGTGCCAGTCAATGACTCGGCTCAACCTCTCCATCTCCCCTCTATCCACCATCATCATCATTTTCTTCTTCTTCAGATTCCATCGTTTCTCAACCTCCACATTGCATTTCTGCGTTCGCACGTAAGATATGCGTCTTCAAGTACCCACTGGACGACGTCCACCGGTTCTTCATCGCACGATTGTATTTGTCCTTGGGCATCCCATAAACTGATTCGACTGAGTTTTGGTCATCCTCTGGTACATACGCACATGATAGAGTTTCTGTTCCTCCCTTGTCCCTTGGCTGGTCCCCGTACTGCAATGGCTCATCTTCACTGCTGCGTTGCTCGGTCGGACTTTTCCTCCCACTAACCTTATCTTCTCGTCGTCCATCAATCTGCACATTTGATACAACAACAGCCACCATTATATTGAGCTCACGCGAGTCACTTGTATTAAATATTCACTCTTGTCGGTTTAAACAACACTTCTCATTACTCATTGGCTCTCGTACAAGCCCGCTCAATTTTGCTTTTGCCGCCAACGGTGATTTCCGAATCCCCCTCCAGCCACTGAATCATCTGTTCAGCCCGGTCGTTAGCGTGCTGCAGGTGCCCAGTGGCGAGCGAGTGACCGCCAACAACTGGTGCGCTAACTTGCCTGGTGCGACGCAGCTTTGCCCCAGATTTACGGGGAAGTGCCGCCCCCAACAGTAGGCGCGCTGCTGGTTTGGAAAGCTTTGGTCGCATAGGCCTGGCTGCCAGCCTGACCGCTATCTAAATTGAAAAGCATCGTGCAGTTCTTCAAGAAGATCGAAGAAAGTACCACCTCTTCATCTTCACAACACCTCTCGACTTGACGAACTCTAATCCGAGGAGGTTACAGCCGCCCACTGCCACATCTGCACCATCAAGCGAGGGTGGTGTGCATTTAATATCTGCGCTCAGCCGCTCTAGGTGGAGTATATGCATTTTGGCCCTTGCTTATTCTCCGGGCAGATACGCAGTGCAACAACGGCGATAGTTCTCAGCTTGTGGGAACTGCTTTATAGCTTCACTTGATAGAAAAGCGTAAGGATCGCCTGGTCCAGATCCTTTGGGGTATCCACATAAGGTCCGGCCGCTACCCCAAGTGGTTCTCTAAATAAGGGCTAGAGTTCGTCCGAAAGGGTTATTTTACTGGAAAGCCAAATCCCATCGATTGCTGGTGCAATTGATGCCCAGGCGACTCCTGCCTTGATCCATCTTCACAACCAAACATGCAAGCGTCTGAATTGCCATTTGTTGGAGCAAACCCTCCAGAAGCGGCTAGCCGAGGAGAAGGCCCCGGCTCTCCAAGTTTGCAGATAATCGTGTTGGTAAGTTTTGTCTCACATCCTGCGTTTGTCAGTCCAATTTGGCCATGACGTTTGTTCTTTGCACATAACTGCAAACCCTGAAAATCTGCCGGCTGGCGAGCCCGATCACTAGCATCGATGCGCCATGTCTCACATTCCTCCCCGCGCCATGTTCTCGAACTCTCGCTACACCTCATACCATCTTATCGCTGGCAAGTTTCGCATTCAAGGTCGGCCACTAACGCTTCCCTTGAAAGGGTCCGACAGGAGGTCCCCGTGAGGATAGAGTCACTGGACTTCTGGTCCGATCCACATCCACCAAATGGTCCGCAAACTCGATAGTAGCTGTTGATGCGGGCACCCTTCTTTGTGGGATCATCGACACTCTGGAACCGTGTGATAACAACAAGAAGTTGTCAGATCAGGGCCCATTTGCTGGGCTCGAACTGCCACATAACAATGTACCCGCAAACGCAGCCCATGTCTTCCGGCATATTATCGGAGCTGTCTGCATCACGCATCCTCATCTAGACCATCTGTCAGCGTTCGCCATCAACACGCCAGTTCTGGAGGCTGGAAGTGGCGCGAAAACGCTGGCCGCCCTGCCTTCGGTAGTCGCTGCCATAAAGACCCACGTGTTTAACGATGTTATTTGGCCAAATCTCTCTGATGAGGATGGCGGTGCTGGCCTTGTGACCTACCAGCGTCTGATGGAGGGCGGAAACCCCATGATGGGGCGTGGTGATGAGAAAGGCTATACACGAGTCTGCGAGGGCTTGTTAGCAAAATGCCTGGCCATCAGTCACGGGTGCTGCAGGCAGAGATCTAGCGTCGACAATGATGTTCAACGCCGGATGAGCAGCGCCCCTTTTGGTGTAGACCCAATGAGGCTGAACCCAAGGGCTTTTTCGATCTCGTTTGACGAACCAGAGACCGGCTACTTTTCCGGAGCACGTTCGCCAGGCTATCGGGTACCCGGTAAGGATAGCTGGGCAACCGTGGAGTCGTCAGCTTTCTTCATCCGTGAGCCTACGACAAAGCGAGAAGTGATCATCTTTGGCGACGTTGAACCTGACTCAATCTCACTGAATCCGCGCAACAGACGCGTGTGGGAAGCGGCAGCGCCGAAGATCGTTGCCTCTCAACTGCGAGCGGTCTTCATTGAATGCTCCTATAACGACGATGTTGACGATGCCTCCTTATACGGCCATTTGTGCCCACGTCACTTGATCGATGAATTGATTGTATTGGCACAAAAAGTTACGGAGCTGAAATACCCAGATTCGTTTTCGGTGAGAAAACGTAAACGCGCGAGTGCCCCTGAGGCAGCCGGCGACCCAGCTCTCAGTCCAAAGTCGAAGAAGGCTGCTCTCGCGGGCGAGAAAGGTGGAGGCTCTCGTCGAGGATCGGCCAGGACGTCGCGGCGCCATACCCGTGCCAGAGTTGCTGTTGAAGATATTGACGAGAACATGGAAGGAAGCCCAGCCGTTTCCCACGCACCTAGTGAAGTCGGTATGGATGTGTCACTGGCAGAAAGTTCAGACCCTCTCACAGTGCTTCAATGGCCTGAACCACCTCTGGCCGGCCTACTGATCTATATCATACATATCAAAGATGATATGAATGATGGCCCACCTCCTCAGGAGCGGATCCTGCAAGAGCTTACGGCCCAGGGACAAGCTGCCGGGCTAGGATGCGAGTTTCGAGTTCCCACACGTGGCGAGAGCGTCTTGATCTGATGTCGGTTACCGCAATTTCATCATGGCTCGTCTGCCTTGCACCGAACATGTTCGGCGCTCCTTGCTTCTTGTGACACCAAACCATGCAGTATCAACGAGCTATATCTATACAATACTGTGGGCCATGTGTTGTGAATCCATTTCTCGTCTGGGTGAGGGGGGCTTGTCTGCATTTTATAGTACCTCTTGCCCTTGTTTTTCATTTTTATATGTGCTACCTTCTTTGGTTCTATCTTTGGCGCGGCTTTCGTGAAGCAAATTTATCCATCGTTACCCTTTTGCTATTGCATCATGTGATTTAGCAGATACCAACGGCGTAATCGAACATATTATTATTATTAGAATCGTCAGAGTTATAAACTCCTGGTCACTATGGTATGACTAATTAGAGTGACCACAAATCCCGAAATAAACCACTACATCGAAACCTAAGAGCTCATCTTCTCTCCCCAGCTTTAGCAATAACATCCTCCCAAGCCGCCCTTTCCCCCCGAGGAACCGTCAACCCCGAGCTCTGCTCCATACCATCAGCAGCAGCAGTCCCATCCAAAACACCCTCCCCATCCCTCGCGAACGCAATCAACTCCTCCTCACTCCCCCACTCTCCCATCGCCATAACCCCCACCGGCACCCTCGACCCACCATCCAAAACATCATACCCAGCAGGACAACTAATCGCCGGACAACCCGTGAAATTCGCCAACCAGACATACTCCATATTCCTAACGGTCGTATTCCCATCCGACACGCCGCGCTTAAGATCCGCCTCGCCGCCCTCGATCTTCCACCCCGGGATAGGCGTCGTCGGCGTGACGATCATCAAGCCAGGGTGTTTCTGGAACAAGTGAGCCAGATGCATCATGAGACAATTACGGAGACGTTGCGCGGCGAGGAAATCCTGGCCTTTGATTTGCCACATGCCCATTGAAGCCATGATTTTGTTGGCGGGCGTGAGCTGGGAGATCTGTGAAGGGGTGAGGGACGAGGTCACTTCGGATAGGATGGTTAGAGCGTGCGCTTTTTGCCCCTCGGGGAGGTAGGGGATCGTGATGTCGATTATGGTGTAGTTCTTAAGCGTGCGGTAGTGGTCGAGGGTGGCGTTGAAGACGGCGCGGACTGGAGGCGAGGCGCGGTCGATCCAGTCGCGTACGATGCCGATGGTTCTTGGGGTGTTGTTGGTTGGGGAGGGGAGGGTGCGGAGGGGTGAGGGGAAGGCTGCTGATAGGGGGTCTGAGGATTCTGGGGCCGGCGTGGCCATGATTCGGTAGGCGAGGGCTAGGTCGTCGATGCTGGAGGCTAGGGGGCCGTAGACGCCGGTGGTGGATGCCAGTGAGACGGTGGGAGAGCCGCTCACTCGGCCATGGGAGGGCTTCAGTCCCCAGACGCCGCAGAAGGAGGCCGGGATGCGGATTGAGCCTCCGCCGTCGGCGCCTAGAGCGATAGGGACTAGGCCTGCGCCGACAGCGTAGCCAGAGCCTCCAGAGGAGCCGCCACAGTAATAGTCGGGGTTATGGGGGTTTCTGGGGGTACCGAAATTTGGGTTGTTGTTTGTGGTGTCTGGGGGGGTGAAAGTGGTGGTTAGTTGGTTCGGATGGGGTATGTTGGGAGTTGCACTACTCACCTAGACCCAACTCGTGCATGATGGTTTTGCCAATGACAATGGCACCGGCTTCCTCCCATTGCTTCACACACCAAGAGGTGCCTCTAAACTCGCCGGTGAAGTCGAGTTTGCTGCCCAGGGTCCGTCGGTATCCTTCCATATGTACTTCATCCTTAATTGCGACGGGGATGCCATCCATTGGACCCAGTGGCTTGCCATCTTTGTATCTCTGTGTAGAAGCCTCTGCTGCGGCGCGAATCTTGTCGACTTGCGATTCAAGAAAGGCGATCGAGTGCTTGCCGGGTGGTTTGGCATCGCGGCGGATCAGAGGGAGCAGGGTCTCGACGACGGCAAGGGGAGTCAACTCGCCCGAAGTATAGCGAGCTACATAGTCGGCAGAAGTGTAGTATCCTGCATTGCTTTGTCGCTTTTGCGTGGGAACTGGCAAGTCGGCAGCCGAAGCATCAGGTCTGGCTACGGGGATCACGGTCGGATCATAGCGGGCGGAGTATTGGTCGAGAGGGAGGTTGCGGATGACATCGAAGCCAGTGGTCCCCCAGAGATGGCTCTGGATAAAGCCGATATTTTGAACACTATAGAGGATGGTGATTAGGCAGCTGCGGCCGAGAGAGAAGAAGAGTGAAGTGCAGGACGTCAGACAGGAGGACTTACAGAGTGGCGCCGAGGGCCAAGGGAAAGCCACGGATGACGGGGATCACCTGCTCCTCGTTCTTGTACGGCACAGCGGGACCCGGTCGGGCCTCTGGATACTGGAAGAACTGAGGCTTCTCGTCCATGTTGCGATCAGGAGTGGCCGGTGACAGTCGAGGAGAGAGAGAAAGAAGCAAGCAGTCTTTCTTGTTCCTCAAGAATCATCGCCAAGCCGGCCAGCCCGTCAAGCTAAGCTCCTTAACCCAAACAGCTGCTAATCTACTGGAACCCCGGATTTCGGTCCGCATCTCGACCAAAAGTAAGTAGATGGCCACTTGACTATGTACACAATTGTTCTTTATTATATTTGATTATTCCTCACGTCTCGTTGGAGAGGGGTGGGATGTCTTCGCACTTCTTCAAATTGCCAACTTGATGTTCGCCCGATCCAAACCCAGTGCAATGCCTGTGAGAGCCGCGGCATATCCGATAAGAATTGCCATCGCCTGGGCCGTACTGACATCCAGTGTCGGGACGCTCAGGTTGACAGCCCCCGTAAGCAGATTAGCCACCAGGAAGATAGCCAGTCCACCACGATTGAATGCCTTCAGAATCCGGCTTGTCGCAAAAGACACCCGGTCGGCCTCGCCGTCTTTCCCCGACGCCCGATGCACCGATGGGAAGAAGGCTGTCTCCAGGAGACAGAAAAGGAACAGCTGAGCATTGTTAAAGGCAGATACCCAAACAACGTACGGCATGTTAGCAAGGCGGCGCGAGACCGGAATGTTGGCACCGTAGCCTAATGCGTAGGTAGAATTTAGGATGAAGATCGTAGACCATGCGAGCGCTTGGACACCCAGGGTCACCAGCACGCCTCTTCTCGCCTGCTGGGGGGACCGTTGGGTAGTGGTGCCGCGAGGAATGATCCGTATGCCAGTGGCACGGCCTGCCAGGAAAATCGCAAAGTATCCCAGGAACGAGAAAACACCTTCCCGGTTTTTGGAGAGCAAACTTGGTCCGCGAGGGGAAACAAGGATATAGCTCTTCAGCTCGGTCGATTCCAGAGCGGCCTGATACAACACAGCAACTGCCAGCGAAAGGGCTTCGTAGGACGGAATAATGGCAGCCAGGCTATCAAAGAGCTCCACGAAGGGTGGCAAAAGACCAAGGGTGAAAAAGAAGTTCCAATGCACGCCATACTCCGTTACATGCTCCGCATAGTCCAACCCCTTTACACTATACAGTCTGACCAAACCCAAGACAAGCAGAGGGACCGAGTGCCGCGTGGAAGCGATCAGCCGCTGGCCTACGGGAGTCTTCCGGGCGCCATTGCTGCGGCCCTTAAGCACAGAGCGAGCAGATACTACCCCACCTGAGAAGACGAAGGATCCCACACCCAGATCCATGAGTGAGGTGCCCCAATTCTCCACCTTTGCAAACCGCCGTGGAAACGCCTGGAAGTCCACCGCCAAGATAGCGACACAGGTAATGATCATCATGGCTGCACGATATGTCGTCAGAAATGGGTGAATTGGTAAGGATTCGGGCATGTCCGCTGCATTCCTATCGCTCTGAGTCGGCTTCGGTGGAGGTTTAGCCTTCTGCTGGCTGCGGGGAGGTTTCGAGTTGAGGAACAGCAGGAGGGCGGGGGCGATCAGCAGGACGTTCAGCGTCCAAGGCGCAGAGGAGTAGACAGTCGTGGCAAAGAGAATGGCCAGTACATTGAGCAGAAAGTCGGTCACCAGTGCTGCTGCGCTGTAAGGAGTGAAGAAGGAAAGGCGTGATTGTAGCGCTGACCATAAAAGAGCAGCGGCCTAGACCAATCCCGTAAAGAGTCAGATAACACTGCCTGGAGGGGGGGGGAAGAGAGGTGTGACGTATCCCAGGCCCATGGGCTCTGGACTTGTGAAATTGAACAGCTGTCAAGTTGACGAGAAACGTACAGGCGCAACTAATGTGACAGCATTGATCTCCAGTATGCTGCCACCAGCAAGATCAGACACAAAGGCCTCTTTGCGGGCCTTGTAGCTGGGATCCATTAGCTGCGACCTGTTTGGACCAAAAGTCCAAAGAGGCAAGAGACCGGGGGAGGAGGGGTAGGAAGGAAAGGGAAAACGATCAAATGTGTGCAACGTTGCAGATAGATTGGAGTTAATCTTGCATTAGAAGCCCTATCCACCGACAGTGAGACGTGGCCGGCGCAAGGTAGGAAGCAGCAAGTCACCAAGTCAGTCAAGTCAAGGAAGGCAAACAAGCACAGCTGCGATGACGCGCGAACAAAAACAATCTGGCCGCATTTACGGAGTAGTCTGAAGCACCTCAGGCCAATAACTTCCCTTATTGGGACTAGACCCATACGGGGTGGCTGTGTGCCTGGAAAGAGGAATACCGAGTATGGTAATCCGGTTACACATCCATACATCCCCCGCCTTTTGATTCAAACAGTCCAAAATCTGAATCTCGTTTTCTCTCTTGCTTGTCTTGCTTTTCGGCCTGTCGGTCTCGTCGAGTTCCCACCTTTTCCATGGTCTTCTTTCCCTCCTTCTCAGCAAATCATCCTCTGCCATCTTTCCTGCCTGGGAACTGTATTTCCGACTTATCAATCACCGTGTCTCTGGCTCAGGCAAAGTGGTGACTAACCATGCATCCACCGTTCCCCATCTCACTGTTCATCTTAATTACGTTGCTTATGGTGCCATATTGAAAGAAGCTCAACTTCCTTAGCACTCGAGAGTCTGAGACACAGAGACAGAAAAAGAAAATCCGCCGTTTAACCTGCATTCGTAGGGTCTGTTGTGACGAATCCCATGCTGGGAATGCAATAAGACGAAAGATAGCTAACAGCAGACAAACCAAAGATCTGCCAAGAGCTGCATTGAATTATCGTGCTTATGTGCGACAGACCGATCATGACTGCGGCGTGCGAGTTTTTCACTGGCAATTGATTACCACCTGCCAGGCTGCCATTGCTGGAGCCTCCACAATATCTCCGATCTACATTCTCTGGGGGCCAACCAGATACTAGCAAGGGGGGGGTACCGGGTTTCATCCACGGAGCTTGCTAAAGATAATGGGGGGACTAACTAACTACTACCATGCCACTAGATGCTTATACTATACTTCTACTGGAGCAGGGATGCAAAGGTGAGCCCCGGGGGGAACGGAGGTTCTCCGTGTCCCCTTGGTAGGACTATCTACTACGCAGGAAACTGCTTTAGGCTATGCGTCGTTGTTTCGGGCTAAGGACGGGTTGGGTCAGTCCTGGGTTAGCTCACCAGATCTGCTGTGCCGCTTACACATAATGCTAAGTTAATGCTTGGCTTGACATGAACGACGAGCGGACTAAAACAAAGAAAAAAGGAAGGGAAAAAAAAATTAATAACCACCCATGGGATGCACCCACCGCAAACCAATCAATCGGAAGGGAATGATCACCAGTGAGTTTCAGTAAAGTACACGGCTGTCTCCCGTGCGGATGCAGCTTGGGACAATGATATGCAGCTATCAGGCCCACCGACCGGCTTTAGCACGGCTTTACCTTAGGAGATTATTTTTTAGGGCCATTCGGCCGACGACCGGTATGTTGGTCTTCCGTGTCCGGGGTACATTGACGCCACGAACCAGCTCCAGGGCATAAACTATTCTGTCCTGTCTTTTGCCCTGGTATTGGGGTAAGCTGGGACATTGTATCGATGCCAATAATATATGAGCCTCAGGTCGCTCATCCCTGCAAAGCCAAGTCTCAAGGGAATGAGGCTGAGCAACAGGAAAAGCAAAAAAAGGGAAGGGTTGCAAAAGCGAGGGAGTAAAAAAAAATAAAACAAAACAAAAAGAAGTGGGATCCAGACTCCATTTGAACCTTTAGGAAGAAAACCGACTAACCTGAGAAGGCAGGCACAATGTGCGTCATGCATCCACGTTCAGCCAGCCTTCTCTTCCAAAGCCTTCTCTCATGGTGGTTGCTCCCTTTTCCCTCCCCTCCCATCGGTTTTTGCCGTTTAGATTCGGGCATATTGCCTACTCCATCCCTCCCGTGGTGATTGACTCTGATTAAGGAATTTGGGAACCTTCGGTTTCGATGTTCTACGGGGCTTCTGTCGCCGGGCGTCTCAAGACACGAGTTCCCTCCGGGATTCCATTGGTTCTGATTACTCAGAAGGGCTTTTCTGGACCAAACTTCCGCTTGGCGCAGCAAATCGTAGTTGGTTTTGATGGAGGACCTGAAGTGTGGACCCGATCTACTTCTCCTCGTGGCGAGCACAACCCCAGTGCTACCATGGTTCTGACTGAGCCCAAAGGGGGCTGACTGCCCATTATTTACTCCCTTACCAAGGCTCCGCCCTTAAGGAGTCCGATAGGAACCTCCATTTCAACAACCTATTTGGGTAAATCGAGGAGGTTGTCTGCAATCGCTGGTACGAACAGACGGCAAGACGTCATCTACGCAACCATGGGTGAGCATTCAAACAGAGACACTTATGGGGTCAGGAGTGACTGTCCTGTTCTGTTCAGTGTTCACATCTGATAGCCTGGCAGATCCTGAAATCTGAGATTCGGGAACCTGGAACCGCTGGGGATCGTGCATACCAAAGCAAAGCCCGCAGATCGCTGAGAAAATGGTGGTCAGCCACCGTCGTACTTTGTCGGTAGTCTAGACAGCCAAAACCCACTCCTCTGGTCAGCTCCGCTCTAACCCTTATGGACAAAGTTGGTCGCTCTCGGTATTCTCCCGTCCCGCCTGGCACTGCAGCGGCCCTCCAACTGCCAGTTTCTGACTGTCGGTCAGTCGGCTTCCCCTCAACCTGAATACTGCTTTGGGCTTATGCCCCGGCATGGTGCCAAGGATTACTTTCTCCTGAGGTTGAACGAACCCCATGGAGCTTCTGTATGTGCCCCAGGGCGGCATCGGTCGCCCATGGATTTCGTCTTCGGTTAACCTTGTCTTTTTTTTTTTTCCTTGCCCTCCCTATTCCCACTTTTTCTTTTTGGGGTTTGCTTTTTCTAGTGGCTTTTTTTTTTTCCTTTCTTTTTTTTTTCTGTTCGTTCGCTTAATAAAATAATGAACCCGCTACTGAATCGGGTCTGCCATGTGGCCCGGAAGGACTAAGATCCACCGGATGGTCAATACTACTACTAAATGCCGTACAAGAGATGCTCCTTCAGATGCAGATACCGTGCTGGACATGCTCTAGGACAGGAGAGGGACAGCAACAACGTTGACCATCTGTTTCTGCCTCTTCGGGGTACCCGGCATAAACAGCTTCGGTACTTGACTGGTGTACGCTACCGCCACGCAACCAGGCCAACCCGTCTAGGGTGCTGAGGGGGACCCCCCCAAAGTTGCGAATTAGAGCGTACTTGTAGGTCGGGAGGGTCGGAAGGTGCTCATAGCGCTGCGCCGCTGACCCATCGTAAGAGCTACCTGAAGAAAAGCACTGCACCAAAAGCCGTGTGTGTGTGTGTGTGTGTGTGTCCCCTCCCTCCCCCTCCCCCCTTCCTTCATGGGATTGGGCTGCTCGAGGGATCTGCTCATTGGTGCGTCCTCGGGCCCCAAGCCAACGGTTGGTAACGAAGGTGTACGGTGTATTACTTCCTTACTGGTTTGTACTGCTGATAACTAAGGAAGTTGGGGAGCTGGAGACTCCAAGCTGTCTGAGGGAGAGACAGGGACGATCTGGAGACCAAGCCAGGACTAGATCCTCCCAGGCCATACGTGCCTAATTATTGCCTGCACCAGTCAGAGTCTGTCTGACCTGGAATGGGTCCTAGCAGCCATGCCCAAAACGGGCAGTTCCCTGATTCTTTTTTCGTTCAAACGCTCAACAAAGATTATTATTCTTCCACCACCGACCCCTACTAAAAGTAAGTAACTACGGTCTACCTACGTATCTACCCGCCCACCTTGTTCCTATCAGACGGCCTCTGTCCGTCCCCTTGGGTATATATATACCTGGTTTAGCGCGACCCACGCACTTGGAACCGCTATAGTCGCATCTTGAGAGGCGGGATCAAGTACCTCTGGCGGTCCACACACCTGGCTGGGATGCATCACGTTGCCTATACGGGTCACACCTATCACCTGCAACAAACCCTCTTCTACTCTCCTACTCACATCATCATCACCCACCTGAATACAATTTGATGTGCAGGATGAGCCCTACTCCTGAACCCCCGACAACCAAAAAGCGCGAGTCCCGTGCTGGGGCGCGTAAAGTGACGTCGCTCTCTGCCGAACAGCTGGAGAGGAAGCGCGCCAACGATCGGGAAGCCCAAAGAACCATTCGTCAACGGACCAAGGAGCATATTGAACGGCTGGAGCACCAAGTGGCTGAGTTGAAAGCCAAGGGGGAACAATTTGACGATGTCGTCCGACGGAATGTGGCGTTAGAACATGAGATCCGAGCTCTGAAGCATCAGCTCGCCCTGGCTAGCAGACAAGGATATCCGGGTATGGGTAGGTGGCCGGTCTTATTCGTTTTATTACGGCTACGGAAAGAACTTGGAATGGCTGACCGATCAATTGTTGCGCATCAACAGAAGGAACGTATAGCAATGCACCTGGATCTATGGTCCCGGCCACGCAGTTTGCAGAGCCTTTGGGGATGAATCCAGCTTCTAGGGCCCCGTCGGTCCTCTCCACGTCCAGTCGTGTCTCGGTTGGGTCGGAATGGCCCCCCTATGGCACCAACCGGTCACCTTCAACTTGCGAATCGAGCGAGACGAACTATGGAAACCGGGCCGAATCGTACTTGTTCGAAAGTCAACTTCAGCCTACGAGCGCAATGTCCGTCGCGCCGCCGCAGGTCAGCTACAGCGCGCCTGTCGGTGCTCAACCAGACCCGACATTTCAATCGTATGCACAGGCATATCACACCGGAAACGCTCCTCGTGGACCGGTAGATGACCTAGCATCCCATCCTCCACAGCCAGTACCTTACGTACCTGGACAGAGGCCGATGTCAGTGCCAACAATACCCACAGAGAGACCGGCAGGATATCCTCTCGTACATGCGCCACAACCGTATCATCAACATACGCTTCCACCTCAGACACGGAATGACTACGGCTATGCCTGGAACCCGCATCAGTCGTGAGACGATGGGCAAGCACGTGGGGCTCTCACGAAAGAAAAGAGATTCTTGCATGAGGCCAAGGCAATCACGGTTGTTGCCTGAATGGTTCAGCAAGCGATCATATGATGGTTACGATCAATATTCTCCGACTCAACGCACGGGGAGGACCTGGTATCTGGGATGCAAAACACTGTTGCGTGCAACTACGCAAACAACACACATACACACTTACGGACTGGTCATACAGCACAGGGCTATCTCCAAATTGTCTACATAACTTGTGATGAAGGGGCTTCATTGGATCCGGAAATTGGCTTGCCTTTGCCAGGCGTCCAGCAAAGAAAAAAAAATCCCAGGGGTCCGGATATCTCAGTGGCACTGGCGGTCACCACACCGTATCGTGGAACAGGGCAGATCTGACCCGTTCAGTCCCAGCTCCAGCTCTTCCCGACGACCCGCCCCATACAAACAAATCCGTGATTTTTCGGCCCGCGAACACGACGAGATTTGCCGGCGGGAGATGATGGAACGGCAACTCCACGTTTTCTTCATGATTTCGCTTGGATACAGAGAGGGGAATAGAATGCAAGGGAATCGGATTACATGAATCATTGGTAGGCGGATTAGTTAACAGTAGATAGAGGGGGAGAGAGAGAGAGAGAGAGAAAGAAAGAAACTCGATAACCGAGCTGCTCCGAATCCACATGGTCGGTTTCAGATTCAACCAGAAAACCACAATATCATCATCTTCATCATCGTGAACATCATCAGGGCCCCAGAACGACCCAGTGTATACTCCCGCTTTTCCTTTTCCTGGAATCTATGTTGTAAATTTTTCACTTTTTCCAGAAACATCTCCGTACCACAATTCCATCCGATTAGCAAACCGTCCCAAACCCATTTCTATTCCATTTTTTTCCCCAGTCGGCCCGCCCGCCCATCGGCTCGTCTACCGGATTTCTTTCTCTTTACAAGGCCCATACTTTACTCGAAGTAGACAAAAGAGCCCAACCCCAGCATCCACCAACCCTTCAAACGTGATTCGAGCTCGGCAGAGGTAAGCGTTTAATCCAAGACGATGGATGCGACCTCTAGTCTACTATCTATCTAGAACCCAGAAGAAAAAAAAAAAAAAGAGGATCAAACCGGGGAGGGGAGATCGGAACCAGAATAACTCCCGAAACGAAACCCGCTCTCTCTCTCCCTTTTCCCCCTCTTACCTCTTTTTATGTAAGCTTCCGATCGGAACCACTCCCCAGTTACCCAGTTACCTACCTTTCAAACCATTCTGTCATTCAAGAAGGTTTACTCAGTCACTTCTAACCGAACCTCCAATTTTTTTTCTTTGATGCAATGTCTTGGCTTGGCTTGGCCTTGGCATTTGGCGTGATTAGTGATATGTTCTATAAAGGCTAATGCAGGCATATCTCGGTACAGAGTATATTACTACTACCTTTTATGGTTATACTTTCGGTCGGATCAGTCGGATAACGTTTTCTACAGTACTATCCTTTTCTTTTACTGCTAGTACTGTACTTAGTGACTTTGTTAACTTTGGGTTTCCTGCTAGTTTAGCCCAGCCTTGTCTAGGCTGCAGCTTCTTATTAATCTTAAATATATAAAGTAGATAGTTAGTCTTAGTTTAGGTGGTAGGTTGTCGGGGAAAGGACGCGGGGATATCGGCGTTTATAATCATTATCTTATGGGTTGCAATACAATTCCATAGAGTAAGTAGTTACGATTTGTTTTGCTGTGCGGGATAGTACTTACCACTCAGTACAAAGTAAGTTCGGTTTGTGTTAGTTGGACAGCAGGGCTCATCACTCGGCCGGTAGAATGTACTATTACTACTACTACTTCTGGTAGGGGTCCCACTCATGGAAGTTTATAGATGATGCCTACCTACTAGTATTGCCTAAGGTTGGTTTTTTGGATTGTGTGCCGACCCGGCCAATAATGTGCGAATGGATGTAGTTTCCGGCGCATGTGAGGAGCGGTAAAGAGGCGGATCTTTGTTATTGGGTATGATATTATGTATGTATGTATGTACGTGCTTTGTCAGTGGTGGGTACGTACCACATCTAAGATGCATGTTCGGAGGTCGGATATAAGGGTGAGGGGAGGATGTATGGTAGAGGTGTAATCGGTTCCAGTGCCATGGTTATGAATTTGAGTTTGTCGGCTAGATCGACACGAGGTTCGTTGGCTCCGTTCCCTTCTTCGGCTTGTGATGGATCTGAGTCATAAGGATACATAAAGTGGCATAAGAGAAGGATAAAGTAGTATAGTTCAGTATAGTATGGTATAGTATGGCATGTGTATGTAATCTACGATGGATCGGATCTCAATCTATGAAGCGGAACCATAGAACGGATAACGGATGATAACAGGGAACAAGTGGAGAAAAAAAAAGAAAGAAAGAAAGGTATCGTTTCACTTAGCGAGTATACTGCTTCTGTAGCAACTTGGCAATCGTCTGCAGCTGAATGTTGCTGGTTCCCTCGTAGATGGCGCCGATCTTGCTATCCCTGAACATCTTCTCGGCGATGCCTTCACGCACGAAGCCCATGCCTCCCATCCACTCCACTGCGGAGCCAGCCACGCGGCCAGCAACTTGCGAGGCATACAGCTTCGCCATTGCGGCATCTTGGACGAAGTCTTGTCCCGCTTCCTTCTTGCGGGCCGCGTTGTAGACCAGCGCGCGGGCGGCTGCGATCTCAGTGTACGCCTGTGCCACTTGGTGCTGCATGCCCTGGAACTCGCCGATCAGTTGGCCGAATTGGCGTCGGTCGTTCCAGATGTATCTGTGAGACATGTTAGCAAATGGACACGTCGGCCATGGAATGACTGCTTGGGGTCACCGCGGAGATACTGAGTCCCGCGGAGATATGGAGAGGTGGTGTTGGGGGTTGCTTACTGTGCAGCATTCTCCCAGGCGCCGAGGGCCAACCCGGTCATCTGGGCAGCAATTCCAATTCGTCCCTCGTTGAGAATGCTAATGGCATACTTGTATCCCTGGCCTTCTTCGCCAAGAAGGTTGCTCTTGGGGATCAGGACGTCGTCGAAGTTGAGCACGCAGGTGCTGCTGGCCCGGATGCCCAGCTTCTTTTCCTTCTTCGCAATGGAGAATCCCGGGGTATCCTTCTCCACAATGAAGGCGGTGATACCCTTGTAGCCCTTGCTGGGGTCAAGGTTGGCAAAGACAAGGAACACGCCAGATTCCATGGCATTGGTAATCCACATCTTCGATCCGTTGATCTTATACCCATCGGCCGTCTTCTCGGCTTTGGTCTTCAGGGCGAACGCGTCTGATCCGGAGGCCGGCTCCGACAGACAGAACGAGCCGACGGTGCCAGTAGCCAGCTTGGGCAGCCATGTGCGTTTCGCCTGCGCGTCACCGTACTTCATGATGGAGGTGTTGACGAGGGTGTTGTGGACGTCTACGAGAACACTGACACTGGGGTCGACGCGGGCCAGCTCCTCAATCGCCACAATCGCCGCCGTGAAGTTCATCCCCGCACCGCCGTATTCCTCCGGGATCTCGACGCCCATCAGTCCTTGTTCGAAGAGTTGCTCGACCACGGCAGGGTCCATGGTCTCCGCTTCATCCATGTCTCTGACTTTCGGGGATATTTGCTCCTGAGCAAACTTGGAAACGGATTCGGACATGAGGGCCTCTGTTTCGGAGAGGAAGGTGATCGGGGTGGGCGTCAGTCCGGACAGATCGACATCCCGCCGGCGGGAGGTGGTGGAGAACGCATGGGTGCTGCTGGAGGGGAGTGTTAGCGATAGGTAACGGCCATGATTGTGAATAATTGCGCTATGGCTCTTGTCCTGTTGACGCAGGAACGGGGGGATCACGGCCTGGAACTCACCTCACAGCTAGCCTGGTCGACAACGGCGGTCTTGTGATAAGGCGGGCGGAGGTAGCAGTGCGCGACAAAGGCCGCAACGCACGGGTGATAGACGCCATAGCGAGATGGTAATTAACTGGATTAGCTGGATAGTGTGTAACTCGAGGCCACGGCAAAGACGCGCAGGGGGAAGAGGAAGTGAGAAGGAGGAAAGCAGGTGGTGACGGGGAGAGATCACGAGTGAGAAGCGCAGACGGGCCTCGGTTAAACGCGGCCGAGGGCCGTCGATCAGCCGTCTCCCCGTTTCTCCAGCTCCGGCTCCAGCTCCATCTCTCCGCAATTAGCCACCAGCTGGGGCATATCTACAGGTCCTGTCTACTGAAAGAAATCCCAGATTAATTAGATGTCATTCTATCAATGTCACTATCCGCTTGTTTCTGTCAGATTAGGTTCCAGTGCGCCTATCTATAACCCGAGACATGAACTCCCAACCCCTCCTTCACATGCCATTCCCGCTCTATCAAATGCTTATCACCTTTTCCGGGTCAAAGACCTTCGCCTGAGAGAAGTAATAGCCTCGCTGGTTCGCCACAATGCGCTTTCCCGTTCGACTGTCTGTAAAGTCACAGTTGTAATGCGTATGGCCAAACCCCCAGAGTCGCACCTGGGGTTTCTCCCAGCACGCCTCCCCGGCGAGATCCGTCGCGAACGCCGATGATATAGGACTCTTCGCGTGCGCGGGATCCACCGCCTTAGATGCAACAGTCGGACTGTGATGAGTGAAAATCACAATTTTATGATGGGGGTTGGACCTGGCGATTCCAGTGACCTGATCGTTGAGCCAAGCTCGGTCAGCTTCGTGAGCAGCGCAGTGATCCTCGACCGACCAGTTCTTGATGTAGTAAAAATCATTTAAGCTGAAGCTAACCCGTTCCTCTTGCATCTCGCTGACCTTGGAGTGAAATGTACACCCCAGGACCGTAAGATCTGGTGCCAGATCATATCGAGTTTGGTCGAGAAGGACAAACTTCCCTAGCTTGTGAGACCCGGGCTTGGTGAATTGTACTTGCGCTCTTTTGCGTGTTATATCGTCGGAAAACCGCTTCAGCTTTTCCCTCACGTCCAACCAACTAGAATGAAAGGGCTCGTGGTTTCCCATCACAAGAAAAACAATCTCAAACTTGCGGAGCTGATCTTCTATGAACAGGAGGAAGCCATCGTCCCTGACATTGCCGATATCTCCCAGGAGCGCTAGATAAGGTGCTTTTGGTGCAATCTCGAACAAGTCGTATGCCTTGGGGTTTTCTAGATGCAGGTCGGAGACGATCTGGAACCGTGCCATTCTTAGTGAGGGGCTTGACCTCCCCTAGTCTATCCCTCGATCCCGATTGTTCAGCACTTTAAGCGCCCTTGGCTCCAACAAGAACCCTGCAGCCACTGGAAAATGCCAGGGTGTGCACTGACTGGCTTGTCAAAAGAGGGGAAAGATAGCCACCTCCACTCAGCCAGGGCCTTTCCAGGAGGGAATGGGGGGGTTGAATTTTGCCGCTGGCTGCGAGGCTGTTCTATTATTGAGACAGGACGGACCACTCACGCACCGCCGTGCATATATGTGGCGGTGCAGGTGTGATGTGATGAGGTGTGGCGCAGCACTGCCAAGAGCGGACGGGGGCGATTATGTCACTCCCCTCTTGGCCGCCATCCATTCATTCATGGTTGTTTCGACGCTCGTCGGCCTGCCCGGGGTTCGGGCAAGTATTTATTGCCTGTTCCCCGGTGCTGCTGTCGCATCTCTTCCCCTTCTCTTCTCCTTTTACTTACTCTCATAATTCACTTGGTTGCTGTGGACAGCACACCGTCTCTCATCTTGCAATCACCCCCCCGCCAAGCGGCTGTGCCGTGTTATCAGCTCCCCCCCGCAAAGTCCTCCACTTGGTACCTACAGGGTCTTCGAGCTGCAACTGTTTACTGTCTATCTTCGAGGCAATTCAGTCATGGCTTCCACCGTTCATGATCCAAGGCTACTTTATAGCATCAGCAACATCCGTGCTTTTCACATTCAAAATGGCGAAGAGACAGAGTTGACCCCGTCTGGGCCTCAGACCCTTTCTCTTCTGATGGTCCCCACTAGAACGACCGTGCCTGGCACCTCCCCCTCGACTCCTCCCCCTGATACGTCTGCAGAGGAAGACTTTTACCTTCACCTGCACTTACCACCGGAACTAGACCTGGCGCTTCCTGCTACCACTCAGATCTTCCACCAGTCTCCAGACAGCTACTTGATCCCTCGCTGGGATGTGGGCCCTGACGCCGGCGCATTCATTCGTATCCAGTTCCCGGGCATTGGCTCAGGTCCGGGTAAAGTCACACAGGATGATATCGATACCTTCGAGACCATCCTAGCTCAATGCACCGCGTTCCTCGAACGCGCTCCCCCGCCGAGCAATCATGCACCGTATAATCCCGCAACTTACGCTCCAGGCGAAGGGTATGTTGCCCCGTCAGGATTCGCCCAGGATGACGCCCATGGCCGGATTGTTCTGGTAGATGAGGAAGATGGCAGCGTGGTTGGTGAAATGGAAGGGTATGATGTGGTTGAGGAACCTGGTGTCAAACCTGGCTCGAAACGTACGTTTTCTGTCATTGCTAATCCACGAATCTGCTAACATTTGCCTTGATAGGACCTGTGGAAATCGAACTTCCTACCGAGGCCGAGGGTAACCAAGTCAACGTCAGTAATGTCTCCGAAGAATACCTGCGGATGGCACGCCATCCAGTTTATAAGGATTCGACAATCGTTCAAACCTCTGCGACTGCCTCTCGCTTGATCGTCACCGGATCTTCCTATCTTGCCAACGCTATCACGAGCGGCGCAGAAGCTTTCACCAAGAAGACCAAGCCCAACCCTAAACCGATGACCTTCTCTGACACCACACATTCTCGGATCCGAAAAGTCGGTACATTCTCGCAGGGTGCTGCCGAGCTGTCCGCAAAGACGGTTGGTCAGGTGGGTAAATATGCCCAGAATATCGGTGCCTCCCTGTCCCGCCGCAAGGACAACGGTACGCAGAGGGGCGTCGATAGGTCCGGGAGCGACTACAAGCCGGGCATCCTGAACAAGTCGATGATTGCGTTCTCAACTTTGACGGACGGCATCGAGCAGGGTGCTCGCAACGTATTGATCACCGGCTCCAATGCAGCTAGCACCATGATTGGACATCGCTATGGCGAGCAGGCGGGCTCCGTAGCCTCCGACCTCACTGGCGGAGTCAAGAATGTCGGCTTGGTGTATATTGACGCCGCGGGTGTTAGTCGCAAGGCTGTGCTGAAGTCCGTTGCGAGGGGTATGGTCGTCGGCCGTATGCGCAATGGGCAGCAGGTCCTCGTTGGAACGGGCGACGGCGGAGATGTTCCTGCAGCGGCGGGCCCAAGCCAGGCATATGGTGGCCGTGAGCCAGTTGTGAGACGTCAGTCTCCCAGCTCGACCCCTCCACCTGCATACGGTGCGCCAGGCACTACCTCGTTGAGCGGCATGTCAATGTCGGGGGGTAAGCGTTGACGTGGATGCTCTTCAGTTTGATCTTCTATTTCAATCTGGTCTGCTGTACTCTGTTTAATGTATGATTTATGACCTTGATGCACTGGGTTGGTGATTTCCCGCGTGTCGTCCGTTTTATGCACTCTTTTTCCGTGTTTTTACGATATGTACCCTGTTTATATGGATACATAGAGATATGGAGCAACCTGATATACGCTGGTACATCTATGTGAAGAAAACGGCGGTGGCATTTGCTCTTGTGTCATATACTAGGCTAGAGCTAGCACTCTTTAGCAGTCTTAGGACCAACTCTATCTCCGGACCGGTTGTGAATATTAACTTTCAATACCCATCACCGAGGTTGGATTTATCCTATCTAATACGTAGTATGCTGTAGGCCACATTACCCCAGGGCATGTGCACCGGTTCCAGCACAACCAAACGTGAGGTGTATAGTAAGAATGTGTCCACGCCAATACCTTGCATCCAGTCCAATTCCCAGTTAACATCCTGCTCCTCGTTCTCGCATCAATGCCTATCATCACGTCCAGTACTAGCATATGCCGAGACTACAATGTACTACTATTGCCCAGGGATATGCACACCCCGCTAACATCAACAGTATATATATTAATGAACTGGCACCGCCATGATCTCACCAACTTACCCAGTAGTATTGCTACGAACCAACCCACTACTACTTACTACCAAACAGAAATCAAACCCCACTACACCAACCAACATAATCCCACACACAACATAAATAAAAATCCCAATACCTCCTCAATGGCCCACCCACACCCCCTCCCCAGAGCGTCCCCCCCCTCATATAGCCAAGGAATAGCCTCCAAATATCAATAAGACAATATGGCCGAGCGGTCTAAGGCGATAGACTAGAAATCTATTCTCTTCGGAGGCGTCGGTTCAAATCCGACTGTTGTCGATATCTTTTTGTTTTTTTTCCCCCTCTTTTATTACTCCTAGGGGTTCTTTTTTGTGGGAACTGGAGTTATTGTGTGGTTGTTGTGGGTCGTGGGTGGGTCTGTTGGCGGATGTGGATGGATATCAAATATATACGGAGTACTCTGTGGATAATCTACTTTTTGGGTACGGAACGGAGTAGATAGATGGATAGAGGTTGTTGATGTCGGTATTATGGTATGGGAGGGATTTCTATCTAGCTTGTTCACGTGGGTATGGGATGGTGATAGTGGTTGCTGGGTATGTATGTGGGAGTGATAATTTCATAGGACTACTGGGTTGGGTTGGGTTTCAGGTGTGTTTTGTTTGGGTTATGTTGGGGTGTATGGGTATGTACTATATCTCTAGCTATTGGGGGTGTATCTCCATGCCTTGGAGAGGAGGGTATATAAGTAGTAAGTAGTATAGAGCGCAGTAGCTCGATTGATGGCATCCATGTGCAGGTATGTCGTGGGCACTGTGTGCATGGCTATGTGCAGAGAAATATTGTATACACTGTGCAGTGGTGTATGTATGTACTCAGTCTAAATGAGAGGGTGAGCCACCGATGCGTAGTAAATGGCGTATCAATGGCTGCTTCTACTTGTGCACAAGAACGTATATATAGTAACCGGGAATATGTGACGCTAACGCCGCATCAAATTATTGAGTAGGACAGCTTCGTCTATTTAATCAGTAGTTGTTATTGGTATATTCGGAGATGCGCCTTGAAATGCACGAGTAATTGATCTGATGACCAATGGCCTCCCAGCAAGACCCTCTATAATGCACCTCATTAACTACTAAATGATCGCGCGCTGTGTGTGCCTCCGAGAAGGACCGATATATTTACCAGGGGCCTCGTTCCCGGGGAGATTTGACCAGAGGAAATTAGTATGTCGCAGGTCCCTGTCATAGAGACAACTAGTTTTCAGTCATGCAGAACATGTTCCATGCGACTAGCCTGAGAAAGGGAAAGATCATAGTGTGGTGTTTTGTGTGTGTTTGATTATTTCAGACATCCATGTCCGGATTACGCCTATCAGACCCAATTTGGGAAAGTAAACATGGCGCAAACTGAAATTGATTTCTCAGACAAGCATTGTCTATGTTGCAGACATCGATAAGGCTGGCAAGATCTCCCTGACAACCAGCAGCAAACAAGGGGATCGAAAGGGATGCAATCAAATTTTATAATTAGATCGGTTAGTTGGTTAGCCAGAGTCTACTGTGCAGTAGATAGTTGTCACAGGCTCACAGCGCATACGTAATTGGGGGAAATCTCCGAATCCTACTACTATCATCGGCGCGATGCTGGGGTAACGAACTGGTCGGTCGTCATGCGGAGTAGATCCGGTTACTAAGTAAGTACACTCGGAGGGTTACACTGCAAACTTGCCCAGGCCGGTGAAAGTAATCAATAAGAGTCTCCTTGATTGAGCATGGGCCTGTTTGTGGTTTGTTTTGCTCTTTTCCTGGGAACATCCCTGTCGAGAGTTTCTATTTTAGAGGGGTTGGCTTGACGGCCCCCTCCCCTCCCTCTCGGGTAAGACGACTAGACTGTCAGCTTTTAAATTAAATAGCTGGATGAGGTGCATCCTAGCTGGCAGGCTAAGGAAGCTAGCTGATCAAGGTCGGTTTCATCTCGGGAGACGTAGGAAATAGATACAGCATTAGCATGAGGAGGTTGGTCCAATGGCATGAGAGCTGGCGCTAGTTGGTCAAATGCTGCACTCATGGTGAATCCGGTTAGTGCGGTTGGACATGTCGTATCAGCAGCTATCAAGACTGGGCGGAGTAAGTAGAGTTGCGGAGGATGGGGTTCAGGAATGGAAGTCTCATCGAACATGTAGATAGAAGGGGAAAGGAAAGTAGATAAGATATCAGGAAATACGATGATCCATCATCCAAGGGATAAGAAGGAATGAGGCATGTTCATAAATGGTTCATTTTAATTCCCCCCAGCATCAAATAAGCTCGGACTTGATGGGGACATAATTGGGTTACCGATCATGGTCAGAAGGACAACTCCAGGGATGGCGGTTATCCCTACCGTGGATAGGATATCCAAGGGTCAAGGATGGGGCAAACCCGAGGAAGAAGAGAAGCACGTAGGCTCATTAAGCGCTGTGGTTGGGGGCCTTTTTTGGTCAGGGACGGATACCAACCATTGACGTGTAAGTGTTAAGTTCGTTTAGTTGAGTTAATTAGATTTGGTAGCGATCGGGAGTTCATGAAGCCAGCAAGTTCTGAGAGGACATAATAACAATTAAAAATAATAATAAAAAAAAAGCAGACTACTGTAAGTCCCCTGCTAGGCGGTGGTACCTAAGGCAGGTACCAGTGGGCGGCGTGACCGGTGGTACCTGAGGTGTCCAGGACGGTAATCTTCCGGGCGACCAATCAGCAGTTGGGCGCAGACGATGACTGCCCGGTTAGTCGCCGTAATGACGATCGGCTGCCCCAGCGGCTCCAGTAGCGACTTTTTCGTGCCGGCTTGAAACAGTGGTTCGATGCCCCTGATGACTTGGCGCCTTCTCATGCTCACTCGGTCTCTGGTCTATTCTGTCTCTGGTCTGTCGGTCTGGGCTGTTGTGCTGGATGCTGGGAGGAGGAGGGGAAGTGTCGGCTGATCAGGTTCCCTCAAAGCCTGACTGACTGACTGACTGACTAACCACTGCGCAAGACATAAACTATACGAGGGCCGCTTGGATTATTATCGTGGTATCGAACCAGAAAAGCATGCATAAACCGGTACCGCAAGTGGATAGTAGTAGTCATTTCAGTTCTAGCGAAAAGTACTACTTAAGGTACACGATCGCCCATCCGGACGAATGACCAGACTCAGAAGGAAGTTCCCAACGGCCGGTCGAACCAGGCAAGGGACAACACCCACGTTCAGGCCCTTGTTTTAGTGGTTATCTGGATCGGGCGTCCATCGCGCCCTCTTTCTGCCCCATCTTGCATCCAGGAAGGAAACAGAAAGAGAAAGAGAATACAGGACAAGGAAAAGAAAAAGAAAAAGGAAAAACAAAAACAAGAGCATTTCGTCACCTCGTGAGGACATCCGTCCATAATGGATACATTAGGTAGCCAGGGAAGTCGGTCATCCCCACTAACGTTCTAGAGTCGGGTTTTCCCAAGTCCACTCCTCCGTCCGTATCCAAGGTCCATGGTCCAGTCACATCCCTCGCTCCCCCCAATATTTCCGAGGCCTAAATGCAGCTGTTCCTCTGTGATGTAGTTCGGTATGTAGGTTTCTCATGAAAACCTGTAGGTGAGGTTGAAGATGTGAATTTCTTGAAAAGAAGTAGTTTTCAAAGTAAAGATCAGGTGGTGTTTGATTTGAATTCATCGATTATTAACCTGTTTTTCTGTTGTCTTCTTTTCTTTTCCCGACTGCCATGTTGCGCTTCAACTTCTGGCAAGTTGCTTATGATTTTAAATTGGGGCGGCGATGATTATTCCTGGCAAAGAGATCCGACCCGTTGACCCGCTTTTTGCTTTCCCCAGCCAGCACAGCAAAGCAACGCAAAGCAAATGCTGGTGACGGGCTTGTTGCCCGTTCCTTTCGCGGCTCGCCTTGGAATTACTCGTCCTGCTGTTTCTCTGCTCCCAAATTAAGGTGGGAACCTCAATTCTATACTTGACATTCGCTACGGACTCCTGACACGAGGTAACCCGGTCAATTCGTTCACTAGAGAGGAAGTAGGAAGTAGTTAGCAGTTAGCAGATAGTGGGTGGCCCCGTCAGAGTGTCGGGTGGGTGTTCATCGTTCGCAGGAAGGCAATAATAATACCTGGCTCATTAGCTGTATCTAGTAGTAGTCTACTAACTAGCATTATCAAAATTATTATAATTATTATTATTATTTATTTTTTTTATTCTATTCGTATTGCTACGACTTCACACTACCACCGCCATCACTTCCTCTCCTTCTCTCTATCCCCTCTCTCTTCTTCACCCCCATCATCATCTCTTTCCCTCCATCTCCATCTTCTTCCCCTTCCTCTTCTCTTTTTTTTGTTCCTTTTGTCCCTTTTTACTGTTCTAGTTTCCTTCTATTCTTGTTCCCTTCACTTGCTTTTCTGCTTCTTGCCTTCGCTCGGGATCCTCTTCCTTTTTGCGCCCCCCCTGGGTCTTAATCCCGCCGGTCTTCCTGCTCCCCTCGCGCCGCGCCCCCCCCTGTCCGCTCCCCGATCCAGAGACGGACGACAACTCCACCAGGCTTCAAGCACCCCTCTTGTCGCGACGCTACTGCTACCGCTGCTCAAGCAACTACTGCTGGCTGCTGACTGCTGCGTGTTGCTGCATCTTCACCTCTTCCCATTCCCTTTCCCTTCTCCCCCCCTCTCTCCAATTTCCCCTTCCCTGTCGATCATGCTATTCAGAGCAGCATACACTTTGCCTTGTCAATTCCCTCGGAAGTGTTGAAATTGGTGCCGTGTCTGGGAAAGAGTCCAAAGCGAGCTTTCCCGCCGTCGAGTATCCATCGTGCTAGTAAGAAAGTGGCTCGTGGTGGTTAATTTCGCGTCTCCCGAGGCTGCTGCTCTCCCCTTCCCGCCCGCGTCGGTCTCGTCCCTCCGATCTCCAATTCCTCAATCTCTCGAGCCGCAGACTCCCTCCCACCCCCCCTCTTCAACCCATTACCCACCTGGGTAGCGATTACTCGTGGGAAGAGGCGAAGGTCCAAGAGTCAATTCTGCAGTGCAGATATTCCCCCTTCTTGCTGCGATCGATCAAAAATAACCAGGGGTTCAGAAGAAAAGAAAAAGAAAAAAAAAGAAAGAAAATTCAAAATCCACAACAAGCAGCAGCTTATGCGTTTCTTTGACAAACGCGAGTGTTGACTAGCTTCCTCTTCTTTATTTTCGCCGACGTCGCTTTTTGCACTAATATTCTGCTGCTTCTATTCGACCTGGTGTCCTTTATACCAACGACCTTGCTGCTTTTGTCGGTGACCAATACCTGTCAGTTATTTCCCTAACCATCCATCCCTTATCGGTGGTTCGAATGGAACCTCCGATGACTGAAACTGACTCGAGAGACAACAGCTCAGCTGCCCGACCGGAACCCTCTAGCTCCGGTTTGATCGGTCACTCTCTTCCCCCCCCCCCCACAAACAGATAGTAAAAAAGAAAAATAACAACGTCCTCTTTTATCTCCCTCTGGAGGGCTTGGACGTGTCGGAATTCAGCTCGCCGATCGCAATTGCTCCATCAGAGCGAACCGAGGTGATCGCTCATCTGCCGTCTCGCGTCTGCCTGAAGAGGCTGTCCCGGACCGTAAACGCAGCAGTCCTCATCTCAAAGGCTCTGCTGCGTCTTCAATAAACGAAGGTATGTGACGTGCTACTCTACACTGTTTGCCGAGAATCCACATTGGTCTGCCCCTCCCCCGTGGCTGTTCCTGTCCACATTCCTTCCCCCCTCCAGCTCCGTCATGCCGAGTTATGCGCCGCAACACTGCTGTCAGCGTCAGCGCGACAGTCGCCGCGATAGAGCGCCACACCGCGCAATCCGTGTAGTGCTAACTGCTCAGCAGCTAGCCTCCTCTTCGGTCCTGACAGCTTCTTTCGGCTATGAACGACTCCCAACCGCAATCTTTGCCGCTCACCACCCATGCCTCCCCAGCCTTGACACCCGCAGCGCCGTCCGAGCAGGACAACAATCGCTCCCCCGTTTATCCCGACCTACTGGGTGCTCCGCCCGTCCCGCCGCCAAGGACATCGTCAACCCACCGCAGTCACCATGGTTCGAGTGCAAAACCTTCCTCATCCTCCGCCGAAAAGTCCTCGAGTTCTCGTCACGGAAAGAATCGAGCCGATGACCGGAGTGCAAGCCACCGTGAGAGGAAGGGGGAGGACAGCCAATTTCGCCCGGTGAACGTGCCCGAGGAATACCCGCAGAGCACGAGCTCCCACGCGCCAGCGGCACCGTCTTCGGAGGAAAACATGGAAGGTTATGCAGGCCAGGGCGAGTTGCAGAAGGAGTCAAGCGCAGTGATCAATCAGGTCCTGGTGAGTGATCCGTCTGTGGATATCGAGCGGGAGCAGGTCCGGCAGGCCGGCTCATCGGTGTCCCCATCGACGGAGAGCGCTCCGGCATCCGGGCTGGGTTTGGTGGGAAGCGATGGTGTGGATGATGGAGGTCGAGGTGGACTACGAAGTCGGCATGATTACTCGGAGCATGCTGTCAAGCGCAAAGAGACGACGTTCGGTCAGTACATTCTGGGGCAGACGCTGGGTGAGGGCGAGTTTGGCAAGGTGAAATTGGGGTGGAAGAGAGACGGCACCATACAGGTAGCCATCAAGCTCATCCGCAGGGAGTCTCTTGGGTCGAATCCTAGCCGGTTACCCAAGATCTACCGCGAAATTTCAATCCTGCGTGACCTAGCTCACCCGAACATCGTTCGGCTCCACGAGATGGTCGAGACGGACCGTCACATCGGTATCATCATGGAGTACGCCTCTGGGGGTGAGCTCTTCGATCATATTCTGAACAATCGGTATCTCAAGGACAATTCCGCTCGACGCCTGTTTGCGCAACTTGTATCTGGTGTGGGATATCTTCACAAGAAGGGTATTGTCCATCGTGACTTGAAGCTGGAGAACCTGTTGCTGGACCGGAATCGCAACATTATCATCACCGATTTTGGCTTTGCGAATACGTTTGACCCCATGGACGAATTGGGCGATGAGATCGAATACAACCTGACTAACAAGGAGTTTGTGAAGCGGATGCGCTTAGACAGGCCCAACGCCAAGGGTCTGAGGCGAGGTGATCTGATGCAAACCAGCTGCGGAAGTCCTTGTTATGCCGCGCCGGAGCTCGTGGTTAGCGACTCACTGTACACTGGGCGCAAGGTCGACGTTTGGAGCTGTGGTGTGATTTTGGTGGGTGACCCTCAAGCAACATACCATTGCAAAAGCGCTAATTAGTTTTCACAGTATGCTATGCTTGCGGGATATTTGCCCTTTGACGATGATCCGGCTAACCCGGACGGTGATAATATCAACTTGTTGTACAAGTACATTGTCACCACTCCTCTAACATTCCCGGAATATGTGACCCCCCACGCTCGCGATCTTTTGAGGCGGATATTGGTGCCTGATCCGCGGAAGCGAGCAGACTTGTTTGAAGTGGCCCGGCACAGCTGGCTAAGCGAGTACTCGCACATCGTTTCCCATATCACGAGCAGCACGACCAAGGTTGCGGACATTGCCACAACCACCGTCTCACAGGGTATGGATCTCGCCATGAATCCTGCAGGCTCTGCCACTAACCCGGTGTCTCGGGCAGAACCGCACAAGGAAGTGCCGTCGCTGGCACGCAGCGCGTCCGTTCGGGAGCCTCCGAAAACATACAACAATAGCCCTGTTCCCTCGGTGGGAGGACTTATCCACCATGCAGGAGATATTTCCCAAGAGCAGGCGGTCGAACGGTCCAAGACCCCTCGAGACACGAAACGACGAACGGTGCAGGTCGAATATGTTGCACCTCAGTCTCAAACTGCGCGGGGCGAGGTTCCTGCCGGCATGGATGCAGGTGTCGCGGAGCCAGCTGGGCCGTCGGAGCCTCGACCGACGAGAGCCAGGTCAAACAGTCGACCCATCGTGCCTAATATGCCGTCGGGCACTCTGGCCCGTGATTTGTCTGGCGCGTCCAACGTGCGGACTGGAGAGCCCAAGGCGGCCGCTGGCCCGGCGCCGGCACCTGTTCCTGGGCACTTGCCTCGCTCGACGTCGGATGCTTCTGCGCTCACTGGGACGGCACCAACATCTGCAACTCATGCCACCCGCCCCACTACCGGTGGCTCCATGGCCTCGTTCAACGCCGGTCGTTTGCCATCACGAGGCTCTTATGGACAGCCGGTTGCACCAACTGTGGCTGCCACGAACGCCCAGGGTCGGCTCGCACAACCCAAGAGCAAGCAATATGTTATCTCCTCTCCTCTCCAGCAGCAAGATGCGTCGTCCCAACAGTCCATCGGTCAACCGAGTACACAGCAACTTCCGGCCAAGTTCAACACAACACCCCGACAAGAGCCCCCGAAGGGCCACAAGCGATCCAACACGGTTTCCAGCATTGGCGAGAAGCTGTTTGGCCGCTCTGGTTCCATTTTCGGAGGGCGAGGAGGACAGGGTAGCGGTCCTCGGCAGAAGAATGGCAAGCGTTATCCGCCTACGAGTATGAAGGAACCATACGGTGGGGATGACACCCGGATGTCGATGGATTCGCGACGCTCCATGCAATACGGATATAACCGCAAGACTAGTGAATCTGGCGTGGAAGGCCGGCCTCGAAGGTTCTCATTCCTGCCGCCATCATTCTCCCTGAAAGGATTTTCTTCCAGCAGATCGCAAACTCCTGATGAAGAGTCGCAAACAGACCGCTCTACCGAAAACCGGGTCGAACCGCGTCCGTCGACCAGTGCAATGCAGGCGCGTTCGCGCGCTGCTAGCTATGGGACCCAGGATGCCATCGGAGCAGCGCCTGAGGGTGCCCCAGGAGACGAGATCCTGACCCAGGACGAACCCATCAACTACCAGGCCCGGATTGACCAACAGTTCGCCGTACTACACTCCAACCAGTCTGGAATATACCAGCCGACCTCTTACAGTGCGACCTCGGCCGAGCAAGTGTACCAGAACGATAATGACCATTATTATCGCAACCAGTACGCCAACCACTCGGCACCCAACCACTATGAGGAGTACTCCGCCCCGTATGATAAGGCGCCGCGGCCGTCGATGCAGGCTGGTCGACCTGGGCGCGGGACTGGCGTTTTACCCAAGAACCACCGCAAGTTTGCAGATGCGTACGAGTACGAACGCGACTTGGCGCACCGGCCTGGCAGCTCTGGCGCAGCCAGAAAAGTGATGGATTTCTTCCGTCGGCGGGCCAAGTCGAGAGCTGGCGATGACCGATAGGCTGGCTTCTTGGTCTTGAAATCTATCTAATATCATCTTGTCACAATACAACTCACCGAACTCGACATAACCGGTCAGTGCAGAATTGGTTACCGCGGTCGAACAATGACGAATGACAAGCAGTCCCAGTCTCATGACCTGCTTGCGATTTGGGAATGGAGCGTATGGCAATGCCCAGGAAGGCGACGCAGGTGCTCTGGCATTCACCGCATACCCACGATCCTCGAGAGAAAGCGAGGATGGGTTCGACGGAACGACGGGTCTCGACTGGAGCCTCTTGGTTTGGAGGTGGCATTTGAGGCGACCAGGCTCCTGGAAATCAGCATTAAAGAGCAGAATGGTTAATTGGATACCCCCGTGATACCCACGCAAAATTCGTCCCTTCTGTTGCTTGCACCTATCGATTTGTCCTCGCATTGTACCAGCAACCGTTTGTTCCCGCATACATATCCCCATCTTGCATTTGAATATCCCTTGTTTCCCATAAAGCCTTATTTCCTTTGTTCAAATTCTCGTTTTCCTTTCCCTGTCACTATAGTACTGATTGTAAATTGATTTCTTTTCTGACTCCCCCATTGATTATTTGTGCTTTTGTTCTTTTTTCCCCTTCTTCTAGGACGTGGTGTCCTTGGTGTGCTACGGCTATTTACATTCCTATTGATCAGGATTATTTTGTGGTTAATTTAATACGTTTATTGTGATCGCACAACCCGGCCTCTGTTGATTTTGATGTGGTACTTGTTTTGAACCGGTAGTGAGGATGACTTGGTTGGAGCATTACCAGTGCATTGAGCGCATGTCGATTACCCTAGCATCTATTTCCATAACTTCATGCCCTTGGGGGCCACAATCCATAGTATAGTGCAATCCACAACCCTTGATTGATAGTGATTGGGGCTTTGCAGAATCCCTGTCTAGCGTGAGCGGATATACCATCTATTGATAGTAGCCGTAGCTGCAGCTAACTCCAGCCCATCGAAAGACGTAGAAAGAAAGAAACGGAGTCGTGGCTTAGATGTGATCCCCTCTTTTTATCCTTGTCGTCTACCCCTCTTTTCTTTCCCACTATCTAGTATCTACAGATGACACTCTCAGCTGAGGCTGTACCTGAAACGAACTAACCAAACTAGACCCAAAGATAGTGGTGATGACCATGCAGCCAGTGGTCTGATTTGCGTGTGGTCTGTGAGTACAATAAGTCACCTGCCGTCTCTGAACTATATCTGAAACAACCCGCTGTTTGCTTACTTACCTTAGCTTGGTGTTGCTTAGTAGGGCATTTGGACCGGGTTATGTGTTTTAGTTGGATATAGTACGGAGTACTTGCGGCATTTATCTCCTCCTGTTGTGCTGCTCGGGCTGAGTGTCAGCCGCTATCTAGTATCTAGATAGTAGATCAGATTTTAGGTTGCATATGCATTAGCTGAGGGGGATAATTATAGTTTTGGACCCCAAGGGGGATGTTGTTTCGTTGGGATGGGTGCATAGATAGATGGCTACTGAACTAGGGTGTGTAAAATGTGTGTGTCTGTGATGTCTGTGATGTCTGTCAATCAGTCAGCCTTGCGAGTAGCTCACTACCTACTAACTATCTAATTGACCCCCACGATAGTAGTTCTGTATCTACTCAGTTAGTTAGTTAGATACTGCTCACAAGACATATTACTATTCCCAGGTGTTAGAGTAGACGGATGATGTATGGTCTACAATGGCACAGTGGCATAGGCAACTAACTAGCTATTATACAACTACCTACGGAGTACTCACCATCAAACAATACTGCAAAAATAAAATAAAAATAAAAGGGAACGATCAATTGACATGATTAGAGAACACATTTAGTCAGTGTTGATATGCTCAGAAACAAAAATGTATGACAAGAGTGGGATTCGAACCCACGCCATCTTACGATGATCAGGAAGCTGTGAAGCTGGGTATTAAGGTGGACCTTAACCTGACGCCTTGGACCAACTCGGCCATCTTGCCTTGAGATATTATTTGCAAAAGAAATAGTGGTATATGGGTCTGCTTGAGTGTATGTAGATATATAATTGTGGGGAATTCTTGGTTCTTATTGGGTGTGGGTGGGGGACGGGGATTGCGATGGGGGAATGGATGGTCTTGTGTGTGAGGGAAGATTAGGACTCGGGTAATAGGGTCTGAGAGAGGAGATGTGTTCATTACTACAGTGGTGGTATAATACATCAAGATCAAACTGAGGGGTGTCCAGAAATGGCTCATGACGCGGAAAGCGGGTATTCCATGAAGCCTTGCGGTTTATATAAGGCCACAGTATAGAGGTCAATGGCATACCAAGTAATCGAAGAAGCACACCCGCATCATTGTCATCAACCCACAAAAGCGAATGGCTTCGTCCATTGTCCAAGTTACCTCGATGCTTAAGCCGCCGCAGCATCCGTTTTGGAGAACGTGTTGTGTAAAACGACCGATACCATAACTTATTTGACAGAAGCGAGTGGCTTCGTCCATTGTCAACGAAGTCTCGATCATCAACCCGCCCAGGCAGGTCCGTTTGGGAGAACCCTTTGTATAGAACCACCGACCTGTGGTTTAATTAAACACCCAGAAATCTTCTCCCTGCCTCCCTTAACTTAACCGCCAACCCGGCCATAAAGAGGTCTGCCTTGTACTCCCGTATCGAGCTAGATTAGTGCACGAGTTTAGAACCTGCGCCGTACTTGAGGTTGGTTCGTGGATACCGATCGGCACTTTGTCGAAAGTATCCCTAATTGAAAAGTCACACCAAACCCAGCTGACACGCCCTATAGTCTTATGAGGTAGTCAGTGTGGCGGCTACAGCACGCCAGATCGCTTCATTTGTAGTATCGCTGGCCGTCCTTGAAACCGAGAGGGAACAGGAGAGATAAAGCCGGAGGTCGAGGCTACTAGGTTAAAAGTAAGAAAACGGGCAGAGAAAGAGCCGGAAGATTCTGGAGGGTTGTGGCCGGTTGCCGTGTAGTAAGGTTACTGCTAAGCTTCTTTACTAGGCGCCCTCTTCCTTATCGCCGTCTTCATTTGTGGGATAACAACGTCATTTGTGGTGTTGCTGTAGCATGCCAGATTTATTGACTAACACTTTAAAGGCGTCGCTCATTCTCTGCTTCAAGAGACTTTTCTTCGATCTCGAATCTGGCATAGTGTCTGTGGGCGTGTGTTGACTTCGAATGCCAAAATGAATACTCCATCAGCTAACAATAATTGCAAGTGCTTGGATAAGTATTGAGCCAAACTTGCTATTCTTTTTGCTTTGGGCTACTAATGACTTCGATGTTCTCACCGTAGTCTTAGGCAATGTGGTTTCGTGTGTGCCACTTCAAAAGCTTCTTGGTCTCGTTCTAATCGGCTTGCATGTAGACCGCGGCCCATGGACTTTTGCCGCAGCCAGCAACAGTCAGCCAATGCTGCCCACATGTGGGTTTTTCTTGTAGTCTTGGTGTGGCCAATCACAGTCGGCAATTTGCTGCCTGCAGGTGTGTTCCAAAAGTGCAACCATCGCACATTGCTTCGAGAAACTGAGTATGTTCGAAGCTGCTATTTGATCGGGTCCAGAGTATTTCTATATCTCTGGTTCTCTTTCCTCTCCCTTGACTAGTGAGGATAGGTATGTTTGCCACATGAGGAAATCCTTCACCTTGTGCTCTGGGGTAAGTATTTCCAGGCATTCCATGTAAATTTTCCAGCCATAAACGGCAGTCGGCCAATCCTGCTGGCATGTTCCTCCAAGAGCAATGCAACAATGTATTTCTCCGAAAGATTGAGCCAATCCCAGTAGTATCTCGAAATTGGTGGAGAAGATCTTCGTCTTCGCTCCCGCCTGCAATCTATGGTGTCGTTCTCACCATATCATGGCAGGAAGATTATGAGAATCATGCATATCAGTCCATCGCAAATGCCTGAGATATGAGCTCCTCGTAATGTCTCGTAGGACACAGCCCACGTGTCAGTTGGGCCCATACGCCTTATTGTCGAGAACCCAATCATATGGCTGACAATCACTCCTTTTCGGCCATCATGATGCTTTTAGATGGGTTGCATCGATATCGTTGAGGTAATATCATATGGTTTTGCACCGACGCAGCAATAGCCTTGGCTTTGGAATAACAGCTATAACCCTCATCTAGCAACCTTTCTATGTCTTATCGCAAAGGCATGCATGGAGAAGTAAGATAACCGATAAAACGCCCTTTCCTGGTGCTGGAGTAGATGTCAGCTTATGCATTCTTAGCGGGCCGTCTCACCAGCCCCAAACATAAAGATGACATACATAGACTGACCGTTGTCAGCAAACATCTTTATTAAATGATGGCTGAACCGCGCCAAAGTATTTCACAATTCCTCACGTGATTGTGGTTCTTGACTACTATAGCGATGTTATTCCCGATAATCGATGTTGTGTTCTAAGACTCGGGACAACGATGTGGCTTTGTTAATCTCGGGTACTCTCTCGTAGTATCTCTTCGTTGTCTTTGTTCAAAATGTATCTTCTGGACGTGCGAATACTTTGTAGATGTATTCGACCCTCTTGGATTAAGGGAAGACCATTTACTCCAGGCATCCAATGGCGGGAGTAACACGAGGTTGAAGCAGGGGAAGTAGCTTAGTATTGTAGCAATGTGCTGTATATGAGAATGTCATATATTATTCATAGAAGATACCAGTCATCGGCTGTACTCTTTCTAGTCAATTGACCCAATGAATCGAGAAGATACTAGCAGATAGACTGTATCGAGCAGATAATGATTTATTAAAAAGACTAGGGAGATTACAGAGGAAGAAACACAAGAGGCGAGAGAAAATTGGCTGCTTATATACTACGGGACCGAGCAGCGCTTAGTTGTGAATCCGGACCATATTGTGTGAATCTGTATACAATACTGTGAATAGGAAATGAATGTGAAATGATTTTCATCTCAACCCGGTGAAGCAGCAAGAGAAAAGAGAAGGGAAAAAGCATCACTACGGAACGCAGTGATGGCGGAGATAATATCACTCAGTCAAGCAGATATCACATTGCGGTTCAACATACACGAAGCTGAGATGAGCCCTACCAGAGCCGCATCCGAAGCCGTTGCAAGGACCCTGGTAAGCACGCCTTTTTAGCGCATACAATCAGGCTATACAAAGTATCTATATAGCTATTGAAGTATATTTAGAATGTCCTATACTACACAGCCTTAAACTAGCGATATGCTAACACGCTCACCTGACAGTAATGCATATGGACCCCGGTAGGATATCTCGGCTCATTGCACCAATCACATTTTGGATCTGCATTTTCGGCTAATTTGAAACCACTGCTAATTGAATGATAACTGCGGCTTACATTGTAGCGATGAAACTAGATGGTTGATATTTATTGTTAGCTAATGGTGCTGACCATCCTTGCTATGATGACGCTCGCACACCAACATAAATATTACACGGACGGGAGACTAAGATATCCCTTGGTCCGAAACGTCGAATGAGCATCCGATTCCGACCCAAAGCGATGATACAATCGTAGTGGATCCTATTATGAAACTAGCGCGAATCACGCAACCCGGGATATACTATCCAGCAGACTAGTCCAGACTATCGACACCGGAGGATAAGCCAGTAATGGAACGGGTCTATCTCCCGTCATGAGATAGGCCCAGCTATATTACATTAAATGAGAGTAGATGACATGAACAAGGCAAGATGGCCGAGTTGGTCCAAGGCGTCAGGTTAAGGTCCACCTTAATACTCAGCTTCACAGCTTCCTGATCATCGTAAGATGGCGTGGGTTCGAATCCCACTCTTGTCATACATTTTTACTTTTTTCTTCCCCCCCCCCCAACCGATCGATCTCAAGACGTGGGAGACGACGTGGATGGAAGTTGATAGTAACTCAGTTCTTTTTCTACATCTATCATCGCCATCATTTTCTTTGGGGGTTTTTGCAAGCCCGCCGCTATTCATCCTTTTCTCCTCCTGCCTAACTCCCAGCCAGCCGCGGACATATGTAATAAACTTTAACATGAGCGTAAGCATAACCATAAGTAAGCATAAGCATCAACCCCCACCATCCCAACGACAATAAGAAAAATCTACTTATTTCTTATGTCATATCATCCCATCACCTCAATAAGTAGCTAGCTTCACCGACCGGAAATTTTCTATAAAAAGAAAGGATGCGAACCAAGAAGAATCAACAAGAAAGCAAAAGAAATCGATGATCATCTCGGTGAAACACCGTCCGTCCACCTACCTATCCCATCCGCTTGTCCATCCTGCATCATGACAAGGAAATCCGAGGGAAAGGAGGTGGCTCGGATAAAAGGGTTATTCACACCGTTCTATTGTAAACATAAGCTCTTCCAATCATGGAGTACCAACCCCCAAGATAGTATACTGGAATATCCAAGTATGTAAGTAGTATGTGTCATGGACAGCCAAGTCCGGTGTGCAGACGTACGCGGACATGCATATCCGGATGCATTTGTTTCTGTATCTGTTTGAGTGAATGTATGCCTGTATGTAAGTCGGCTCGGTTAGAGAAGGAAGGGGGCTGGTGGTGGTCGGTGGGGTGATAAGGATATTGAAGGTATCACCATTGTCTTGATAATATAACTCGTTATCAATATTACTATAGCTGATGGCTATTATGCTTACAAGGGAACGTGCGTAAGTTATTCTAATCGGTGAAAATTGGTAATAGGAATATAACATTGGTGGAACCATCGTATAGATAGATGAACAAACCTGAAAAAAAAAAGGTCAGTAATAAAAGTAAACCTACTTCGCAGAAAGTGGTGTGGGAGTTGGGCTGAGTTGGGTGCAGCAGCAGCAGCAGCAGCAGCAGCGACATGCTTGCGTTGCCCGCGGATGTACATATCTCAGCATCCGGAGAGGCAAGTTGCAGCTCTGTGCAGACCCCGTGACCAGCACATCCATACTGCAAGTTGTCACCGGGGGTTGGGGCTAGATCTGAGATCGCGCCGTTCTGGTCTGGTCTGGTTCAGATAGCATCGCTGCCATGGCCCACTAGTTATCTATGGAACCCTGCCGGGCCCTTTTACTCCGACGCATGGACGGAGTACGCCGTACGGTGTGCAGCCATGATTAATTTAACTAATTTCAGGTCTACAAGGTTCAGGGTTCAGCTCTGTTTACTTTTTTCTCTTTCTTATCTACACCTTAGACTACAGGGCAAACATTCAAGGGGTTACGCTGGCTTGGCAACTCCGAAAAGGGTTGATCGGCAGAATCTATCATTGCTTGGCTGTGCAACAGGAACTGCGGTTTATCTGATGGCACAATGCTTGGCACATATCAATGGACCCTTGGCAGTCATTCAGGATTGTCTGGGCAGCGCGGCCCAGGCAAGGAGTATGGTATCATTATGATTGTGCAAGAGGCTATGAACATGAGGTGTAGACTTGGCGTAGAGTAGAAATGGCAAAAGCAATGAATCTTGCAACCCCCCCAAAAAAGAAAACATCGGGCCCCGCACTTCGTTTCCCCCGAATGGTCGCTCGGTCCAATAACGTCAGATATCCATGACAAGAACTAGTAGTGTCTTCCTTCGGTCTGCGGGGTGAGACTTTAGGCCCCGTTAGACGATGAGGTGCGAGGCAAGGAAATCGTGTCCAGCGCGATTCGTCGAATTGAAATTGCTTCTATTGCCAGAAGCTTAGTTGCTAGGCGAAGCGGCGTCGCGGGTGTCGACGCCCAGGTAGAGGAAGCCGCTAGGGAGACGACTGAATCCAGGGCGCTGCGCAGTTTCGCTGGTCGTGGAAGACTGGCTGCTGGAGCGCTCACGAACCTGCGTCGAGGTAGAGAGAGGAGCCGACTCGGTAGGGGCCAGGACAAGGAACTTGGAGGTGGGAGTGTAGGTGTACATGGTGATTGATGGATGAGTTGACAAGGAGTCTCTTGAAAGCAGGTAAATTGGTAAAGTCTTAAAGTGACTTGGAATCAAGTAGAGAGAACTTTTCTTGCAGAGTTGCTTGGAGGAAAGAGGATGGATGAGAATTTCATCGGCTGGAATCGGCCACCCTTATATAGCTATGGCAGAGCTCAGCCAAGCCATTATCGCAGCAGGGAAGAGGGGTTGACCGGAGATGGTGTCGATCAGGCGAGCTACCGATTCTAGCCCAGCTGCAGAAAGCAGATAAGTGGAGGGACAAGCAGTGGCTTGCCTATTCCTCATACCCGACGGTGGACCGGGACACGCTGTAATTCACATGCCTGCGAAACGGACTATCACAAAGGAGGGGCTGAGAACGTCATCCTTGAAAATCCCCCCTTCCCATGCATCTCTTGGCTCTGGCAATAGTCATACCCGAGCAGGATGCGGTGGACATTCTGGTTGGGTGAGCTGGGCCTGGGGGTCCCCGACACAAGCATCAGGACCGCCACGACTCCGAACCTAGCCTCGGATGATCAGCAACCAAGAGCCGTGGCCAAGGCACTATTGATTGAGACCGAACCGTCCCGTGACGAGCTCTGGAGGAACGTGGAAGGAAAAGAGGCGATAAGAGGCGACGTCAGGAACAAAGTGAGTTTTTGTCCATTCTTGGGGGGCAAAAGAAGCGGGCCTGCCAAGTCGTTGCTGCATTCTTTTTCTGTTCTTTCCTGTGGATTTCTGGTTATGTTCCCCAGGCCACATGACCCCCCCGGAATTTCATGGTTGTTTCCCGCTGCTGCAACTTCTGCTTCCCCTCGGAGATCGCCTTTTAACATTCCCTTCCTCGGGAGATCTTGACTTGGGCAGCCACATCTGCTTTCCAATTGAAATGATCCGAATCCTTCCTCGCCCCCTTGCTTGATAGAAGCGAAAGAAGCCGCTAGAAAACAGCATTGCTCGGGGAAAGGACTAGACCATTGTGTGAAGTCGGAAGCTTCAGGGAACGGGAAGCTGGGAACACCCGACGGGCGGAGATGGTGGTCCGGGGGAAGGTTCCATGGTAAAGGGTTGAGTTGAATGGACTTACTAGTGGACAATTTAATGAGACTAGCAGGTCCCCTCTCCGGATTAATAACGAGGTGTGAGAACGAGACGAAGGGAGTTCTGGAGGGAGTAAAAAAAAACAACAAAGCCAGAGGAAGTATGAAGCCAAGCAAGCAGGCGGCTCAAACCAGCCCGGGATCACGTGGCTGACATGAGATGCGCGCAAGAATCAACCACAGCGACTAGAAAACCAAGCCCCCTTCAGGAACAGGCCAAAACCCAGGTTCAGGCCAGGAACCATCACGCGTCGGTCCCATCACCGGCGCCGTTCCCCCTCCCGGGAGCCAACGGCGGCTAAAAGATGGCCGTGCCCGCTGGTTGAAACCTGTCGACCGTCGCCGTTTTAGCGCCTTCGGGCCCTGCGCCGTATCGCCCTGAGTGGCGCGGCCACCCAGCGGCTGAAAGGGCTCAGTGAAACATGCAGAGGCCCATGGAAAAAGCGCCGCAAGTGCTGTGCCGACTTTCTGAACTCCATGGCCTCGCTGCCTTAGCCCGATGTTTCCCATTCAGCCTAGCTGCTGGTGGTTGATCATGGAAAATCGATAGGCGGAAACGGTCTGGCTGGCACTGCCGAATTACTCCAGTTAGCCTCGGCCGTGGTAGACCTGGCTCACTATCACACCAACGCCGTAATATCCCAGGCCCATGGGGAAACTACGCTAAGTAACGCTCGGTTGCTGGCTCGCGCTGATGTCGGATAACTTCTGGCCCCCGAGCTATTCCCAACAACTGGAGCCAAGAGGAGGGAAAGGCAGTCAGGCTCATGTGTTCAGGCTTTGTGGATGTCACTGATATCACCAACTGCGTCAAGGTTATGGGTCTCAGACATTGGTCACTGGCAAAGCTATGACCCAACGTGCCTGTGACGGCACAGCAGTTCTTGCATGTTCATCTCTTTAGCTTCCGCATGTCGGCTCCGGGACTCTGACACACCTTGTTGATCCCAGCGACCCGCAGCAGGATGATGTTTGACGTGGGACAGGATGCACTCTTAGGAACTGCGGCGGCCCCTGACAGGAGCAGGTGGCTCATGGATCAACTAATCCTGCGCAGCCTTTTCTAGCCAAACAGCGCCAGGTGCCAGACGGTCAGACCAAGCTGGTGGGGGTGATTCCCCGAACTCTGATATCGGCGCGATCATATTGGACTGCCGGTGGCCATGCGAATCCTGCTCCTCCGCTCCCGTTCAATCCGGTGTCAAGGACACATGATAGCGAGAGAACAGTCGCCAGATGTGCGCCTTGATGAGTGGATCTGGTCGTCTGCGGTCTTGCATTCGTCAGATGCTCTGGTCCGGGACTCATTCTAGACTGCAGCATGACCCCCTTCGCAGTCGAACTACTGTTGGTCGTGTGCGGGGACTGATTTGATAATTCAATTGTTGGGTTTGCGCCTGCATATCCTGACGGGTCTTTCCCTGCCGCAGGAAGGACGTGTAGATGTGAAGATGATGTCAACCTTCGCATGATGCAGCAGCGGAAGTCTAATGCGTTCCTTTGCCCCCCACCATCCTCGAGAGGCTCACATCACCTTCGGCCGATGCATGACCATGCTAGTCAGATACGCGTTCATTTTCCTATCTTGGAAAAGATGCCTTCCCAGGCTGATCCCAGATGGGGGTGATCTCAGGCTTTCTGATTCGCATAGCCGCCAGTCCGCTGGGAGGGAGGGGGAGCATCAAAGGCATTGAGATGCATATGCAGACTGGATCATATGTTGGGATACTGTTATATTAAAATTTTTACTTGGAAGGATGATTCGAGTGTGATGTAGATCGAATCACCAACTGATTCTCCGGTTCAGCGGCTCTATTGGTCCGTGTTGAGGGAGGGCTGAGCCCAAAAAAATGGGAAAAGAGAACCGAGTGCAGGGAAAAGAAAGGAAGAAAAAGCAAGATGCAAGCCGTAGTTAGTTTCCCGTTCCTTGCCTAACCTTCTTCTGACGGTCATCCATCCATTCATTTTTGACTCTTTTCGCTGCGATGTGATCACCACAACCCCCCAAGACTTACCACCACTGCCACAACAACACAACAAATGATTTATGATTTTATTATTTTTTCTTACTTAACCGCCATTTAATTTTTGCATAGAAAAATTATTTTCTCTTAATTGTGATTGGCCGGGTTGAGTCACAAACTGGCCCTACGCCAACTGAACAATTGTGGGCGTAGACTGGCGTTGTTGCGGCACAGTCAACCGCAGTCATCTTTATCATTTGGGATTCTGATTCGAGACTCACCACCACCACAACCACACTTACTGCTCCTACTACGGACGTACCAACGGTTGTTACCACCACCACTACCTGCCAGTAGTCCAGGAGACTGCATCCTCAATTATTTAAAGCCCCCTTCGCACTCCCCCATCGGACAATCAGAACCATCATCAATCCATCAAAGCAATCAAGCAAGCAAAAGCAATCCAGCTAGCTCAGCTCAGCCTGACCACAACTTCTCAAACTTCACTCTCTCTCACACTCTTCTACTTTCTATCTACTCTTGCTCCCGCACTTTCTAAGTGCTCCTCTCTACGACTATCTTCTTCAACTCCACCAGTTTCAGGTCCCTTCTCCAGTCTCCTCCCACCGCCACTATGTGCTCCCAGTACTTCTTCAAGTACGACTGCGGCTGCACCGTCGCTGAGGGTGATGTCGTCTACTGCGCCAAGCGAGGGACCTCCTGCACTGGCGTCAGACAGCAGATCCGCCGCCGAGAGGGCTACAACTGCCCTAACCACGGTGGCTAGATAGTTTCATGCTATGCCCTTTCCCCCTCCTCCTCCGGGGGGTGGGTGCCACAGGTTAGTGAGTTGCCGAAGATCCACTCGCGCCTAACTTCCAGCCCCAGATCCATCCATAAAGGGAAGGGATACGTTCGTGAACTAACGGTTTCTGGCCCCAGGGTTGATTGCTACTCTACCTTACTAGCTAGATTGAACGGCATAGTAAGGTAGTGAGCCTGTTTGAGGAGAAGGAGGGGGAGAAGAAATCCAGGTTCGGGTTGTTTCGATGACAACGATTTTTTCCAATTATCGATATCCGCCCTCTTGTGTGTCTTGTCTGGAGATATTCGCGCGCAGACATGATGGGGGCGGATATTAGGAGAAGTGACAACCGGATCTGAGATGGGGACGGACGGTTATCTGGCATCTTCTGTTTCTTTTTTCGTCTTTTTTCTTATTTTCCAGTTTTGAGTTTCGGTTTTGATTTTATCGTCTGGTTCCCTTTGTTCGCGATTAGCCTGTTGAAAATCGCAAAAAAAAGAAAAAGTCAGAAAAAAAATTCATCAGGGAGGACAAATTGAGGTTTCACATTGGCATCGCTCGCACCTGATTATTCTGTTTATTTGTCTTTTCATCTGTTCTCATCATCATCATTGTCATTGTTACTGTCTGTCGTTGTTATTGAGATCATTTCGGCTTCTTATTTTATTTTATTTTTTTTTTGTTTCACCATCATCGCCATCGCCGCACACACCCCAGATTTGCATCATCTGCATATGTTAGTCACTTCGTTAGTTTTCTGATTTCTTCCTTGCGTTTCATACCACTTCCGTTCCGTTCCTTCATCCATGATTTGATTTGATTTGATTCGATTCATTTTTCCCCCGGGAGGCACATGTCGATCATCAGGAGGAACACTAACCCATGCTTATTATTCCCATCCACATGTTATTGTTGTTTGTTTCCTTTTGATTTCTCGGCGGCATCCGTCTCTCTTTTCGCTAATTCTCACTTGGCATTGCGCTGCATTGGTGTGTGTGCTTTGCTTTGCTTTGCTGTTAAGTGTGGATTTTTGTCATCGTTGTCCCCTTTTTGTTTGTAACTACTATGTAAGTAGTTATTTAGTTCGCTTGTTGGCTTATGCGACGCTCATTTATCATTCGTCTATTTTACTTCATTTTATATTGGGTCTTTGAGTAGTTGATGTCATTTATAGCTACCTAGTAAGTAGAGTAGTTGGGACTGGATCATCATCATCAGCTGATACTTTCTATCTATCCATAGTATTACTACTATATCCTTTAGTATGTATTTAGCTCCTCCTACTACTCTGATGGTAACGATGATGATGATGATGATGTTCACGAGATGTGGATGCCTTGCTGGTGCCACCCTCAACTGTATTATTTCAGCTAAGTTACCTACTTGTTTACTAATCTCATACTATATTAAAGCGTGAGTAGATAGTATGTGGTGCAACTTGGTCATATGGTTCGATTTGCAAGACCCTCCTTTCCCCTCACTCAATTTATTTTTCTTCCATCTACATGATTTAGTTTCACATGGGAAAGACAAGAAAATCAATGCAGAGAGAAAGAGGCACAGACAAAAGATTCACACCAGCGCGGCAATTCTGTCGGACCCAAAACCAACTACTGACTCGGAGGGGCCGACTAGACTACTAGTAGATTATGACAAGACCCATCCGGCCCATGGAACCATGGTTGACGGCGCTTAGGTGTGACAAATCCTCCACCACTGCTGCCTTTGTCGCCCTACTTCCTCGTGGCGCGAGTCAACAGGATGGATGGGGAAATCCTCCACATCGATGGTTACCTTTGCCGCGCAAACCATCAACAGTGGGTGAGGAAGAATCCCGGAGTACTCTCGGAGATACTAGGTGCAAATGGTGTTAGTTCTTCCTCCTCTTCCATTTCGCATTACAGTTTTCAACTACGCTTTTCATCGTTAGGGGTCTAGGGGAAAAAAAAAGGTCGGCCGCAAATTTGTGTGTGTGCGTACGCGGAATGCAGATAGGCTCCAATGGGTCCTCCTACCCTACACGAGAGGGGGGACCAACTAACGAGAAAATTCTCTTCGACCCTGATTAGCACCGCACATCACCGGCTGCATTAGCACCGCATACGCTTTTTATCACCTGATGTCCAACGGGCAAATCAGGTGCAGTAAACGGGGCACAGACGCGAGTTGTCTGGTGGCAAGAGATGCTGACTGGTGCCAACGAGTCTCGCCGATGGATGGGGGTTCCCGGAGCCAGTAAGGGTAGGAACTCCGCGCGTATATCGGGGATTCTGAAAAGTGAAAACCCAGTGCAACTGGGGCCTGCCAGGCGCTAGGTCGGGGTTGCTGTGTCCAACGACAATGCTTGAAAATTTGAATGCAGTGTAGCTGTGCCCCTCTTTTTCTCCGGCTTCGCTGGCGTGGAAAGGAAGAACACAGCGTCAAAGTGACGGGGTTGTACGGTTTCTGGAGCAATGTTCCGACCACATGAGAAATCAGTGTTGTGTGGCGTACCCCCCTTCGCGTCTTCATGTGTTATCGGCTGCTCTGTTTCTGAGAAACGCGGGCCATACGGCACTTTGGATCGGCTTTGGGGGGTGAATTAACAGGTTGTTAAACCCGGTCAGGCCTCGAGGCAGATACCGGGGGTAAAAGTTTAAAAAGTTACAAGAGAGGGGTTATTAGCAAGCCAGGTTTACCTGTTCATCCCTTCTATAGAGGGGAAACCCCCTAGCAGGCCAATAGTAGCTGGTACTAGACTCGCCAGTGTTGGGTCCCAGATAGCCTAGCTCAGTCGTGATTGAGCCGCGCCGATGAATAGCACTTGTTGGTCACAGTATTGTTGTACGGCGGTCCCAGAGCGACCCCTGGAGCAGCAGGCGTGCGCTGCCAGTGTACACCGCTTGAGTAATGCTCAGAACAGCGCCGCAGAGCTGTGCCATCACCCTTAGACCGGCGATGGGCGGGAGGGACCTGGGGAACCAGAATGCTGGGACAGTAAACCTAAAGCGGTGTGGGCACCGACTGCGCCGCTCAGGCCAACCAAAACTTATACCAGGGTCATTTGAAAGTCCTAGGGAAGCCAGCTTTTAACTCTGGTCACTGTCAGACTCCATTGTGACCGTTGGAGGCCGAAAGAAGGCATTGTGGTAGCATTGGATTGTCGTTGGGGCATTGATGGCGGTCACGTTGTCGCGATCTCACGTGACGCGCACCAGCTGCAAGAACCGCCGAAGCGCGACAAAAACAAGCGCCAACTCCGACTCTCCGATTCTCGACGTCACCGACAAGAATGGTCTGAAAAGCTAATCGGCCTGGTGTTCACTTTGTTTCAGGTTCTTTTCCCAGGCTTCTAGAATCAATTCTCGAATCCTTTCCTTTCCTTTCTCTGTCATCACCCACGGATAGAAGGCCGTTTTGCACATGTAATGTCCATAGAAGTTGACTGGGGCGCCGCAACTTCCGGTCCCGACGGAGAGGCTCTGGCCGAGCGCATCCGCTCTTTTATTCATGACAAGTTCCAGCAGGTTGCTCTGCCACGCTTTATCCGATCAGTACAAGTCCACTCTTTCGACTTCGGGACGATCCCGCCTGAGCTCGAGATCAAGGACCTTTGCGAACCGTTCGCCGACTTCTATGAAGAAGATGAAGACGATGAAGCGTCCGATGTATCTGAGGGACTTGTCTCCAGGCATGGTTCACCGTGGCATGGGACTCATCCAGAGCTCAATGAATCATCTTTCCGCGACGATAATGCAATAAATCATTCGCTGCGTGATCCTTTTACCGAAGGCTTCCAGCCCTCGGCCTTGCGATCTCCCATAGCTCTTAGCGACCATCTCAATCCGCATTTCCGCTCCGGCACTCCTGGTATACCCGGAGGTACATCGACCCTAGGCTACCATCTGATGTCACTTGGTGGGCTTTCAGGGACGCAGACACCCCTTGCTGCAGTTGCAGGCGGATCTCCGTTCGCAGGCGGATGGAATGATTCTGGGATGATGGGCCCTGGTAATAGGGGGCGTCCACCGCCTCCAATTTTTACTGCCCACCAATCGCGTCCGGAAGCCGACATTGACAGCAGTAATCCGACTTCGCGCCCATCAACATCAAGCACGTTACCTTCTCATCCATCCGGGTCCAATAAAAATAATGGTGATGGAGCAGGCGGTCCTGACCATGGATCACACCCCGAAGAGCATGGACATTTAGATGACCCTACTTCGGAAGAGCCACTGCGATTTCCTCGAATGAGAGAGCGCCGGCCCGAGGATTTTCAAGTACTGTGTCACGCCAAATACGCGGGTGATGTGCGGCTGTCATTGACAGCGGAAATTCTTCTGGACTATCCTATGCCCAGTTTCGTGGGACTACCCTTGAAACTAAATGTCACAGGGATCACGTTTGATGGTGTTGCAGTGGTCGCGTACATCCGCAAGCGGGTCCACTTCTGCTTCCTGTCATCCGAAGATGCGGACGCGCTGATTGGGTCTGATCAGCCGGACGTCGGTGCTCAAACCGAGTATTCACGCTCTGGCGGGGATGCGACCGTCTCTGCAAAGCGACAGGGTGGACTGCTGCAAGAAATCCGAGTTGAGAGTGAGATTGGTCGGAAAGAAGATGGCAAACAAGTCCTCAAGAACGTCGGCAAAGTGGAACGGTTTGTGCTCGCACAGGTGCGGCGGATATTCGAGGAGGAGCTCGTCTATCCTAGTTTCTGGACATTCCTGGTCTAGTTGTGCTGTAGATATGGGCCGCGGAAGAACATTGTCAACTCGCATTGGTCTAAACCCGTGAGGATTTAGGGTTTGATCGACTATTTGAGTCCTACCGTGTGCTCCAGACCGCCTCGAACCCACCGATTTGTCAGAAACAGGCACTAAGACTGCAGTGTTTAATATCCAATTTAGCGCATGCATCTCTCCTCCCTAGCGATTGAAGAATCATGCCTAAACTTCCTTCAGGGGCAATGTAGCCACAAACCTCATCGCTTGCGGGAAAGCGTTCCTGGCACAAATCCTTCCTGTCAGACCCCACGCGCATCTCTGTCATACCTGCCAATTATCTTAACAACTGACTGCTCTTGTCGCCACCCCCTTGTTCCTCGTGACGTAGCTGTCAATGTAAGTAATTCCTCACTACTACCTTATACTTGGTAGTAGCAGGCCAGCCAAGCGAATTCCAAGTTCCACACAGGAAAGATCTGATGACCACCCCTCCACAAGTACAACAAATCCATAGCTATCCATCTCACCATGAATTGAATGAAACAGACAGCCGGCATTGGCTACAGTTCCATTAGTCCATTTCCTAGTCTAAGACACATAGTTATCTGGTCATGCCAAGTTAGCTGACATGAAGCCAACCGAACTCTGCAAACCAAACCTCATGATCCTTGTGACAGGCCCACACCCCTCGGAACGGCCCCAGGCGGGAAGAGTAGGGCGGGAACCAGTGGATTTTCTTCACTCCCTCGCTTGCTCATTCCTTTCATTCTCGTTCTCTTCGTCTCTCGTCAGCGGTTGATCCCTTTAAGTTGGTGGGTGGGGGCGCCTGTCAGCTGGTGTTTACCTGACTGTCTCTAGCATTATGAGCAGGTTAGCTGACGAAAATTGATGAAAACAATGAGGGATTAATGGCTTAGCTGGTAGCTATTGTACGATGTAGACAAAGCACTCGTAATTCTTTGCTAAGGTGGGACTTGTCTGATCGCCATGAGGAGTCAGGGTGAGAGGTTGTAAATGGTTTTCGGGTATAGTAGCAGCTGTTATTGCTCTTCAGGGTAAGAAGGATGGAGATTCAAGAAATGTTGAAGTGAGTAGAAGAAGATTTCGGTTCTTGGACCTTGTACTTGGGAGTCGTATTGAGTGTGAGAATCCTAACTTTGGTGGTGGTGGTTGTTGTTGTTGTGAGTAAACTGCGGTGTTGGTCAAAGAGGAACGATGGAACCGCAAGCAGGTGCTTCGACTGTGATCGTTGTCCCTCTTTCTACATTGGGTTTTGATCTGAGAGTTATTGACTACTGTATTTTTCAAATGTTGGCAATGGCGTATGTTTGTATCTGTGGATGTATCGCTCTTGTGTTTACCGAATGCCTACATTTTGATTTAGACGATGGTATTTTTGCTCCATTGTAAGTGATAACCCAGATGACCCAGATAATCCTAAGTTTTGCAATGACAACTTCTTTCCCGAAAACTGCACCAGTATGATCCACTCCACCAATGCGCTTCAAGATAACAGCTGGTTCATCCGACCAACAGGCGGTTGTTGTCAACATTCCGCCTCATCCAGACCCGATAGATATGGTAACCGAAATGCACATAAGAGAGTAGCTTGCAGACGGCGTGATGTACAATCAATCAGCCCCAAAGAGCGATCAATTCACAGTCCCGACTGGCCTAACAAGCTCACGATTGTATTTCTCGCGGCACACCCAAGAGACGTCTACTGGTCCTTCTTGGGAGCCTCATCCTTCTCACCAGACACCTGATCACCAAGCTTGTGATATTCGCGGGTGAGACCCTCACACTGCTTCTTCAGGGTCTCAATGTCACGGTCCTTGGCTGCAAGCTCCTCCTTCAGACGGCCGATTTCACCGATTTCACCGGCCTGCGCAAGACGAGCGGAGTCCTTACCGCCAGCCTTCTTGTCACCCTCAAGGAGTCTGACTCTGTCCTCAAGACGGAGGACGTCAAGGATCATGGTGTAAGTGCGATTGAGGATAAGAGACAGGAAGAGGGTGAATCCACAGAGGTACATGTTGCGCTGCGAGTAGAACTTCCGGGCTTGGACTTCCATGCGATCGGTACCGAGAGCGGCGGCTCTGTGGCGAAAGCTAGGTCAGTAACTGTTTCAGTGCAATGCTAAAAAGGGCCTGGATCGTCGGAAGCATACCCCATGGTGCCTCCCTCTTTGCCGAAGGAAGCCAGCTCCAGCTGCACACGGTATACGCGGTTGACACTATCGATGAAGAGGATGAGGATAAAGATGAATGTGATCTATAGCTTGATGAGTGATTGCAAATGTTAGACAATGTTTAATAGCATACCTTTAATCCATATTGTAATTTAGCTACTATCGGACTTTCCGAAATGAAAGCGAAGAGCTTCCTCTTCACGGTGAATGGAAGAGGGATGATGAGGCCCATGAAGACCGCCATCTCAAACACCAAGAGGCAGAAAACCTATTACCATATTGTAAGCACATGCTGATGCGACATATTATCTGATGATCCGGGAGTGCGCGGGTCAGGGGCTGCAGGCGGCAGGCTGCAACAATCCCGAACTCCATGCCATTGCGAGGAGAGTCAACAACAAATGGCGGTACGTACGAGGCTGTAGTAAAGCGTCATATTGTCTAATGTTGTAGTTCAATAAACTTCCGGCAGATGCTTCAAAATGCAAGTCTGGCTGGATATCCAGCAGTGGTTGTGGGGTTTGTTTTGCAAAGATAAACAAAGGTGCGAGGTAACACGCAAGAGGAGTTGAAAAACCTGAAGGATCGATCAGGCGTAAGGCGGACAATGTTTATCAAAGAAGTACTCCTAGCTAATATACTGGCATGAACAGTGCCAGAACAGAGCAGCGGTTGGGCAGTTCAGGAGATGAGGTGGTCTTTTTGCAGTTTCTGGTGAGAGGAAGACGTCATTACCGCCCGGAGCTGTGATCGTGCACGTGACTCTATCGACCGCGGCTCAGCCTACCGTCTACGTCATAGCAACAGGGTTTATCTAAAGTGTGTAGTTCTCATTGCATATGATTGCTAGCTGTGGTATGTACATCGTCTCTATGCGTTAATCCTAATCTAGACAGCGTGTGTTTAACCCTCCGCTTCGTCATACGAGTTGGACTTGTGCTTGGGCTCGAACTTGAAGTCCTTATGAGCCGGTCCGAGGAACATCTCCCTAGAAGGCTGTTAGAATGAGTTCGAAAGAGTGAGCCGGTCAGGAGAAGGTACTTACGAGATCTTGAGCCAATCCTTGTAGTTGGCACTGGCCAGCAGTGTCTCAAGCTCATTCCGGCCTCTGAAAGCCGGGGGCCGGTCGTTGATGTAGGGGGGAAGATGCTCGAGCAACCCGATAGGTACATAGCGACGAGTGAAGCTCAGCCATTCCATCAAGAAGCGTCTAGTCGTACCAACACCGTGCTCATCGGATCCCCATGCCTCCAGACCATACTTACAGAACTTCTCAATCATTGCCAAACGTTCCGTAGCAGACTTGTCAAGGTACTGGCCCGCCTGAATTTCCTCGAACAGCCAAGGCTTGATCAGAGGACCGCGACCAAGCATAACAGCATCAACGCCAGCATTGTTGATGTGGTTATCGTAGTCAACATGAGAGTAGCAGTCACCGTTACCCAGGAAGTAAACCTTCCCGCCGTTTGGCTGCGTACGGGCGTCAGGCTCCCGGATGGTATCCGTCACCGCGTCAGTCTTCTCGTTCAGGCGCTTGATCAAGGCGGCACATTCGGAGATGTATTCCCAATCAGCTTGTCTGGTGTAACGCTGCTGTCTGCTACGGCCGTGAAGAGTGATAGCCGCTGCACCTGCGGCGCCGTCGTGATGAAGCAGACTGGTTTCGTAGCCCCCAAGCAGCAAACGCTCCGTCAGTTTCAAGGCGTTCGGATTGTTGTCCTTCGTTCCCATACGGATCTTGACCGTGATAGGAATCTGATCCGAAACAGTGTTCATGCCACGAATGATCTTCTCGAGCTTCGACGGGTGCTCCAGAAGAGCAGAGCCAGCACCATCCTTGAAGACGAGGTCAATCGGGCAGCCACAGTTCAGATCGATGACACGCAGGTTTGGAGTAACTTTAGCCAGCGCCTCTGTAGCCTTGAACGCCTGCCAGGGCTTGTTTGCTGCAATCTGAGCACCAAACTTCATGTCCTTGGAGTTGTCATAGCCCTGCACGATGTCTGCCCCGGGCAGCATCGTGGGAGGGAGCATCTCCGACTCATGGGCTCGCATTAAGGCCCACTCCGACTTGTTACCCTGGATCAAGGGCAAGCTCATGGCCATCTCAGAATAGGTAAATTGTGCGCCAAGCTCGACACAAAGTCTTCGGAAAGGCATATTGCCTTGGGTAGTCAAAGGCGCCAGTGCCGGTGTTTCGGGTCCAAAGTACAGTCGGCGCTTCTCTGATGGCATGAATGGCGGCTCAACGTACATAGCCCGGTTCTCCTCCTTTTCGTCCTTGCTATCTGCATCCTTAGATTCTGCATCCTTAGACTCTCCATCCTTGGTTTCAGCTCCTACGGGCGCAGCACGATGCCGTTTGTGGAGCTCCTTCTCAATGGTCCTGGATGTGTTTTCCAGCCAAGCACTATACGGCCCAGCTCTTGGGAAGTCCATCTTCCTCCTCGCCAAGGCAATCTTATCCTCCATCGAAGCAACATTCACAGCCCCATCCTCTCCAGCAAAGGGAACAAGCCGCTGAACCTTCTTCTTGCGCTCCTCATCCTCAATAAGAACCAACTCTTTCCTTCCATCGGCAGTCTCTCGCTCCTCCGAGTGTGAACCGACAAAACGACATTTCCAGCCCACGAAGCACTTTCCGTGGACATCCCAGACAGGACACATGCCATTGAACGTCGTAAGATCTTCCCGCTTATGCTCCTTCAAGTATGTGCGCAGGTCATGCTCGTACCGACACTTTTCACCGAAAGTGCACTCGGCAGGAGAGAATTCAGGCCTGAAGTTGACACTAGAGCACAATCCTTTCGCATCCTCGGATCGACCAAACGTGCGGTTCGTATTCTGACCAGTCTTCTTCTTTTTCTTCTTTCCATTCTGCTCATCGGCGCGCCCGTCGTGGTGTGCAGCTTCCGCAGCATCGTCAGCATTGGCATCGGAAGCGGTCTGGCCTCTCGTGGGTTGTTGGTCGATAATAAACCTAGCAGAGGAAGTCGGTTAGAGCGGGCGCATCGCAAACAGATTTAGATCAATCACATACTCGGGCTTGATAGGAGCAACGCCCTTCATACGCGGGGCGGGCGCATCAGCCGTCTGTCCGTTAGAATCCGCCGAATCATCGAGTCTGGCTTTCTTCGAGGGTGGCTCCTGGGCCTGGTGGTCTGCAGCGGCATCGCCATTCTCCGGATCACGCTTGGGCGCATTAGCCTCTGGAGCGGGCAGCTGTTCTGGAGCGGGCAGCTGTTCCTGAGCGGTTGTCGGCTCCATTGTGAACAGTCGCTTTCCTCGAGAGAAAGGAAGGAAATGACTACCGAATTACCAAAGGAACTGGACTGCGCAATGCGACAATTGGGCTAGAATCAGCGCGTCTTGTGATCCAGACCCTTTTCGAATCCAAAAAGATGCCGGTCGGTCCTCAAGAATCTCCGCAATCAATCTAATGCGGGCAAAAATTTCGAGGGGTGCAGTTTGTAAGGTTTGCACTGGCAGTGGCGTTCACGGCAGTTCCAGCGTGGCGGTACGGAGGCGGTCAGGGCGTTGCTTACCAGTACTTCGTGGCGGTGCGGACCCGCGGGCAACTGTTGTTTTGACAGCCAATCCCTGAGGTGCTGTTACGATGGGCGGTACACGCGGTAAAACGGAAGCGATCCTTTGCCGTCGCCTTACCGGGCAACCTCCTTCTCCCCCATCCATTACAAATGTCGAACACACTAGCGTAATCTTACTTTACATACTGAACAAGAGCCCCACCGAAGTTGAACCTAGTCTTGCAATGCTCACATTTTCTGGGTTTCTAGAAGAACTTAAACGACCCGTTTGATGGGGGGGGGTAGATCAATGCTGAGAAAGTCAACCACCTGTCGTTGACTAGCTTAGCAAACGCCGTCGGTCTCGCATCGAGCCTACCCACCATCAGGATTCCAATCAAGGCATAGTCTCCGTATGCTGTCGCTCCGCCCATCACTGTGATCGATCGTACTTGTCGAATGTTACGACGACTGTGGGATATGCCTCCACCACAGTGGCAAGGATCATTAATACATCTGGAAGACAAGAACTTCCTACAAAAGTATTCAAGACAAATACTACATCGGAGATATATCCGACTGGCGACCATTCAACACCTCCATCACGTTCACCACTACTACAGTACTAATCATCTCCTTAAACTTCAGTAACAACCCGGAAAGTCAATTCCACCTTGGCAAGAAGGTCACAGGACTACGAATACGCCTCTAGCATTGGGCAATCTCGAAACGATGCGAAGATCTCCTGCGCCTCTTACTTTTAGTCACTCTGCTTAGCGCTTGTACCTGCTGATCTGTTATGTCCTGATGAGGATTAACTACCCTCCCCCATGCATCATGTTACATGTACATTAAAATCGTCTGTTGTGTAAGCCTGACCTTACGGGATGAAGTCCGGGGGGAGAGGAACGTCGTGATGCGTCTACTTCCACTGCAGTGATAGTCCAGTGCATAACTATGGGGTTGGTTGTTTATGGCCTTGAGCGATTTCTCAGTGCTATTTACGTATGCTGCATACTGGCTTCCCCCCTTTTTTTTGCATTTGGATGGGTGGATATTATGCGTATGGGTTGCTGCAGTATAATCTGCATGAGGCAGGTACAGGTTGAAGGGGTTGCATTGCGGTTCGTTGTAAAGTGGATGGATCATGGTATCCACATCAAGGGACAAAAGCACATGTGGCATTCCAGGAACCGTGGACTTGGAAATGTAAGGGTGGCAAATTGGTTCTATTTATTGCTGAGCAGTACGTATATATATTGGTATTTCTGGGAAGTTATGGCTCTTGTAAGCTTACGCAACTGTACGACATAGATGCGTAGATTATTTGAAGATATTGGTGCTTCGGGATAGTTCATTAGGCATCATGTGCTGTGAGTAGTACCGTGTATGTAAGGGGAGTACTACTAATTCATGTACATAATCGACCATGTATGGGATCCGTCACTTGTGTCTCCCAGTCATCCCAGAATGCAGGTGCCTGATTAGAGTAGCGGCTGTAAGGTGACTACTACTGTAGGAATGCTTATTGATCAGAGTGCGGATGGCAGCAATACTCCGAAAAGCGGTATATACGTTGTAGCGTACACGCGGAGTCTTCGGGATAATACCTGGTGGATACAGGCGCCTCACTTGACTCAAATTAGGTTCGGTAAAACGCAGCCGAGGTATTCGAGGGTTGAGACATGGATGAAACAAACGGATGGCGCTTGACAGGGGTAGGGGACCAGTAGAGCCGGAGCATCGGTTCAGCTTGCCCAGATGAGTATGAGATTAGAGAACACACAACAATCCCTGTTGTCTGTAACCTAAACTGGGTAGTTGATATTGGCTTGTTTAGTTATATCAATCCAGCAGGAGAGTCTGTTCATCATCGTTGCATGGTCAGCACTTGCACCCGAAAAGGAAAGTCACTCGACCGATAATGCGGTGAAAGACGCAAAATTGCCGCTAACCATTAGAAATGCTTCTTCAGTGCTTCTAGTGTTGGAGCCAAGAACTAACCCCCAGAATATGCCCTAGACTAATTGCATGATCAGAATGAATGAGAACTCATCCTCCCCGAATTTCGCGGCGATCGGCACCCGGAGGAAAAGGGGCTTGGTCCCATTCCTGCGATCTCTCACCTCCCAACCAATACCAGGCGATCTGGTCTATCAGCAGACCATGCTGAGCGGGAGAACGGTGTGTATGTTAATACTGCTAGGCCATTTTAGCGTCCAAGTAGGGAGGGTTTGCTCTTTGATACACCGATCTATCAGTACTTTTGTATAAGAAACGTTCATACAGACCGCCCATTTGCCTCGTTCGTTTACAAGTGAGGCTGCTATACTATTGATGTCATTGATATATGGCCAGTGCTGAAAAGGAGCGATAAGTGGCCGTGCTTCGTGCTTATCGTCATATCGGTACTGACTCGGGCATACTAGAGATCGGGGCTTACTGAAGAGGGTATCGCGGAGCATAGACGGATGTCGTGGAATGTCCGATGCGAACGATAAGAAGGTAGCCAATGTTAAACACCAGCCAGGCCCTCCAATAGCACAATAGAAAGCATTGTAGCCCCTGATAGTAAACGCACGTTGAACTTTGCAGCGATTGCGCCTGAACCTCCATTTTCCGGTCTACCTCCACCGCAGAAGTTCCTGAATATCAAGATCCCGTGTTGAGTACTGAATTTCAGATTCTGTGGGGGTTGCGTTGGTTGGACTGCCTAGCCGACGCACCTGGCTTGGTGTGGCATGACAAGCTTTGGACCCTTATTGACACCGCCGGATTGAAGGATCCAGGTTCTAGGACCGGTCCATCGGATAACTTCAGAGTGTGAGAGTACTTTCATAGGCTGCAAGTCCCCGGAGGGATCTCAGCCAGGATATAGTGCGCATGTGAACCATGGGTAGGTAGCGTGCTCACTGAGGGTAGTACGAGACATTCAAGGCTCCGAGAAGAGTTACAATGTTGCACAAGCATATTGTTTTCTGGAAGGGTCGAGTCGTCTAAATATTCTGAAGAGCGGATGAGCCCGAAATTGAGAAAGCATATCCGCACGGACAGACAAAACGATAGTGGGATATGTGGACGTTGCAAGGACGACGCAGGTGAATGAGCTGGTTGACTTGCTAGTATAGTAGTGACTACTAGCGAGTAGCACCACCAAAAGTAGGTCCAGATCCGTAATAATACAGAGACCGGGAACTGGAGCGGGGACCACTCCCCGGTAATACGATTTCATACATAACGCACGATACAAGGGTGACGCCCCTCTGGATCTCCTGCAGCAGTAGCTACACACCAGTCCACCGCCGTCATCATCATCGACTTTTCGAAGAAGCGCTAGTGACTCGACTAGACTGCAAGCGGTGTCAAGTTCATTGCTACTAAAGGGGGCCCACCTGCTAGAAGCCGTAGGGAACCAGAAGCTGTGCTGGCCACTGGAGTCAGTGGTCGAAACCTCCCATGGATCCTCCGCCCTCCTCATACGTAATAGTAAGTCGCAAGAAGATTCGTCGTTGGGCACTGGGCAGATGCTGGGCAGCTCTGATTGCCTGGAAATAGTTATGGGTGGCCCCAGCCATACCATGACTAAGTGTCTTTCTTACCCAATCCAGACAAGTGCGGGCCTCGTCCGGGATGTACCGTAATTTAGGTCATGGACGGACTTGACCAGATTGGGGCGTAATAAAACGGTAATGTTTGAGAGTCATCCTGGTAGTGAAGGTGGTGCCGTGAATTGCCCCCCCAGGTCCAGTCACTCCTCTAGTCATTATTACCTGGACCTTTCCGGTCGTTGCTGCTTGCCGCCAGTTGCTGGGCTTCCTGACTTCGCTGCTGTCGGTGAAATTGGGTGTTGTTCCTCGTGTGTGTGTGCGTGTTGCCCACACCCTCCCCCATTAACCATCGCCCATATTCATCATACTCTTTTACACCATCATCAACTTCTCATCATCGCCATCTACTACTGTTGTGACTACCTTCTTTCTCTGCATCTTTGAATTTGTTTTCTTGCCTTTCGTGACTGCATCGACGAAGTATTATCGTTACGTCCCGCCACCTTTCCCGAATCCGTCACAGTTCCGCAGCCAAAGCGGGACAACATCCGAGGGTGGTGGACACTCCTTGTGTGATCCCGCCCAAAACCGCCGTCGTGGAATCGTTCCTTAATGCTCGGGTCGTCAGAAGCGACGCATAGTCCTCCTCCTCCCTCTCTTCATTACTCTCCCTCTATCGGGGACCTCGATTGCGCCTCTACTAGGGACTCGACCCCCGTCACCACTCCCCTCGGGTTTGGCGTACCGTTGCGCAGACCGGATAGGGAAAAGCTCTCGGATTCCTCGTTCACTCGAAATTCACTCGACATCGGCGGCGACACGTCCTCACCGTACTTTTACAGCCAGCAACTACACTCTCACTCTGATTCAGATCTCGACTTCCCTCTCTTTCCTTCCTCCCCCATACAAACCAACACCATGACCGGTGCAGCCGCTCCGATCGACATTGCCACCCGCCAGAGTTCCGTTTCTCCTCCCGGACAGCAGGCGTCGAATCTGACGTCTGCTCTGCAGAGAGCTGGTAATGGAGAACGGACAGGCAGTCTATCCCATGCAAATGGTGTTGGTCTCAGCGTCTTCAAGGCCCCGCCTCCTCGCAAGGACTCGATCGGTGCAGCTACTGCACAATGGGGCAACGGAACGAAGCCCATCTCAATGTCCGGCTCCAACCGCGATAAAGGCCGCCGTGAGTCTTTGGCAGGAAGTTTAGTTGGTGGAATGAGCTGGGGTGGTGTGTCTGTTGGCAGTTGGATTCGCGATGAGTGAGTGTCCTTTGTCCTTATGGGAATCATTTCGGTTTCCCCTGATCGCGCAAGTGCTTTGGCCACTGGAAGCTGACGATGAATCATCTAGCATAATCATGACCGGCACATCTCCGTTCACTTTCCAGTCACCGTCATTTCATTCATCCTCATATTTACCCAAGCTGGAGGCAAACTTCATGCGCGACTTCAATTGTTGTGGGGTGACCCTTCCGACGCTTCACGATCTTTTGCAGCACTATGAAGAAGCTCACGCCACCAAGTCACCTCAGCAGGGCCACCGTCCCAGTCAAGGCGACAGTAGAGCGGCCCTGGCTGCGGTGGCGATGGCGCAGCAGCAACAGGGTCAGCAAAACAATAATCAAGGCCGTGGATTGCAACCAGATAGGACTCTGGACTTGCAGCGGAAACTGAGTCAGGTCCCTCACACTCAGCAGCATTCGGATATGGATACCATTGATGACATGGAACTCGATGAGCCGATGGGTGACCACGATGCCGCCACTGCACAGCTGTTCGCGCCTCAGTCGCGTGATGGAGGCCAAGGAGGTTTTGGCAGTGCCAACCAAAGGGTTCCGCATCTGAATCTATCTATGCTTCCAGGACACCAAGGGTTCAAAGGCTCTCAGCCCGGTACTCCCGTTGCTTCTGGGCGCCCTCTATCGCTGCAGAACAACCCAACAGTTTCTTCCGTCAATACTCCTACTTTGATGGCGAACCCTCTACAGAACTCACAGTTCCGGACCACACCAGACTCGTCTGCACCTGGGACGCCGGCAGAACTCGATGACAGCATGCTTGGTGGCTTCGGAGATCTGGCTATGCAAAACCCAATGATGCAGGGCCAGTCTCAGTTTGGAAGGTTCGCTGGGAACAACAACGATATGGTAGACTTGTGTATCGACGAACCAGCCAAACGGTTGTTTAGCCCCACCGGCGGAATTAACACTCCCAACGCTCACTTCAAGCTAAGTGGAGCACAGTATGGTCCCAACAGTGAGATCGCTCGACGCATCCGAGAGCAACAGTTGTTGGCAGGTGTTCCTGATACCACTGCTCTCCTTCCCAACGAGGAACCTAAGCCTTTCCGGTGCCCAGTCATTGGCTGCGAGAAGGCGTATAAGAACCAGAATGGTCTGAAATACCACAAAGCTGTAAGTCTTTCGAACCAAACCACTTAGCTTTTCTAACTGTTTCCTAGCACGGCCACAATAACCAGCAGCTTCATGACAACGCAGACGGCACCTTTTCCATCGTCAATCCCGAGACCTCAACTCCATATCCTGGAACACTTGGTATGGAGAAGGAGAAGCCCTACCGCTGCGAGGTCTGTGGCAAGCGTTATAAGAACCTGAATGGTCTTAAATATCACAAGTCGCACTCGCCGCCATGCAATCCTGACTTCCAGCTTGCTGCAGGCAGGAACTTGGCTTTTGGTGGAGGCGTCATGCAAGGGCAGAACATCAACGTTGCTGGGGCTGGCCTACCTGGCATCGGTGAAGAGGGTCTTTTATAAGGTCCCCATATCACGAACGACATGCAATTCAATTTTACGCATCATTATTCCCACACTAATTCGACGACGATTTTTGACGGCTTCGTCGCGCGGAATACGATTTAATGATAGGTTTGGTGGCTTGGAGTTAATGGTATGAACGTCATGTCAATCGCGGTTTGGGACGACCGTGCTTTGGTCTGGTAATAAATCAGTCCTTTCAAGACTTTGAAGAAGATCTTCCACGACTCATTAGCCGATAGACGTATCGGCGGTGGATTCTCTGGTTTCTTTTGCTTGCCCCTGGCATTTGCTTAGCTTTCACGGTCATGTGTATTCGGGATCAAAACAGAGAGTTGGGGGTTGCTTATGTCGTCTTCCATTGTCACGTCTCCATTGCTAGGCTCCTTCGCGATCCACGATACCGAGTCATCTAATCAGAACTTTCTCAAAGGCTTGTCATGCCCTGCAGAAACAGAATCTGGAGTACGGTTGCGATGGGATGATAGGACGACTTTGGATTTGAAAAAAAGAACGAAAAGCAATTTTTTAGCGCAAGGGTTTCTACTGGATATGCAAAGTTGGAGCAACGCGGTGGTTGTTGTTCTTTGCCTTTCTCTGGCACAATGAGGTTTCGCAGCTTGGAGACAAGGAAAGACCAGGAAAAAAAAGTAACTACTGGTGGTACTCTGGCGTCACTTAGTTCTGTAGATAATGTTTTCTCCTTTTTCAGACCGGCTTCTGGTTCTTACACTGCGTGTCTTGTGTCATTTTCTTCCCTTTCCTTTTCTTTGCTATCATTACTTCCTTCGTTTTTGCGTCTCTTGTTCTTATTTGCCTGTGGTGTGTTGTTGGTGTTGTTGGAGAAACATGGGACTTTCGAACTGACTGGCTGAGTTGCTGATAGAGCTTTTTACTCGCTATGTTCTTGTTGCTTGTTTTGCCTGCCTGCTCTTTTGAGATTCCCGTTTCGATTGAAGGATTGATTTAATGTTGTTTGCTTGCGGAAAAAGGGCTCCTTTCTTCATACCAAAAAAGTCTGAACATGAACCAATTTCACTCCATATCAATCATTAGCTCTCGGATATGCTCGCTTGATAGTCGACTAGATTGGGTAGCTGATTTGATTATTAATATACTGTAATTGATTTTTAAGCTAAAAAGATGATAGTAGGTTTGGGCTGCAGTATTCTGGTAAAATTTAGTGATACCTGGGAGATTGAGTTCCTTGGGTTGTCATACTAATTGACTGATGTATGGACAGTTAATGGGACTAGTAGTATCTCATTGCTGAACTTAGGCTAGCCACGTCACCAGTAAGTAGCATGGGATTTGGAGTAGCAAGGGCCACACGTGATCGATTAATCTGGCTCATTAATGGTACAAGATGATCTTTGGTTACATTATTCGGCTGCTCGTTATTCTAGACGAGTGTGTGATCCAGAAACTAGAAAACAATCTGTTTCATTCAATTCAGATATGTTACTCTAGTACAGCTTAGACTGAAAAGGAACCGCCGTCCACCTCATAAGCGCCACATACATCCAATGTGGGGAAGAAGCAAAGAGTATGAGGGAAAAGAATCTTAATCAATGACAAAAAAAAATAAGAAAACAGGAGTCCCGGTGTTGTTTGTTTACTTCGTGAAAATCAAATCGTCATTTGAGGCAAATTTCCGCTTGCACCGACCATCCAGACATAGTTGGAAGAAGAAAAAGGAGCCAGATATGGGTTTCGTTGCTCATAGAATCCTGAGTCAAATCTGGGATTTTTACATGCTGAGTATAATGGGGGATCGAAAACGAGGCCAGTAGAACAGATGAAGAAGAGGTATGGAGAAGAAAATACACGATCTGGGATTATCCGGAGCAAATGGGTGACGCTTACGCCCATTTACCACTCGAACTCTCCTTGACCTTTGTGGAAGACGTACCTGTCAACTCGTTAGCGGGAGATTGGATATGGGGTTAATGAAAAGAGGGCACTTACTCCTTGCCACCGGTGGTCAAAATACCATCTTTAAGTGTGCACTTCCACTTGTTCTTCACGCGTTGTACCTTGTCGTAAGTGCAAAGCATGACCTGGCCTACGGCATCTTCAGCATCATGATCCTCAGCAACAAGGTCATCAGGGTCGTCAAGGTCCGAGTTGATAGCATCTTCATCATCCTCATCCCTTTCATCATCACCACCGGGACCGTCAAACTGAGCTCCGAGAACCTTGGGCGGATGCAACGAGGAGCCAGCAACTTCTGATACCTCAGCTGGCTCTGCTTGGGTAGCCACCAGCCCACGAGTCAATGTCTTTGATGAGTAGTCATGCTCGTCGAGAGGCAACATCAGACCACCGCCTTCTAATTGGAGCATCCGTTGTCTGAGATGTTCACGAAGGAGACGATCGCCTTCTCCTCCCTGGCGTTCAGCAGCTTCCCGCCTCCGTGCAACCTCAGCCTTCCATGCAGACAAGGCATCATCACCGGCACCGTCCGTTTGAGTATTGCCGACGGGGGGTTGAGACACAGGGGGGTAACCCGGTTCTTGCTTGATCTGTGGAGCCTGTCCGTTGGGCACATGCTGCATGGGTTGGGGGCGCTGCTGGCCCGGCATGGCCATGGCTGCTTGTGCCTGTGACTGTGCTTGCAGCTGACTGACCGAGTTAGCGGCTGCTGCGCCGTAACGCTGACGAAGCATATTGGCAGCCCGTTCTTGAGCAGACTGAGGGTTGGAGGAGTTTGGCATCATCATATTATTCATCGGAATCATCCCCGGTTGACCGTTGACGCCAGGTTCGGTCTTGATGTGAGGTTGTTGTTGACCCATGGCATTGGGGCCGGCCCCAACTGGAGTAGGAGCTTGGAGCGGAGGTGCCGTAGCGGGGGCGGACTGAGGAATGGGTTGCTGCAGAGGTGGAGGAGGAACATGATGCTGTGGCTGAGGGGGCGGACCAGGCCGGGGAGCATTTGATGGTACAGTTGCTGTAGGAGGGAGGATATTTTGCGTCTGAGGGGGAGCCGGTTGCGGCGGCGGCGGATCCCAAGGGAAGTGAGCGACACCCAATGAGGAGAGCTTCTTCTGCCAGCTCTGGAGGGGAAATATTAGCAGACTGAAAGGTTTTAATTAAAAGAAATATATGAATGGAGCAAGGAGCCAAAGGGTCAAGCGATAAGTATAAGGAAATCTGAGACCGAGAGGTGAAGGGGAAACGGGCAGCGAATGACGATGCTGAAGCGGCTTGGCAGGCCGACTAGGGCGGGTAAAAGCGGCGCGGTATAAAAAGAGACTCAAAAGCAGGCGATGCCCCCAGGCGGCCGCCCTTCCCGCACCTCTCGGACCCCGCTTGGGGCGTCTCCCCCTGGGGCTCTCACCCCCCAAGCATATCGACTTCTTTTGACCTCAAAGAGATCTCTCCAACAAAGGAAGATGGATGTTGATGGAGCACTAACCTTGCGCAAATCTAACAGTGTTTGCTGGTCCACACCACTTTCCTCGAAGTCCACCTGGGAGCCATCACAGACCTCCTGGATGACACGATCGAACACCGTGCCCTAGGGATAACTGGTATAAGCCAACATCTCACATGGTATCATGATGGGGTTAGAGCGGGGAAATAGAGAACTTCGCAGGGAGTATTGAGCCACAGTCCAGGCCCATCGAAGTCTCTAGCTCTGGCAAGGTTTGTGTTTTTAAAGATGCACTCACCACCTGCTGGTTCGACATGATCGCTGCTGGGATCAGACAAGGACGAGAAGACGCTTTGTCAAGCCAGGTGAAGGGAATTTTAATGAAGTTGGGGTCAAATAAATTTGCTCTGTCTTCTAAGGAAGTAGAAAAAAGAACAGGGGCCTATTAACACGCGAGAGCTCGACGTGAATGGTGTTGTCGGGCTTATCACAGGTAAAGCCTCGCCGTCGCAGCGGTCGCTTGCCACGGGCGAATGCGACAGTTGAGTCTCCACAACCACTACTTCCGACCACCCTCGAACTTGCACTGCTTCTGTAGATGGTCTTTCTTACTTCAAGAACTCAATATTAAAGGTCTCAGCGCGTGACGAGCCGTAGAATGCCGGGTGAATGCCGGAAGGGAGAGTGAAAGCAAGGCAGGCGTGCCGGAGGGATGTGGTTGAGGTGAAAGTCGCTCTCTCCGGGCGAAATCCGCCTTCCTCCCGCCTGCTTAGTCACCACCACCGCTAGTCCCTAGTGGGAGGTCCGGGGGATCTGCCCCGGCGCGACGCAAGAGCTGCTCTTTGACTTTTTGACTTTCAGATCTCCAGTATCTCCTCGCCACTTCAACTTATCCCTTGGTTTGCCAGTTATCGTGGTTTAGACCCCAGAATCATCCACCATCTGTCAGCCGCTCAGCCGCGTGGTTGTGCGACAAATCACGTTCTTGGTTTTCCGCCCAGCTCATGCAAGCCTCATGACAATCTAATCTCGTCTTATCCGACTTCCTTACTGTAGAGTACTACACAAAGAGAGAACCTCACTCAGAGCTTCTTCGACTCACGTAAGGTACCGAAATAAGATCTGTCACGCTCACAAGCCGGTGGCTGGCAAGTGAATAAATAAGTTTTGAATTTCTATGAAAGGCTACGGGAAGCGTTAAGAGAAAGCAGAAAAGTTCCCTATAAGAACGGACTTTGCCAGGAAGCAAAGTAAATAATTCTGCGCAAGAATCCCATTCCTCTTTCTTCCTCTGTGTAAGGGACTCGGGTGTTACCGTCTGACTTTGTGAAGCTTGAGACTTCATATAACCCAGTAATAGGAAAATATAGAGTACCTTGTGTTCTCACACCAAGGATCCCTCTAATTGCAAGTTATCAATTCACGATTACGTTCGGACACAGCTTATCGAGATTCGAACATCACACTTCTATGTCTCTGCTGCTCAAGAACTGATAATAAATGCCTGAATAATCTTGATTCACTCGCCAAAGGAGGTGGCAGTCACCAAACAGACATAGGCACACTATGGGACGAATAGAATATTGATGCAAACTATTTCAATGATTATCGGCACGCATACAGAAGCAGTAAATGGCAGATCAACATCGTGCTCTCCAAACCGTTATACATCCTTTGAAGATGCTCGAATTGGATGGGGTGTGATAATCTACTAGTTCGAAAGCATGAACCCTTGTCAACCCTTAATTCAACACAATTACCATATAGTGTAGTACTATAGTCCCTATTTGTTTGATTGTACAGATTTCATATTTCATTTTAGTAGAAATTTCATCTTTAGGTCCCTAAAGAGAAGGATTGCCAAAGATTAAAATGTAGACAATCAAAAGGCGAATCAGTGAGTGACGAAACCAACTATGGCCACAAAACATGTAAGCTCTCTATCCTTTTGATCTTTCCTCATTGGAAAAAAGGTAGATTGTGAGTCCCTATCAGGCAATTACTTAGGGTTCTCCCCAACCTGCGGAGCTTACCCAATCTCGGCAAGGCGCGGGTGGAGTTTGACAGCCGAACCTTGACCGTTCGTCTTCTCCACTTCATATTGTTCTCCAGCCATCTAGGTTGCTATAGCATTAACCTAATGTTGCCGGCGATAAGATATGAAACGGAAAAATGACGCCGTCCCGGAGGCCATGGTGCAACGATGGTCTCGCCCGCCCCTCTCATGCCGCTTTTGTCGAGCGAAGAAGCTGCGGTGTGATCGTACCCAACCCTGTGCGAATTGCGTTCTGAGAAAGGTACCTTGCGAGTATACAGGCCAGGGTCCATCGGATACTTCGGACGAACTGCGGGGAGCTCATCTATCTGGCAATCAGCCCACTGCTGCGACGGTCTCCACACAACAGCCAGCACCAACTATACCATCCACTTATAGCCAGACCACAATCGCTTTGTAAGCGGGCTCCATGGTTTGGGTGTGTCATTATAATTAGAAACTGACCCAATTGAAAAGACATCCGAATGACATATCAAGCCGGGTCACCAGGCTAGAAGAGGCTGTTTTTGACCGAATCCATGTGCCCCGGGGTGAGTTATACCTAGCGAATTAGAACCATTGTTACGGGGCCTGTGATCTTCCCGTTCAACCATCAGAAATGATACTCGGCCTGGCTGGGGATTCGTAAACCTCATTCTAATGCAGATCTAGATCCGCCTAGTATTGCTACTGCTACCCAAGGCAGCAACAACACGAACCAGAGCTTGATCACACGTGGCGTATGTGTTCACTACCAACATTCGCATTTGCAAGATCTAAAGCGTTCCTTAGGCACAGGGCTCGAGCAATGGATGTGTCACTCCGCTTACATTATTACCCCTAGCTTCAGCACAAAGACGCATTGCTGATCTTCATGACTACATGCGAAATACGAACAGTTTATCCAGGTGTCTTCCCCCTTGGACTCAGGCTCGCCAACTATTAGATCACTTCAACGTAGTCATCCAGCCGACATTCGGAGTCTTCCACATCCCATCCACAAGAGATTTACTGGAAGAAACATACAGGGGTATACTCGAGGGCGAGGAGCCAAGCCCCACGGTCTTGGTACTGTTTTTCAGTATCTTCGCTGGGGCTGTGCTGGTTGCAACTCCCGAACTTCTGCAATTGCTCAACGCAACACAAGCGGAAGCCAAAGCAGCCTTCACTGCATATGTGCGTTTAGCTATCTGCATATTAGACAATCCAATTCAATCAGTGCCGCCATCAACAATTGCTCTCGAAGCCATCAGTGCCTTGGCCCGCGTTCTCTTCCATGCGGATTGGTATTCCCACAAAGCCCAAGCACTCAGAGTCGACGCGATATGCATGGCTCGATCGATGCAAATCCATCGGCTAGACACAGTTCAAAGGCGAGAGGAAAGGAAACGTTCAGGATACAATGCCATCGAGGTCGAAGTACAGCGACGAGCATGGTGGCACCTAGTCTCCTCGGACTGGTAACTAATATTTACCTCCTTCACCTTCATATCCCTCTCAACCACTAACAACCACAGGATCAGCGCATTTTCGCAAAGCCCACAAGAAGGCACATACCTCATCCACCCAAAACACATGAAAGTAAACCATCCAAGCAACATCGACGACGAGTTCTTAACGCCCACAGGACCAGAGCACAGCTTTCCCCTATCAGTCCCCACCTCCATGTCAGTATTCATCTTCAGAATCCACTACGCAGAACTATGCCGCGAAATCATCGACACCCTGGGCACCACACTCCTCGAATCCGACCAACCTGACTACGAGACCCTACTCGAAATCGACGGCAAATTCCACACCTTCATCCAATCCCTACCATTATTCCTCCGAAACGACCCCGCCAGCATCCAAAAAAGCCAAGACATAACCCAACAGCGACCCTACCTAGCCTGGCAACGAACTGTCGCCCATCTAAGCTTTCACGTCCGCCTCTGCCGCCTCCACCGCCCCTACCACCGAGAAGGCCTAACGAACCCCAAATTCGCCTACTCTCGACTAACCTGCATTCGCTCCGCCCAAACTGTCCTCGACCTCCGCCACTCCCTAGAAGACACAGGCGTTCTCTCCGGCTTCAATCCCTCAGATTATAGCCTTGTCATGAACCATGTTTTCTTCGCCGCCATGGTCCTAGCCACGGACGTCTCCATGAACCCAACTGCTCCGGGCGCAGATACCCGCAAGCAGGAAGTGTTAGATGTTATCCATGTGCTGGAGAAATCGCAGAATGTGTCGGCGTCGCTCATGGAAGCGATTCGGAAGAATACGCAGACGTTGTTGTCCATTCTTCAGGACGCTCAGAGGGAATTGCAACAACAGGGAAGGTCACCTAAAGAAAATGATATTGGTTCTGTGCCGTCTGGATCGGGTGGGACGAAGTCAAGCGCTGCTCCATCACAGCCACGGTCTGTTGGGGTAGATGAGAACATGACAAATGTGGCCAGCGGGCATCTTCCTTTCACGGCTAGCATGCATGGCTCGAGTCATGAAGATGAGGACCCAATGTGGAGCGGAGCAAGAAGGAATAGCTGGGGTCAGCTGTGGTCTGATCTCTTCAATGTGGCGCCGGAAATGGATGCGCTGCAATGGGATCTGTTGTTGAATGATTCTGACTTGCCACTTCAGTCGAACTTCTATTGAAGGGCTAGCCGCAAAGCCTTGACTAGGTCATGGGTTGGCCAGCTTCTATCCCCTCTAAGACGCAAGCGGGAAAAGACGAGCAGTGATGAGTATGCAACTTTCTATACAAGAATCCTGACAGCTATTATACGGTCAAACCTAGATACAAACGCCAGTTACCAATAACACCCCTTCCATCCCATGGATCCGAATATGTGCCCCCAATGTAATGAACACCGATAGAACCAATGATATCTAGACAGAACCGGTCTACGATACCGAACCCGAAATATAGTCATCGAAGAAGGAAAATAATTAACAAGATGAGAAGAGTTGAAAGACAACCAACCCATTTACCGGATGGTCATGGATTTGGTCATCTGAGCCTTGCTGCCAACACCACCCTCCCGAGAGGCAGCAGCGGTGGTTCCAGGCTTGCGCTCGAAGATCTTCCAGAACTTCAAACTCTCGTCAGCGGCTGCGGTGGCCAGGAGTTGCCCATCTGGGCTAAGACAGCTGTGCAGTACACGAGTCTCGTGGGCCGGAATCTCAACGTTCCGAACCAGAGTGGGATAGCTCCAGATGCTCAACGAGTTGTCGGGGAATCCACTCGAGCTAACAATCTCGCGGTAGTGGTTGCTCCATCTCAAGCTGGTGACCTGGGAGCCGGTGTCGATGCTGTTGGTGCGAGCACCAGTGGTAGTGTTCCAGAAGTGGATGTGGCGGTCATAGGAACCTCCACCAGTGGCAAGCAGGTTCAACTGCCAGGGGCACCAACTGAGGGCCTTAACGGCAGCGCGGTGGTTGGTCTTGGTGAACTTGGGCGCGCTGAGAGAGCGAGCATCCCAGATGTTAACCAGATTGTCGTTACCACCGGTGGCGAGCTGAGCACCATCGGGTCTCCATTCCAGACCACAGACTTCAGAGGTATGCGAGACCAGCTCAGCAACCTTGTGCTGTGCAATACGAACATCATGGTTGAATACCAGACCACTGCGGGCACCGGTAGACAGTGTGTGCTTAGACCAGCCCATGACACCTACACGAGAGTCATGGCCAAACATACTGCGAAGCTTGGTTCCTTCCTCAACATCCCAAATTTGGACTTCACCAGTTCCAAGGCCGACACCGACGTAGGCGCCATCACCACTCCACTTCACACTGCTCACGTAGGTGTCGGGTGCAGTCTCCAGTAGGCAGCTGACCGATCCTGAATCGGCGGACCATACGTAAACATTGCGCTCCAAGCCAATTGCAACCTGGTTGCCAGAGCTCCAATCCAGCAAATTGAGATAGTAATCGTCAAGAAGTCCAGGGGCGTCCAGAACACGCTCAGGAGCCGTTTGGACCCGTCGGCGGAACTGAGCTGACTGGGATTTGGCAGGCTTGAGAGGGCGGTTGTACTGAGCGCGCAGATCAATGGGCTTGGATGACTCTGGGGGTGGCGGTTTGAAGGCCAGGATGCGAGTGTTCAGATTCACACCACAGGCATCTGCCAACGATGACTCGTACGCGACAGCATCCGGTGCTGGCTTGGTGTATGAGGTCGTTGGCTCGTTATCCTCGAGCCCAAGGCTTTCAAGAGCTGCGGTGATGTCTTCATCAGTTCCGCGGCCACCAATGTCAAAGGCACTCGCGGCATTGGCAAGGACAGAGGATCCATCACTGCTGCTGGTCTTTGGCCGTTGGCTTTCCTCTGGCTTGGCTGTGCCGGCAGTTACAAGACCCTCACTGGCAGTACGGTTCGGAATGAATCTGTCACCCGCGTTGTGGGGAATGCGGACGGTCGTCTTTCCTGACCTCGTGGTCCGAGTGGTGATCTCCTTTCTTGGCGCTTCTTTCCTCGACACCTCCTTCTTGACTGCCTCCTTCTTGACTACCTCCTTCTTCGGCGGTTCTTTTCTGGTCACCTCCTTGGCCACTTCCTTCCCCACGACCTCTTTTCGTAGGCGCTCCTTGGTAGGAGTCCGTGATGATGGACCGGTGCCTGTCAGGGCCCATTCTGATACACCCAGCTCAAGGTGTCTGGGAGACTTGCGTGTGCGAGCACGGGCGATGTTGGACTTGGGGGATTCGCGGTAGTTGCGGGCTGTCCTCGAGACAGACTTGGCGAAGTATGAAGAGAGGTTACCACCGTAGACGGACTTTCCATGCTCCTTGCCTGATTCTTGAGCACCACAGGGAGGTGTGAATGGGGAAGAGTGGTTTGACGTCACACTTCCTGCGCGAGTGCGTGGTGAAGGTGTAAGGGGCATGCGGCCACCAGCCGTCTTGGTGGAGAAGATCCCATGGTGGGTCTTCACGGGAGTCGATACTGTAGGTGTAGCCATGCTGATATATATTTACTTTTCGAGAGATAGGGGAGGGTATCGAGAGAGAAATGCCTCCAAGATCCGTTTGCAGGGCCAATCCCAGTCACACGCTGGCTTGGACACAGGACGAAGAAGACCTAACTGCGATACAATAGTATTGAATGCAAGCAGGGAATACCAATCCCACACAATATGGTATGCAATTAGTAGCAGATAAACGGCAAAGAACAAGAAAGATGATGAAGAGGAGGAAGAGGAGGGGACGGGGGTGGAGGAGGAAAAGGGAGTAAATAAAGGATATAGTTCTGCTCACCCATGGCAACGCCGGTTACTGGAGGTACGGCTGCCCTAGTCCCTTTCCGGCTAGCCCGCCACCTGACATGCGGCTCTTCCCTTTTCGGCGACGATCGGCTTGGCACTTGCCCCTTTCTTTTCTCATTTTCCTTTTTGTTCTCTTGCCGCTGAGAAGAGACGTGGGGTCGCTGCGATCAGCATCAGTATGTGAGAGAAGTGAGTGTTACTACTGTTTTATCTACATTTTCAGCATCTTTGTCCTTTGGTTATACTACTTTTTTGATCCTCTGGGCCCGTCTTTACTGTCGGACCCTAATGGCGCGGCTATCGTCCTCCACTACCGCCAGGAATAGTAACGCTTCGTCGCCCTTTACACCGTTCCACGCTGACCCACCGCGTTGGACCGGGTCGTCCAGGACTCCTAATCCGATGAATCCCTCCTCCTCTACCCCTCAGAGACCGCCGACCACATTCCTCATGCCCCCTAGTCTCAGTGGTGGTCGCCGTAGCAGCGCGGATTACCGCCCGAGCATCCGCAAGGCGCAAGGCCATGTGCCAGCCTGCCTGGTCAATGCTTCGGTGACGTATTGCAATAATGACCAGATCTACGCTTTCGGCGGCTTCGATCAGTACACGGATGAAGGTGATATGCTTAGTTCTCATGCTGTTCATCGTCTATGTCTGATACTAATGCTTTCTACTCGTTGAAATAGTTTACAACCACGTCTTGCGTTTGAATCTCAACACTCTTCGGTGGGAACTAGTCGATAACTATGGAGACATTCCCGGTGTCCGCATGGGTTAGCTTCCCCGCATTTTTTGAATACTTTTCTCGATAAGAAATACGCAAACCATACTAATTTATCCTCTCGATTGTCGTAGGTCATACGGCTACCCTCTACCAAGGTGATAAGTTGATTGTATTTGGTGGAGAAAATGAACACCGCGACCATCTATCTGACGTTGTCATCCTGGACATCTCGACCTCTACCTGGACTCAGCCGGAAATCCATGGACCGATTCCCCGAGGAAGGGCTCGTCATGCCGCCGTCATCCACGATGAGAAGCTTTTCATCATGGGAGGAGTAACTGGAGAGAACAATGTGATCCTCGACGATTTGTCGTATCTGGACCTTAAAACCTGGACCTGGTCTCGCTCTTGGAGATTCACGGCTCGTTTCGACCACATCGCCTGGGTTTGGGGCGGCCGCCTCTGGATCTTTGGAGGCCTCGATCCCGACATGGAGCGTACAACGGATATTTGGTGGCTGGATCTCAAAGGCATTCCGTCTCTTGGAGCGGCGACTTCGCAAGGTACCGTGGATTCCCCAGCGCCAATCAGCAGGATTACTTATAGTCCAGACGCTATCTTTAGTAGTCCCCCGCAGCAGCTCTCGGGCCGGTCCAGTAGCTATGCTGCGAATTCCGGGAGTGTTCAAATTCGCAATGGCAATCGTCGGAAGCCGATCGCTCCGGGCGCCATTTCCTGTCTTCGGTTCAAGTCTGGCCCTCACGTGCCTGCACTGTTCTCTGGCACTCATTTCCAGGCTTATGCATCCGGAGTGCTCCTGGATCTGATTACTCCTTCCGAGACAGTGCGTACCTATGAGTGCAATCTATCATCACTGGATCTGGACTCTTTGCGCTGGCAGCGGCTAGCTGACGGGCAAGAAATCTTCAAACCCGGCTTTCGATGGCATTATTGCACCGTGAATGCCAGCGGCACCAAAGCGTGGCTTCTTGGTAGTAGCCTCGACACCGGTGCTACCCCGGGAACTAGTGATGAGAATCATATGAGCGAGGTGCTTTGCATTGACCTTGAAAAATACGGCTTACTGGGAAACGAGTTGTCCGCGTTTTCGCCCAGTCAAAGCCGGACGTCGTTACCCGAACCAACAGGGATGGGATCTTTGTCCGGTTTGGGAGCAGACCTCTCGGCAGCGTTCGATCAACCACCGGAGTCTGGTAGCGGTGCAGACTTTATAATTACCGCTAATCCAGATGATCAGGTTGACACGGACGATGAGCCGGACACCCCCACTTCCCGATCAGAGCCAGCCTTCCTCTCCCCCAACACACCTACTTCGCCTCCGATTCATGTGCACCGGATCATTCTGCAGCTGCGATGGCCCCACTTCAAGAGGCTCTATTCGGCTCAGATGGCTGAATATCATGCAAACAGGATGCACATTCCCGAGCCATACTCGGTAGTGCGTGCGTTCATCTACTATCTGTATACAGATAGCATCGCCGGCCACCTGGAATTTTGTTCCGATATCATCGACGTTGCGGGAATGCTCGTCATGGCGAATCTTTACGACATGCCCAAGTTGCGTCTACTTTGTGTCAACCGCCTTAGCCGCGAACTGGATGTAGAGAACGCCGCAATCATTTGGGAACGTGCAGGGCGCACCAACGAACAGTGGCTGATGCGTCGTGCCGCTCAGTTCTGTCTTGCCAATTGGGGACGTGTTGTCCGGACCGATGGCTTCAAGTCTCTAAGCCGGCAGAGTTTGATCGAGCTGTGCGAGGTAGTCGACACTGAGGGTCGTATTATCGCCGGGCCTGAGCTGGAGATGGTTGGGGCCTTTGGAGAAGGATATGGATCTAATAAGGATCCCAAGCCTTCTCAGATAGCACTAAGCGGTGCTATGGCTGACAATATGGAGGATATTGATGGTGATGATATTGATGGCATGGACATCATCTGATGTTGAGGAAGAGTGTCTGGGTAGAGCTTCCTTTCTTTTCTTTGTTTATTTTGTGTTCTGGATTCTTTTTTTTTTTTTTTTTTTTTTTTTTTTTTTTTTTTTTTTTTTTTTTTTTACAGAGCATCTATGATATGGGATGGCGTGAAACAGGCTGAGAGCATGTAAGTATGGGTCAAAATGGGGTTATGAGATAGGAGTTTTGCAAATTGCGGTCACGATAGGGAGTATTTGCAGTATAGCGTTAGCATAGAATGATCACATGCTTGTTTTCTTGATAGTGTAGCTGTCAATTCATCGTACGCCTAGCAATAAGATTTCTTCCCTTGAGATACACAGACATACAGCAAGTAAAGCACATCAATAGTATCTCCATCCACACCTCATCCTCCTAATAGAATTAATCACACCCATCTCTGCCCCTCCCCATCATACCCAATAACCTTGAAATCAATCCCCATCGTCTTCAACATCATCCCTATCGTGAATTCCTCTTCCTCTTCCTCTGCCTCTACCTCCTATCACAACTAAATCAGCATACATCCACAACGCATCAACCACGCACAAACAACACAATCAAAATAGAAAAAAAGAATAGACAAACCTTCTCCTCATCGCCTTTATCCCCCTCCCCACCCCCATTCTTCCCCTCGTTATCATCCCACCACCCACCACTCCTACTCCTCTCCATCTCCCTCTCCCTCCAGCCCCTCACACCCCCCATCCGACTAACCCTCTCTCTCGCCCCCTCAAACACCTCCTCGGCAACTCTCTGCCCCACGCCCCTCCACTTCACGATCAATTTCTCTAGTTCTTCATCTCGGTGAGATTCCTCGATGCGGGAAGCCTGCGTGAGTGTTTCTAGTTCTGTGCGGAGAGAGAGGAGTTGCGATTGGAGGTGTCGGTGCGTGGTTTGGAGGGATTGGAGGGTGGGGTCTTCTTCCTTTTTGGGGGTACCTCTTGGGGGATCTTTAGGGGAGGGTTTGGGGGTTGATGGTGATGGGTGGGATGGTGGTTGTGGTTGTGTGTCTTTAGAAGAAGAAGAAGAAGGTGTGTTCGTGGTGGTGGTATCAGTGGCTGGGGCTGGTCTGCGGAGAGGCGATTTGAATGGTTTGGTGAGCGTGGATGAGGGTGATGATATGGTGGTGTTTAGACGGCGGCGTTTGGGGTTGGGAGTTGGTGTTTGGTTGGGGGTCATGGTGTTTATCCTGTTTATGTGTTTTCTTGGTTGAGTAGATCCGATGTTTGGGTGAGGTCTTGATATGCAATGGGAATGGATTGTGGGGGATGTTGTAAAGTATGAACTTGAAGAGAGTGAAGTATTCCGTAGTATAGTAGAAGTGGAAAGTAAAGATGCTTATCGATAAGGAAAGTCAGCTGATAAGATAGATATACTCTGCTCTCTACACACTCCATAGATGGTAACTAACAACCAGGAAGGTATCATTCGTGTACTTAGGAGATAGATAAAACGCATATACATTACTGCGAAAAGGACAATTCTATATCATTAATGACCTACCGCCCCAGCAAGCCAATCATTAAAACCCGGCTCGCCTGGCCGAGGAAACATTCCCCGGTCATTATTGGCATTGCCTCCTGCCGCCGGATTCGCGCCGCCATTGTCGTTCTGACGCTGGCGATTCCGCTGCTGTCTCATATACACGAGAACAAGCAGCGTCGCGGCAAGACTGAGAATGAGCAATCCCTCCAGGATGCTATCATCAATATCGAGCTCCAGCTCATCATAGTAGCCGTCTTCGCGGTGGTCGTCAAGGCGATTATTCGACATGAGTTCGTCCTCCTCGTCCTGTTTGTACATCTGGGCGCGGAAGGCGGCCTCTTCTTCCTCGTTGTTCTGGATAAAAGTGGCGATGAATTCCTTCAAGGTGCGATGCGACCTCACTTCTGCATTAGTGTGTAAGTGTGATTGTTCGGGTTTCTCAGCGAAAAGGATGTTGGGGTTCCTTACCTTCTTCCTCTCGGATAGGGTTGATGTCTCCGTTCGTGAGCCAGTTCCAGTATCCCCGCATCCGCAGTTTAAGCAGACTGAGCTTCACGGGCAGATATGCCTCGGAGCTAGTCTCCAGCGCTAGATCGTAGTATCGCTTGGCCATGTGGAAGTCTTGGTCCACCGCAACGCCATTCTCATGCATCCATCCCAGATTCCAGTACGCCTGTGCGCTATAGTGCACTTCGGCTGCTGTGTGGTAGCAGGTCGAGGCCTTCTCCGCATCCGCAGCAATTCCCATGCCCGCCAGGTAGTAATCGCCCATCTTGAGCAAGGAGTCGATGTTCGCCTGTTTGGCGGAACGTGTCCAATAGATAAGAGCCAGCGCTGCATTCCGCAGCAAAGCCGGTCTGCTCTTCTTAGCTCCTGGGAGGATAGTGTCAATGGCGAATAAGGACCGCTGCTCGTCCAGCAGGAACGCAACATTGGACTGTGCATGCTCGTAACCCTGCTCCGCAGCCATCAGCGCCGGAATGAGAGCCCGTTCCTTGTCTCCGTTCTCATACGCCGTATTTGCTTCCTCAAAAGATGAATGGATGACTTCCGCCCGCTCTGCGACCATCTTGTAGTAAGACGCGGCCATCCCGCAGTGTCGTTTCCGACCAACCCCATTGTTGGACAATTCTGCCAGGTAGTAGAAGGCCTCCATCCATCCCCAGCGCGCAGCCAGTTCGAAATAACGGGTGGCGGTCTGGACATCACCCTGGTCTAGAAACAGGGCACCCAGTCTCGTTTCAGCCGCCGGGAAGTCCTGCTCAGCCGCAGCCTTAAATTGTGATGCAGCTCTGAACGCATCTGGTGTCACACCATAGCCATGCAGGTACATCAGTCCTAGCTCATGCTGACAGAGAGCATCACCATTCGCGAGTCCACGCCTAAACCAAGTCTGAGCGGTTGCAAAGTTCTGTTCCACCCCCTCGCCACGCAGGTACATCATGCCAATATGGCCTGCTGCTTTCGAAGCGAGCTTTTCAACACCAACAGGATGGTTGGGGTTCACCGATCCATCTTTATTCCAATACCGCTTGGCGACCTGTCGGAAGTAATTCATCGACTTTCGGAAATTCCGAGGCAAGCCGCGGCCCCCTTCGTAATGCATCTTGCCCAAGCTGAAAGTAGCCTTCAGTTCGCCCTTTCTCGACATCAAATCCAGGTACTCCAAGACGTCTTCCAAGCTGGCTTCCGTGCTCGAATGCGTTCCATCGCGTACGGCAGTCGATACACTAGCGCCTTCACCATAAACACCACCCTCTTCGTCCGCCCAACGGTAGGACTCGCGGATCATGTTATGGCCACCGGGCGGTCCCGATCGGAAGTATTCAATAGCCTTATCAGCCACCTTCTTATAGTAGTAAGTCGCTTGATCGCAATCTCTAGGAGCCCCAATTCCAGCGTGGTAGCGATACGCGAGGGTCATTTCCGACTTCGTATTGCCCGCTTCAGCCGCAAAGGTGTGGTATAACAGGGCCTTAGCCTGGTCGCGCTCCACCGCACCCCCGACACCCGTTGCATACATAAACCCAAGCATATATTGCGCCGTACTGTTTCCAGTCGATGACGCCAGAGTTTGGTACCAATGAAACGCCTGCTTGAAATCTCTCGGGTGGGTGAAGTTGCCGTAGAAGTTCATTTCCGCTAAGAGGAACATTGCATCGGGGTTTTGGTGTTCTTGCGCCGCAACCTTAAGTTCATTCGCAGCCTTTGCAACATTTGGATCGAGCTTTTGCTTGTGTGTTCCATCCGGCTGTGGTCCATTCATAAATAGGAGTCGGAAGGCTTCTTGGGCGTAATGCCAGGTGTACCCCAGAAGGCCGGACGGTTTCTCGTGAGCGACAATGGGGATCTTGCTCTCTCGGAGGATTTGAAGGGCATTTTCGACGTGTACTATTGGCACATCAAATCACTAGTTGTTAGCAAGGATGGGTGCGCTGGCGTCATGCACAGGGCCGCTTACCGTGTCCCGGTAGAACGTCAGAGCCCTCGGGCCCGCTCGAGGACTCAGCATGTGCATATGATTCAGGAACAACATCTGTTAAGGGTTTTTGTGTGTCGTGCTGTCCATTGTATTCATCCGCAAGCGCCTGCAGAAGCACTGGAAAGTGATGCTTGGAGGTCAGTTGCTATCGCGTGATGCGGCTAAGCTCCACAGTAAGAGGACTCACGAAGCGCCAACGGCAGGAAACGCCACAGCCACCAGTTCTTCATGTTGTGTGAGAAAGTTGAATAGAAGTGAACAGTGAGAGGCGCATGGCGACTCTGTGCTCGAGCTTCCGATAAAGTAAGAGAGGGGAGAGGAGCTGATAGTGAAGATGAGCACTTGAGACTCGGGGGGAGTTGCTTGCTCGGCCCCGATGCGGAACGGGCCACCTGGCGTTGCGGAGCTTCATTTCGCCGACGTTCTTGGCTCTTTCACCAAGATACTATCTACAAGTGCATCTACTATTTATGACTACAAGGCACATGTGTTGGCAACCATTTTCATTATTATTGACCTCCGGTCTCGTCCATAACCCATCTGCAGTCGTCTGTGTACAACGCATAGGGATACTTATCGATCGCAGCAATACACGCAATAACTCGTCCTCGATGCTAACTCAGAGAAAACAACACCATCTCCGGAGAGGACCATCGTATTCTCATAACCGAGTCATGGTCCACAAGCACCCTCAAGTCTAAACGCTTGGTAGTTCAATGTGCAAAAAAAAGGGGGAAAGAAAAGCAAACAAAACACATAATATCACCAACCCACAAAACCGTTCGCAATTTCAGCAGGCTGGCTCGGAAAAAAAAAAGTAGGAAAGAAGACTAATACGGGATAGAAGGGGATCGACCTGCAGGCTGAGGCAAGAAGAGAAAAACATACAGTTAAAAACGGATGGGTGAAAGGGAAAGGCTACAGGCGCCCCAAATTCTGCATGAGATAACCAACCAATTCCGCAACATACAATGCAAGATGTTTTTTTCTTTTGTTCCTCTTAGAGGTCGTCTGGGAGGTAGGTGATAGTACAATGATACAGCGAAGGTCAGAAAGAAGCAGAGCAACCATCTTAGGATTTCACTGGCGTGGAGATCTGCATGTTTGATTAGCAACCAAATGACACTCAATTGCTGCTCACGAGTGACTTACGTAGGGCTAAAAGCCGGCGACGTCGGGCTGTAGCCAGGAGATGTTGGTCCTCCAGGTGACGTCGGCGAGCCGGCAAAGTTGGGAGATGTAGGAGAATACGTCTGGGGGCTCGTAGGAGACCACCCAGGCGAAGTAGGCGTGTACTTAGGTGAGGTGGGGGAAGTGGGTGACAGATGCCGGCCAACACCACCAACAGCAGGGCTTGTCGGACTGTAGCTAGGCGAGGTTGGGCTAAAGGCCGGTGAAGCCGGGCTGAAACTAGGTGAAGTAGGACTGTAGTTCGGCGACGTCGGCGAGAACCCTGGTGAAGTTGGCGAGTACGATGGCGACGTAGGAGATGCCTGGCCGTACGCAGGAGAGGTGGGAGAGTAGGCCGGTGATGTCGGAGCAAATGACGGACTGGCGGGTGAGAACCCGGGAGACGTCGACATAAAACGAGGACTGGTGATAGCCATACCCGGTGACGTGGGAGAATAACTCGAGGTCGGGGAATAACCAGGCGACGTGGGGTTCGCGCTGAACGGACTGCTGGGGGAATAGCCTGCAGGGCTTGTAGCCGCCGGACTGAATCCGCCACCAAAGCCGCCAGTAGGCTGGTATTCGGTAAAGCCACCAGGAGTCTCGGCACCAGCTTGGCGAATGGGAGAGAAGTTCGATTCGGGGTCGGGAGTGCCAATGTAAGCGCTCTCCTGCATAGGCGAGCCTGTGTCATATTGAGTAGCAGCACCATCGGAGATGATTGCATCCTTGGCGCCGATGGCTCCCATAACACCGAAGCGAGCATTGTTCGACACGACAGTGTTCATGAGGTTCTGGTCAAGGTAAATATCGAACTCTCCAGTACCAGCAGGGGCCATCTGGCCCAGAATAAGGTTCTCAGAAACACCACGGCAGTCGTCCAGCTCTCCGAAAGCGGCCGCTTCCAACAGAATCTCGACAGTCTCTTCGAACGAACAACGCATGAGTGCACCGTTATCAGCACGGTTGATACCGTGTCGAGTGACGGGTGTCAGGTAACCTCGTACGGTCATAACATCGACCAGCAGCGCCAAATGGCGGTGGTTGACGTACGAACCGTCGAACGCAAGCACCTGGGTCAACTCGCGAAGAACAGCCGTCCGTGCAGCTTCAATACCGAAAACTTCGAAGACCTCGATAAACTGGTTGGAGTACGTGCGAGTAGCATCAACACCGGGGATTGCCAGAACCTCACCCAGGGACGAGCCGCTTGTTTCGAGGACCCACTCCTTGCAAAGCGGGTCGGTCTTGCTTGCGAACAATGAGCCATCTTCCAAAACTCTAACCTTGCTCTTTTCGTTGATGAACGCCCGCTCGACGCCAGGAACACCACGCAGGGTAAGAGTGTCGAGAAGATGCTGCTCCAACTTCTTGAGCGTAACATCGTATTCAATATCATCATCCTCTTCGTCCTCCTTGTAGTCCTGGATTTGACGGATACGGATAACCTGCTCATCGGCGTTGTTATCACTGAAGATAACAGCAATATCCTTCGGGTAGGCCGCCTTGATCCTGGAAGCAACATCCTGCACGGTCAGACCCTTATCCAGAAGCTTCGGCCGACTAAGGATAATACGGAGCAACCACTTGGACTGGCGCGACGCATCATCCGTGACATCTTCGGGAATGATGAAGTATGACTCGACCATATCCCGATCATTTTCGATGACCGTGGTTTGGATATCGGGATCGTAGTAGATCTCAGTAGCTTCCGTAACGGAACGCAGGCTGGTGTGTTCGACAGCGCTTCGCAATTGTTTGGCACCCTCCTTGTCAAACGACCGAGCAGCTTCCTGATAGACCGTCATAGAGGGGGTCTTGATGTTGGTAGCAACGTTCAAAATCTCCTTTAGACGAGGAACACCCAAAGTGACGTTCTTGGACGAGACACCAGCAAAGTGGAAAGTGTTGAGTGTCATCTGCGTGGCAGGCTCACCAATAGACTGAGCAGCAAGCACACCAACCATTTCACCAGGGTTGGCACCAGCCTTGGCGAATCGGCTCTCAATGGCTCCAATAACATGTTGGAATGCAAGCTTGTTCATGGAATACTCCGTAACCAATCTGCGGAATGCGAGTCGGCTGCGAAGCTGGGCCTTGAAGAGCAATGTCGCATTTTCCTGAGCTTCACGCGAAATGATATCATTACCGCGGACAACAAGCAAACGGTCCAGCAGAGAGCGCACTTGAGGGATGACCTCCGCGGGATGGAGATCGCTGATGGTACCCTCACGAATTCTGAAAGTAGTCCTGGCGGTTTCCAAAATACGCTGCACGTTGATCGGAAGCTGCATCATCTCCTCGTCTTCCTTGGCCACCGAGCGAAGAAACGCGCGATCCTTAAGGAGCTCCTCCCATTCTTCATCCAGATGTCTCTGGACCTCGACGTCACCTGCGATTTCGTTGGCCTGCTCGAGGACCTCTGGTCCCAGCGTACGCTCAGGATCCATCAAATCGACGCGGAAACGCTCACGGAACTTATCATCCGAGCACTTGATGATGTCCACCCGCTGGTTCTCAATGTGAGCACCATCAAGACCATCCTCTCCGTAGATGAACTGGATGATATCACCCAAAGAGTTCCGAACAGTGCCATCATACTTGACCATGACTTCTTCAAGAGCCTTGACCAGCTTACGTTGGATGTAACCGGTTTCAGCGGTCTTGACAGCGGTATCAATCAAACCTTCTCTACCAGCCATGGCGTGGAAGAAGAACTCAGTGGGTGTCAAACCACGCAGGTAAGAGTTCTCGACGAATCCACGCGACTCGGGCGAGTAATCGTCCTTGGTGAAGTGAGGCAAGGTACGATACTTGAATCCGAAAGGAATACGCTTTCCTTCGACGGACTGTTGTCCGACCACAGCAGTCATCTGGGAAATGTTGATAGTTGAACCCTTTGAACCAGACCGCGCCATCTGAATGGCATTGTTCAGATCCTTCAAACTCTTTTCGGTCTCACTACCAGCCTCATCACGAGCGTTGTTCAGAGCACGAGACACCTTACTCTCAAAGGTCTCACGGACGTTCATACCGGGTAGAGGCTCGAGAGTGTTGTCAGTAGCACTTGCAGTAATCGACTCGACCTCCTTCTTCCTGTTGCGCACACAGTTCTCAATCCGCTGAATGGTAAGCTCATCGGGGATAGTGTCACCGATACCAATACTGAAACCGTTATGCAGAAGCCAGTAGTTGACAATTCTCTGAGCACCGTTGAAGAAAGCAACAGCCGTACCATGACCATACTCGTTGAAGATAGTATGGATGACACCACCACCGCTAGCACCAACCGTCTTCTTAGAGAACATACCATACATCAGTTGTCCGTTATGGATAAGAAGACCACCGTCAGCCAGAGGCGAGAACTTCTCAGAAAGCGGCGAGTTATCCTTATCAACACGCAGAAGATTAAGACCAGAAGGGAGCGCCATACTGATCATCTGCTTTCCTGTCCAGCGAGGTCTAGGCTTCAGAATTGCCGGGGGAGGAATCACCCCATCCCAATCAGGAACCCACATCATGATGTTCATCACTTGATCCTTGGTCAAGAAGACATCACGCCGGCAAATCTTGTAGATACCGCAGAGCGTATCCTGCACGATACCCATGAGCGGGCCGTTTCGCTGGGGAGAAACGATGTTCATGGGGACCAATGCCAGTTGACTCAACTCCGCGCGCGATTCCTCGCTCTGAGGGACGTGCAAGTTCATCTCATCACCATCGAAATCGGCGTTGTAAGGAGTAGTGACAGACAAATTCAACCGGAAGGTGGAATAGGGCATGACGCGAACACGGTGACCCATCATGGACTCCTTGTGAAGAGAGGGCTGTCGATTGAACAGGATGACATCGCCATCCATGATGTGACGCTCAACCTTCCATCCATACAACAACTGTTGACCACCGGCTCTCTTGGCATGACGAAGATCAATGCGCTCGCCGTTGTCTCGGACAATATACCGAGCACCCGGGTGTTCATTCGGACCGTTCGAAACCAGTGTCTGCAACTTCTCGATGTTGTAGGGTGTGACAACCTCGGGATAAGTCAAGGTTCTCGCGATACTCTTTGGAACACCGACCTCCTCAAGAGACAAGTTGGGGTCACCAGTAATGACAGTACGTGCAGAGAAATCCACACGCTTACCCATCAAGTTCTGTCGTAAACGACCCTCCTTACCCTTCAAACGGCTCCGAATAGCCTTGACTGGGCGATTCGACTTCTGCATAGCCTTCGGCTGACCAGCAATATCGTTGTCCATATAAGTGGCGACATGGTACTGCAAGAGGGACTCGAACTCGCGCACGACGTGCTCTGGGGCGCCTTCCTGCTCACAGCGTTGAACATTCTGGTTGGCTCTGACAATTTCAGCCAGCTTATATGTCAGATCATCCTCACCACGCTGGCCACTGGTGCTGCCGCCGACAAGCACACTGGGACGAACAGGAGGAGGGGGAACCGGCAAGACGGTGATAATCATCCACTCAGGACGGGCATAATCATTGCTCAGACCCATGATGCGAACATCTTCGTAAGAAATGTTACGAAAAACGTTCAAGGCAACCTGCGGGGTAATAACCTTCTTTTCGGGCTGCTGCATGTCCATCTCGTCCATCATCTTGTTCGGCTTCCACGTTCCAACAAGAGTAATACCTTCCTTACGAATCTGAGGCTGGGCATTACCGCAACCACCGTGCATCCGAACGGGTTTGGCGTTCTCTTTCGAGAAAGGCTCGTCATCGTCCGGGGGAGGGTCGGCTTCGCAGATAAGAACGTCTTTGGACAGTCGCCAGATGTGGTCGAATCGTCTTTTGGGGTCTCGCATGCGCAGGGCTTCTAGAAACTTGGGGTCGGACTGGTTCTACGTCAGCAAATATGCCGTGATAGATTTGCCATCCCATAAGGGATGACTAACCGTATTGGCTTTGATCTTGCCACAGTTGTGGCAGACCGTCTCAAGAAGCTTCTTGATCTTAGTCAAGAAACCTGGAGCAGACGTTAGCAGGCGTGCAACATGAGATCGATCTCCCCTGGCTGGCCGGCCAGCAACGTACCAATATGATAAACCGGTGTGGCAAGCTCAATATGTCCAAAATGACCAGGACACTCCTTCTGGCCTTCCTCACAAGTTTCGCAGTTCCATTGCCGATCAATCGTTCCCAAGCGTGGATCGTTCAAACCCTTTGTGCGCGGCCGTTGCCGTTGGTCGTCCTGTTTGTTGTGTTTCCGCGTTAGCGTTTTGCCACGTTCAGTCGGTGTGGGCGGCACTCCAGGAAAAACAAACCATCGTCTCCGGATATTCAACATGGACCACACTCATCCGCTTGATCTCCTCGGGTGAGAACAAACCAAACTGGATCTCCTTGATGGTGCGCAGAGGCGCCTTGGAGTAGGGAAAGTACACGTTCGCCATGATGGTGGTTGGTGTCGTCAGCTGATCGTTCTCCGGGGGTATGCGATGACGAAGGAGTCGAAATAAGGCCGAGTAAGACGAAAACTGACGTGTCGAAAGCACTGATCTATCAACAGTCTAAATGGGCTGAAGCGACGATGCAAATGTTTGCGAGCAAACTGGCCGGCCTAGGCCTCTGGCAGCCCTTGCCACGAGGGCGCCTGCGACCTTATCCACCGACTGCGCGAAGCTCGAAAAGGGCGGAAAAAAAGAGGGTCACGGTCAATCTTGGCGATATCTCCAGCTCGGAAAGTGATATCGCGATGCAAAGCGCGATGGTCGGGGGTGTTGGGCGATGGACAGGAGGCGTGTTGAGGTGATGAAAGGGAGACGGTTGGACGTCAGGTCAGTCGGCGATGGGGCAACGAGTTTTCTGAGCCGCAAGCTAGCGCGACCACCCTGCCCTCTAAAAGTCTGCAACGCTAAACCCGAAGTGGAGCATATGTGAGGTGGCAGTAAACTCTCCGCCACTCAGAATGCAGTCACTGACTACTCACTGGAGAGGCAATTGACAGATTTATTTGGCCGCTTCACCGCCCGCTCGTCGCTTTATTTGCCCTTCGGCTTCAATTCACCATGCCAGCCGGTATTTCCCATCCCCCGCCCGGCTGTAGTTCATTAACTCTGTGGTTATTGACTGCACTGGATGTTTGCTCCCGAGCGAACCTCCCGGCCTTCTTCGCAGGCTGGGAAATTACCGCCTCTTCTATTGTTTAACTTTCTGGCTTTGACTTGACGCTTGCCAAAAACATTCTGTTTGAATCTAACACCATGAATTTGTCTCTTGTCGATCCCTTTGTCCTCGCTCAGGATTATCCAGACACATTAACGGAGAAGCTGAGTATGTCGCGCATTGCCGTTAGTTCGCGGTGTGATCACTGACCCTATACCAGGAAGTGGACATGCGACTTGTCTACGGTTTAATCGCAAGGGAGACTATCTTGCGTCTGGACGGGTTGGTTGCTCACAATACACGGGCATTGCTTCGAAGTCAAATCAATAACCATGTCCCAGGTTGATGGAACAGTAGTCATCTTTGATGTGGAAACCAACGGGGTTGCGCGAAAGCTACGAGGTCATACCAGGCAGATTCAGTCACTGAGGTACGCCCCTTGGCGCAATCCGCCGTACACTCAGTGATGCTAACTACAAGCCGTTCACAGTTGGTCAAGAGACGGTCGTTATCTTCTGAGTTCTTCTCAGGACTGGAAATGTATTCTATGGGATTTGAAAGATGGCTCCCGAGTCCGCACCGTCCGCTTCGAAGCACCTGTTTATATCGCAGAACTACACCCTTATAACCAGTATGACAGCCCCCTATCGCTCAGCGGCTAGCACATTGCTGACGCTTCGCTCCTGCAGCTTGCTCTTTGTAGCGTCTCTCTTCGAAGATCAGCCTGTCCTCGTTGATGTTTCTCTACCCAAGCCCGTCAAGCGAATCCTTCCATCCGCTCCGTTCCGTCCTCCGCCTCCGAAGAACGAAGAAATCGACCCCGCCGTAGCTGCAAAACAAGCAGCTCAAGATGCGAAACATTCCACGTGCGTTACGATCTTCACTGCTCTAGGAAACCATATCATAGCAGGTACATCTAAGGGTTGGATCAATATTATTGAGACACAAACCTGTACCACAATACATTCCACTCGGCTCTGCAATGGTGTGGTGATCTTACTCCGCTTAGCGAGTAACGGTCGGGATCTACTAGTCAACAGCTCTGATCGTGTCATACGCACGATCCTCATGCCAGATCTCTCACAACTGGGTATCGATCTGGAGCCTACCAACATCAAACTCCAAGTGGAACATAAGTTCCAAGATGTGGTGAACCGTTTAAGCTGGAACCATGTAGCATTTTCTTCCACTGGGGAATTTGTTACTGCGTCCACGTTCATGAACCCTGACATTTATGTCTGGGAGCGAAGCCACGGCTCCCTGGTCAAGATTTTGGAAGGCCCGCGCGAAGAACTAGGAGTGGTCGAGTGGCACCCCAGCCGCCCGATGGTGGTTGCCTGCGGCCTAGAATCTGGGTGCATCTATACGTGGTCGATCGTAACGCCGCAGAAATGGTCAGCCCTAGCCCCTGACTTCGGCGAAGTTGAAGAGAACGTCGAGTATGTCGAGCGCGAAGATGAATTCGATATCCACCCGGCAGAGGAAATCCACCAGCGCCGTCTAGACCAGGAAGACGAAGTCCCCGACGTTCTCACAATCGAACTGAACAAAGACGGTGCGGATGAGGATATCGTTGCCTCATTCCGCATGCCTGTCCTTCTTGATATTTCGGACAGTGAAAGCGAGGATGATATCATCGCTGTTGGGCCCGGGACGATGAGGAGGCGTAGTCCAGGCGCAGCTCGTGACCGAACGAATGCCAATGGGGATGGGGAGAAGGACAGTGTAAATGGCGGTAGGAACGGCAGCACACGAGGTCAAAAGGGCCGGCGGCGTTGATTTGTACTATCTGTGGGCTAACAAAATGCGTTCTCTCACTGTCCTTCGTGTTGCTTCTGTCTTACTTTGCGAGTCATCTATAGGGTTATATGTCAGTTAGAGGGTTCTTGGCGTCTGGTAGGCTGTCTCAAGGGACATGGCATATTTTTCGATATACTTACGGTACATGATCAGTGGGAGTTTCGGTGGGAGAGCAAAAAGTTCAATAGTAACCATTTGGAGGGCTTTGCGTTTGTTCAAGCCCTCGGTTCTTCGCTTCTTTCTCATCTAATTCATTAATAAGTGCCAACAAAAAAAATTATCGGTGGCTGTGCCACAGAGCCGCCACGGTCATCAGAGAGTTTTGAGTTCGGATGGAATGGCTGATGTTTAGGGCCCGTCACGACAAGTACTCAGTCAACTGCCATGATTCTGGGATCTCCGCAGTTCAGCCGGCCTGAATTACAGGGCTTTCCAAAAATGCAACATGAGATTGGTAGCTTCTTTTGGATCCTGGCAAATCTGGTACTTTATAGTCGTCGGCCACTTCTTCGAGTCCCGACAACGGCACCTCATCTTCTTGAAGTGCTTCTATTATTTAAAACCTCGAGCAGTATCTTTTGCGACGGTAACAATCCACATGGTGTGATTGATAATATACTTCGCGTCCCTTTGTGCCGTTCAGCTGTCTGCACTAAAGTAGGCAATAACACAATGAAGATAAGCCTGTCTGCGTTCCTGGCGTTCTTGCGTCAAACTAGCAGTGTTGGTACGAGTTCAAGTCCAGTGATGGTTTTGTGGGCTTTGCTCGCTTTGGTGTATAAGCATTTCAGTATGATCCCGTCAAGGAGATGGAATTGGTCGTCACTAATCCTCATCGAGAAAAAAATGGAATGAACAAAAAGAAGAGAACAGGTAGGATGGCCCTCCCACAAAAGGCTGCATATGGGTATCCGGAATGAAATCTGCATTACAGCCGGCACTGCCGTAATTTTCTCTGTACTTTCAAAGTGATGGGCCGCCCGGCTTCCGTGCCTGGTATATATGTAAGATATTGTAAGCGTGGATTTCCTTGTTGAAGGCTTGTGACTTGACCTCCGCTGTGATCTGTCTGATCCTATCCAGATCCCAGTGAAAGATGCGACTGAAAGGGGCGAGGCTGAGCGTCTCGATACTCTCAGAGATTGCGAGGTTATACCAACGGGCTACCTTCTGCTCATGTTCATCACGGTGCCAAGGGTTGAGAGGCAGCCCCACCATCTGATGGTCGATCTGGGTAAAGCCTGCCTCCTCAAGGTGTCTGATGGTATCCCGCGAGCTGTGCGCTATGGGTCGCATTGTATCTTGTGTCGCCTGCTTCAGGTACTGGTACCACTCCCGGAGTGCCAGTCCATTCAGGGAGCGATCATCGCAGCGGGGTTCGAAATCTATTTCCACTTGTTCAAACCATGCCCCAGGCTGAAGATGCCTTAAGATTCGCTTGTAGAGATTCTGCCAGCCCAGAACACTGCCGCAACCCATCTGTAGATGAATGAGATCCCAAGAATTTTCCCCAAGCGTCCATGGCGCCTCAAAGTCGAAAGGTGCATAGAACTCGCAGTTATCGGGGTGGTTGGGAGGCTGTATAGGTGCTAGATCTACTCCAGCAACGAAAGCATTGGGATACTTGTGGGCTACATCAATGGCCCAGATCCCAGTGCCGCACCCCAGATCTAGGAATCGACCATTTGGGGGGTGAGGTGCGTAGATTAAGCTCTCGGACATCCGTGCTACTGTGAACAGTTTATGGAAGATATCGAGACGGTCCTGTTCCTGTTCATCGCATGGCAGCGGGTAAACTCCTCTGCGATATCCATGATATGTTCGCCCATTTTCTTCATAGAAGAGCCATCTGTTTGGAGGCCTAGATTAAACGAACAACGGAAAAGAAAGTTCCCTGAATTAGTCGCCCGGTAGTTGTAGAAATAAGTGTGATATTTGCACGGCATGAGAAAAAGGGATTTTGCGGGGTACGTGGGGTGCAGAGTATGAGAAGGGAGAAGTACTTGCTATAATGGCTAGTCCCAGCTGGACCCCCATGGCCATCATAAGGATCGTTGTTGTCCGGGGGTTCTCGAGGAGGTTCTTGGGCCGTAATGACGTGAATGTCCATAGCATCCGAGTTTTGCCTGGAACGGCCGGAATCATAGGATTCTATCCCTTGGTAGCTGTAGTTATTGCGATTCGGCGAAGCCATAGTAATTGGCTGATGCAAAAGTCGGCTGATTTCAAACATGGAACCCTGAAGTCCAAGGATCGGTTCGCTGGGAAGAGATTCGACTTTTCCTGCTCAAGGTATGGTAGAGATACAGGGGTTCGTTCAATCAAAGAGACCGGCGTTCTTCGTGACGGTAACGTAAAACGCCAATGTTAGCCAACAGGGTGTATGCAGGCTGCAGGTGATATCGGGGAATCGTAAGTCAGGTGGCACATAGAGGAAGTTGGAGTTCGGCGCCGCAAATTGAGCCAATGATTGGATTGAAAAGCTGATCAGACGAAAAGACGGCAACAACAAAACTACTAACTGGGGGTATCCTCCGCGGAATGAATCAGTGGCCGAGAAGGGGTAAAAGGATTGGAAGAAGGAGGAGAGTGGAAAGCCGGAGAGCAAAAAGCCAAGGATAGTAAGTAAGAATGATCCAAAGTCCACAATGGTGTAAATTTGCCCCAACCCAGGAGAGTTGTATGAGAGCAAAGAGGCACGCACACCCGTGCACGCGCACACCCACAGTCACACACGGTGGAGAAGAGTATCTCCAAATCTCGGCCGAGGCACAAGGAGGAATGAGGATACTAAATAGGTAGGGGGAAAAAAGTCTCCTCCCCGCAAGGACAGGAACCCGTCGGGGGGGAGAGAACAAAAGAGAAAAGTAGCGGTCACGGCAGCGGCATAGGAAAATAGGGAAAAAAATAAATAATAAATAATAAATAGGGTATCGATAACAGCAGCAGGTGTCAGGCGTTACGAGGAGAGAGGCGACTAAAGAACAACCATGGATCGGGGGAGGACGATCGAGAGTTAGGTCAATTGGACTGGATCATCGGATCAGAAAGGGAAAATCCGATCCCGGAAGTGCAAGTCCATTCGGACAGCGGAGAGGGGGGAAGAGAGAGGGGGGGTGGAATAGAGGGCAGAGGAAAGAAGGCAAAAAGCAAAGCAACCCTGCCTTTAAGGTTGTTGCAGCCGCTGTCTTGACCCCGTTGGGCCCACGGGCGCGAAGGCGGGGCGGTTAGAGGGCCTGGGAAAAAGGGCTGGAATGGTGGGAAACGCAGGGGAGAGAGAGAGGGAAAAGGACTCAAGAGACGACTGAGAGACTAAGAGACTAAGAGACTAAGAGACCGAGAGTTTGGGAGAGAGAGAGAAAACCAGGGCAAGCAGCTGAATGGAGATGATCTGGCGGCTAGACTGGCTTGGATTTGTGTTTTGACTACTGCCAGTTGAGACGTGGAGGTTCCAGAGTTTAGTGGTTTGTTGTAGATGGCATCTCTGCTGCGAGTCAGGATGTGGTCGAGTACCGACATGGGTTCAGGATGCGTCGGGGATGGTGAGAAATGCGCCTGGCTATCGATCTGGCGCCTTCCGAGCTTCATTGGCTCCCTCCGGAAGTAGAGCCCCTCCGGCAACCATGGTACATGGCTTCCCTAGCACCTCTGGGCAGCTACGCGGATCACTAAGGTCCTGACCTCGCTCGCTGCTATGAGGGAGGGTCTTTTCTAACTGACATCCGGATCCTGGATCAATAATCCGGTATTGATCCTTTGCTGCCGCGATTACAGTCCCTCGTGTCCTATCAATCAATCCATCAAACTATGTTTTACCCCCCTTAGCGAATAAAATAACGGCCAGATAGCGCTCCAGTGCCTCCTCAGGGCGACACGTCCAACGTCTGTGTGCCCGCTGTCTGGTACCGATCCCAGGGTGGATGCACGATGTACTAGGCATGTATGGATGGTACATACTAACTAACTGGCTAACCTAGCTAACTAACTTACTACCATCACACACAAGCGCACTAACTAGATAGTCTGGCTAGTGGCTCCCAGGTGTTACCAGGTGGTGCACCCGGACCTACATGCTACATGCTATATCCACAGGGGATAATCCTGGATACATAGGTAGTCGGTATATCATACGCATAAAATACATACAGCTTGTATCCACCACGAGTTCGAAGCAGGTAAGTAGCTTAGCGTCTCCCCATTTAGTCTTTGTCTCTCAATTCTTTTTATTTTTCTTTTCTCTTCGTCTGTCCCATTTTTTTTTCTTTTTCTGGTCTCTTTTGGTCTCCCTTCATTGCCTTTTCTTAGTAATTCCAACTTTTTTATTCTTATTTTTTTATTTTCCCTTATTTTTTTTTCCCTTTTATCACCCTTTCCCGGTTTTTCTTTTCCAATTGCTTTTTCCATTTTAGGCAGTATTGTATTTCTTTATATCGGTATCCTTCTCTAGTCTACCACTTCTTCTCTATCCTCAGCATTTCCCTTTCTTTCCTTTCGCTTCCAAAAAGCCAAGAAACACAGCATGGATACCTAATCTCGGGTCGCCAAAGTCCAGTTCTCACACAAATCGATAACTTGGGACCAGTTCGAGGCTGGCGGTAAATGATTGGTGTTGAAGATGTCGTTGATATTCCGTCCTTCTAGTACGCACCTGTCCTCCCAACCAGTACTAAAGAGGAGTCAGCCATTCATCTTCCTGCCTGAGGCTCTGATACGAGTTCCCATTGCCTCGGTTCGCGGCTTGTATGTATCCGTCTTACCAGTAACAAGACGAGCAATGGGAAAATAACGGTGATCACAATAATGAGGGATCAACCGGATATACAAGTGAGCGCGAGTGCGTACCAAGGGGGAAGAAAAAATCACGGAGAAAATGGGGGGGGGGGGGG